GAAGAATGGGGCGGGGTGATGGAAAGCGGGAGAATGGGGCGGGGTGATGGAAACCGGGAGAATGGGGCGGGAAGATGGAAAGCGGGAGAAAGGGGAGGGGTGATGGAAAGCGGGAGAATGGGGCGGGCTGACGGAAAGCGGGAGAATGGGGCGGGGTGATGGAAGGAGGGAGAATGGGGCGGGGTGATGGAAGGAGAGAGAAGGGGGCAGGGTGAAGGAAAGTGGAAGATTGTGGCGGGCTGATGGAAAGCTGTAGAATGGGGTGGGGTTATGGGAAGCGGGAGAATGGGGCGGGGTGATGGAAAGCGGGAGAATGGGGCGGGGTGATGGAAGGAGGGAGAACGGGGCGGGGTGATGGAAAGCAGGAGAATGGGGCGGGGTGATGGAAGGAGGGAGAATGGGGGGGGGTGATGGAAAGCGGGAGAATGGGGCGCGGTGATGGAAAGCGGGAGAATGGGGCGGGGTGATGGAAAGCGGGAGAATGGGGCGGGGTGATGGAAAGCGGGAGAATGGGGCGGGGTGATGGAAAGCGGGAGAATGGGGCGGGGTGATGAAAAGCGGGAGAATGGGGCGGGGTGATGGAAAGCGGGAGAATGGGGCGGGGGGATGGAAGGAGGGAGAATGGGGCGGGGTGATGGAAAGTGGGAGAATGGGGCGGGGTGATGAAAAGCGGGAGAATGGGGCGGGGTGATGGAAAGCGGGAGCATGGGGCGGGGTGATGGAAGGAGGTAGAATGAGGCGGGGTGATGGAAGAAGGGAGAATGGGGCGGGGTGATGGAAAGCGGGAGAATGGGGCGGGGTGATGGAAGGAGGGAGAATGGGGCGTGGTGATGGAAAGCGGGAGAATGGGGCGGGGTGATGGAAAGCGGGAGAATGGGGCGGGGTGATGGAAAGCGGGAGAATGGGGCGGGGTGATGGAAAGCGGGAGAATGGGGCGGGGTGATGGAAAGCGGGAGAATGGGGCGGGGTGATGAAAAGCGGGAGAATGGGGCGGGGTGATGGAAAGCGGGAGAATGGGGCGGGGTGATGGAAAGCGGGAGAATGGGGCGGGGTGATGGAAAGCGGGAGAATGGGGCGGGGTGATGGAAAGCGGGAGAATGGGGTGGGCTGAAGGAAAGCGGGAGAATGGGGCGGGGTGATGGAAAGCGAGAGAATGGGCCGGGGTGATAGAAGGAGGGAGAATGGGGAGGGGTGATGGAAAGCGGGGGAATGGGGCGGGATGATGGGAAGCGGAAGAATGGGGCGGGGTGATGGAAAGCGGGAGAATGGGGCAGGGTGATGGAAACCGGGAGAATGGGGCGGGAAGATGGAAAGCGGGAGAAAGGGGAGGGGTGATGGAAAGCGGGAGAATGGGGCGGGCTGACGGAAAGCGGGAGAATGGGGCGGGGTGATGGAAGGAGGGAGAATGGGGCGGGGTGATGGAAGGAGAGAGAAGGGGGCGGGGTGATGGAAAGTGGAAGATTGTGGCGGGCTGATGGAAAGCTGTAGAATGGGGTGGGGTTATGGGAAGCGGGAGAATGGGGCGGGGTGATGGAAAGCGGGAGAATGGGGCGGGGTGATGGAAGGAGGGAGAACGGGGCGGGGTGATGGAAAGCAGGAGAATGGGGCGGGGTGATGGAAGGAGGGAGAATGGGGGGGGGTGATGGAAAGCGGGAGAATGGGGCGCGGTGATGGAAAGCGGGAGAATGGGGCGGGGTGATGGAAAGCGGGAGAATGGGGCGGGGTGATGGAAAGCGGGAGAATGGGGCGGGGTGATGGAAGGAGGGAGAATGGGGCGGGGTGATGGAAGGAGGGAGAAGGGGGCGGGGTGATGGAAAGCGGGAGAATGGGGCGGGGTGATGGAAAGCGGGAGAATGGGGCGGGGTGATGGAAAGCGAGAGAATGGGGCGGGGTGTTGGAAAGCGGGAGAATGGGGCGGGGTGATGAAAAGCGGGAGAATGGGGCGGGGTGATGGAAAGCGGGAGAATGGGGCGGGGTGATGGAAGGAGGGAGAATGAGGTGGGGTGATGGAAGGAGGGAGAATGGGGCGGGGTGATGGAAAGTGGGAGAATGGGTCGGGGTGATGGAAAGCGGGAGAATGGGGCGGAGTGATGGAGAGCGGGAGAATGGGGCGGGGTGATGGAAAGCAGGAGAATGGGGCGGGGGGATGGAAAGCGGGAGAATGGGGCGGGGTGATAGAAAGCGGGAGAGTGGGGCGGGGTGATGGAAAGCGGGAGAATGGGGCGGGTGATGGAAAGCGGGTGAATGGGGCAGGGTGATGGAAAGCGGGAGAATGGGGCGGGGTGATGGAAAGCAGAAGATTGAGGCGGGGTGATGGAAAGCGGGAGAATGGGGCGAGGTGATGGAAAGCGGGAGAATGGGGCGGGTGATCGAAAGCGGGAGAATGGGGCGGGGTGATAGAAGGAGGGAGAATGGGGAGGGGTGATGGAAAGCGGGGAAAAGGGGCGGGATGATGGGAAGCGGAAGAATGGGGCGGGGTGATGGAAAGCGGGAGAATGGGGCGGGGTGATGGAAAGCGGGAGAATGGGGCGGGGAGATGGAAAGCGGGAGAAAGGGGCGGGGTGATGGAAAGCGGGAGAATGGGGCGGGCTGATGGAAAGCAGGAGAATGGGGCGGGGTGATGGAAGGAGGGCGAATGGGGCGGGGTGATGGAAGGAGAGAGAAGGGGCCGGGGTGATGGAAAGTGGGAAAATGTGGCGGGGTGATGGAAAGCGGGAGAATGGGGTGGGGTTATGGGAAGCGGGAGAATGGGGCGGGGTGATGGAAAGCGGGAGAATGGGGCGGGGTGATGGAATGAGGGAGAATGGGGCGGGGTGATGGAAGGAGGGAGAATGGGGCGGGGTGATGGAAAGCGGGAGAATGGGGCGGGGTGATGGAAGGAGGAAGAATGGGGCGGGGTGATGGAAAGCGGGAGAATGGGGCGGGGTGATTGAAAGCGGGAGAAAGGGGCGGGTGATGGAAAGCGAGAGAATGGGGCGGGGTGATGGAAGGAGGGAGAATGGGGAGGGGTGATGGAAAGCGGGGGAATGGGGCGGGATGATGGGAAGCGGAAGAATGGGGCGGGGTGATGGAAAGCGGGAGAATGGGGCGGGGGGGTGGAAAGCGGGAGATTGGGGCGGGGTGATGGAAAGCGGGAGAATGGGGCGGGGTGATGGAAAGCGGGAGAATGGGGCGGGTGATGGAAAGCGGGTGAATGGGGCAGGGTGATGGAAAGCGGGAGAATGGGGCGGGGTGTTGGAAAGCAGAAGATTGAGGCGGGGTGATGGAAAGCGGGAGAATGGGGCGAGGTGATGGAAAGCGGGAGAATGGGGCGGGTGATGGAAAGCGGGAGAATGGGGCGGGGTGATAGAAGGAGGGAGAATGGGGAGGGGTGATGGAAAGCGGGGAAAAGGGGCGGGATGATGGGAAGCGGAAGAATGGGGCGGGGTGATGGAAAGCGGGAGAATGGGGCGGGGTGATGGAAAGCGGGAGAATGGGGCGGGGAGATGGAAAGCGGGAGAAAGGGGCGAGGTGATGGAAAGCGGGAGAATGGGGCGGGCTGATGGAAAGCAGGAGAATGGGGCGGGGTGATGGAAGGAGGGAGAATGGGGCGGGGTGATGGAAGGAGAGAGAAGGGGCCGGGGTGATGGAAAGTGGGAAAATGTGGCGGCGTGATGGAAAGCGGGAGAATGGGGTAGGGTTATGGGAAGCGGGAGAATGGGGCGGGGTGATGGAAAGCGGGAGAATGGGGCGGGGTGATGGAATGAGGGAGAATGGGGCGGGGTGATGGAAGGAGGGAGAATGGGGCGGGGTGATGGAAAGCGGGAGAATGGGGCTGGGTGATGGAAGGAGGAAGAATGGGGCGGGGTGATGGAAAGCGGGAGAATGGGGCGGGGTGATGGAAAGCGGGAGAATGGGGCGGGGTGATGGAAAGCGAGAGAATGGGGCGGGGTGATGGAAGGAGGGAGAATGGGGAGGGGTGATGGAAAGCGGGGGAATGGGGCGGGATGATGGGAAGCGGGAGAATGGGGCGGGGTGATGGAAAGCGGGAGAATGGGGCGGGGAGATGGAAAGTGGGAGAAAGGGGAGGGGTGATGGAAAGCGGGAGAATGGGGCGGGCTGATGGAAAGCGGGAGAATGGGGCGGGGTGATGGAACGAGGGAGAATGGGGCGGGGTGATGGAAGGAGAGAGAAGGGGGCGGGGTGATGGAAAGTGGGAGAATGTGGCGGGGTGATGGAAAGCGGGAGAATAGGGTGGGGTTATGGGAAGCGGGAGAATGGGGCGGGGTGATGGAAAGCGGGAGAATGGGGCGGGGTGATGGAAGGAGGGAGAATGGGGCGGTGTGATGGAAGGAGGGAGAATGGGGCGGAGTGATGGAAAGCGGGAGAATGGGGCGGGGTGATGGAAGGAGGGAGAATAGGGCGGGATGATGGAAAGCGGGAGAATGGGGCGGGGTGATGGAAGGAGGGAGAATGGGGCGGGGTGATGGAAAAGCGGGAGAATGGGGCGGGGTGATGGAAGGCGGGAGAATGGGGCAGGGTGATGGAAAGCGGGAGAATGGGGCGGGGTGAAGGAAGGAGGGAGAATGGGGCGGGGTGATGGAAGGAGGAAGAAGGGGGAGGGGTGATGGAAAGCGAGAGAATGGGCTGGGGTGTTGGAAAGCGGGAGAATGGGGCGGGGTGATGAAAAGCGGGATAATGGGGCGGGGTGATGGAAAGCGAGAGAATGGGGCGGGGTGATGGAAAGCGGGAGAATGGGGCGGGGTGATGGAAAGCGGGAGAATGGGGCGGTGTGATGGAAAGCGGGTGAATGGGGTGGGCTGATCGAAAGCGGGAGAATGGGGCGGGGTGATGGAAGGAGGGAGAATGGGGCGGGGTGATGGAAAGCGGGAGAATGGGGCGGGGTGATGGAAAGTGGGAGAATGGGGCGGGGTGATGGAAAGCGGGAGAATGGGGCAGGGAGATGGAAAGCGGGAGAAAGGGGAGGGGTGATGGAAAGCGGGAGAATGGGGCGGGCTGACGGAAAGCGGGAGAATGGGGCGGGGTGATGGAAGGAGAGAGAAGGGGGCGGGGTGATGGAAAGTGGAAGATTGTGGCGGGGTGATGGAAAGTGGAAGATTGTGGCGGGGTGATGGAAGGAGGGAGAATGGGGCAGGGTGATGGAAGGAGGGAGAATGGGGCGGGGTGATGGAAAGCGGGAGAATGGGGCGGGGTGATGGAAAGCGGGAGAATGGGGCGGGGTGATGGAAGGAGGGAGAATGGGGCAGGGTGATGGAAGGAGGGAGAATGGGGCGGGGTGATGGAAAGCGGGAGAATGGGGCGGGGTGATGGAAGGAGGGAGAATGGGGAGGGGTGATGGAAAGCGGGGAAATGGGGCGGTATGATGGGAAGCGGGAGAATGGGGCGGGGTGATGGAAAGCGGGAGAATGGGGCGGGGTGATGGAAAGCGGGAGAATGGGGCAGGGAGATGGAAAGCGGGAGAAAGGGGTGGGGTGATGGAAAGCGGGAGAATGGGGCGGGCTGATGGAAAGCGGGAGAATGGGGTGGGGTGATGGAAGGGGGGAGAATGGGGCGGGGTGATGGAAGGAGGGAGAAGGGGGCGGGGAGATGGAAAGTGGGAGAATGGGGCGGGGTGATGGAAAGCGGGAGAATGGGGCGGGGTTATGGGAAGCGGGAGAATGGGGCGGGGTGATGGAAAGCGGGGGAATGGGGCGGGATGATGGGAAGCCGAAGAATGGGGCGGGGTGATGGAAAGCGGGAGAATGGGGCGGGGTGATGGAAAGCGGGAGAATGGGGCGGGGTTATGGGAAGCGGGAGAATGGGGCGGGGTGATGGAAAGCAGGGGAATGGGGCGGGATGATGGGAAGCGGAAGAATGGGGCGGGGTGATGGAAAGCGGGAGAATGGGGCGGGATGATGGGAAGCGGGAGGATGGGGCGGGGTGATGGAAAGCGGGAGAATGGGGCGGGGTGATGGAAAGCGGGAGAATGGGGCAGGGAGATGGAACGCGGGAGAAAGGGGCGGGGTGATGGAAAGCGGGAGAGTGGGGCGGGCTGATGGAAAGCGGGAGAATGGGGCAGGGTGATGGAAGGAGAAAGAATGGGGCGGGGTGATGGAAGGAGGGAGAAGGGGGCGGGGTGATGGAAAGCGGGAAAATGGGGCGGGGTGATGGAAAGCGGGAGAATGGGGCGGGGTGATGGAAGGAGGGAGAATGGGGCGGGGTGATGGAAAAGCGGGAGAATGGGGCGGGGTGATGGAAGGCGGGAGAATGGGGCAGGGTGATGGAAAGCGGGAGAATGGGGCGGGGTGAAGGAAGGAGGGAGAATGGGGCGGGGTGATGGAAGGAGGAAGAAGGGGGAGGGGTGATGGAAAGCGAGAGAATGGGCTGGGGTGTTGGAAAGCGGGAGAATGGGGCGGGGTGATGAAAAGCGGGATAATGGGGCGGGGTGATGGAAAGCGGGAGAATGGGGCGGGGTGATGGAAAGCGGGAGAATGGGGCGGGGTGATGGAAAGCGGGAGAATGGGGCGGTGTGATGGAAAGCGGGTGAATGGGGTGGGCTGATCGAAAGCGGGAGAATGGGGCGGGGTGATGGAAGGAGGGAGAATGGGGCGGGGTGATGGAAAGCGGGAGAATGGGGCGGGGTGATGGAAAGCAGGAGAATGGGGCGGGCTGATGGAAAGCGGGAGAATAGGGCGGGGTGATGGAAGGAGGGAGAATGGGGCGGGGTGATGGAAGGAGAGAGAAGGGGGCGGGGTGATGGAAAGCGGGAGAATGGGGTGGGGTTATGGGAAGCGGGAGAATGGGGCGGGGTGATGGAAAGCGGGAGAATGGAGCGGGGTGATGGAATGAGGGAGAATAGGGCGGGGTGATGGAAGGAGGGAGAATGGGGCGAGGTGATGGAAAGCGGGAGAATGGGGCGGGGTGATGGAAGGAGGGAGAATGGGGCGGGGTGATGGAAAGCGGGAGAATGGGTCGGGGTGATGGAAAGCGGGAGAATGGGGCGGGGTGATGGAAAGCGAGAGAATGGGGCGGGGTGATGGAAGGAGGGAGAATGGGGAGGGGTGATGGAAAGCGGGGGAATGGGGCGGGATGATGGGAAGCGGAAGAATGGGGCGTGGTGATGGAAAGCGGGAGAATGGGGCGTGGTGATGGAAAGCGGGAGAATGGGGCGGGGAGATGAAAAGCGGGAGAAAGGGGAGGGGTGATGGAAAGCGGGAGAATGGGGCGGGGTTATGGGAAGCGGGAGAATGGGGCGGGGTGATGGAAAGCGGGAGAATGGGGCGGGGTGATGGAAGGAGGGAGAATGGAGCGGGGTGATGGAAGGAGGGAGAATGGGGCGGGGTGATGGAAAGCGGGAGAATGGGGCGGGGTGATGGAAGGAGGGAGAATGGGGCGGGGTGATGGAAGGAGGGAGAATGGGGAGGGGTGATGGAAAGCGGGGGAATGGGGCGGGATGATGGGAAGCGGAAGAATGGGGCGGGGTGATGGAAAGCGGGAGAATGGGGCGTGGTGATGGAAAGCGGGAGAATGGGGCGGGGAGATGGAAAGCGGGAGAAAGGGGAGGGGTGATGGAAAGCGGGAGAATGGGGCGGGCTGATGGAAAGCGGGAGAATGGGGCGGGGTGATGGAAGGAGGGAGAATGGGGCGGGGTGATGGAAGGAGAGAGAAGGGGGCGGGGTGATGGAAAGTGGGAGAATGTGGCGGGGTGATGGAAAGCGGGGGAATGGGGTGGGGTTATGGGAAGCGGGAGAATGAGGCGGGGTGATGGAAAGCGGGAGAATGGGGCAGGGTGATGGAAGGAGGGAGAATGGGGCGGGGTGATGGAAGGAGGGATAATGGGGCGGAGTGATGGAAAGCGGGAGAATGGGGCGGGGTGATTGAAAGCGGGAGAATGGGGCGGGGTGATGGAAAGCGAGAGAATGGGGCGGGGTGATGGAAGGAGGGAGAATGGGGAGGGGTGATGGAAAGCGGGGGAATGGGGCGGGATGATGGGAAGCGGAAGAATGGGGCGGGGTGATGGAAAGCGGGAGAATGGGGCGGGGTGATGGAAGGAGGGAGAATGGAGCGGGGTGATGGAAAGCGGGAGAATGGGACGGGGTGATGGAAAGCGGGAGAATGGGGCGGGGTGATAGAAAGCGGGAGAATGGGGCGGGGTGATGGAAAGCGGGAGAATGGGGCGGGGTGATGGAAAGCGGGAGAATGGGGCGGGGTGATGGAAAGCGGGAGAATGGGGCGGGGTTATGGAAAGCGGGAGAATAAGGCGGGGTGATGGAAAGCGGGAGAATGTGGCGGGGTGATGGAAGGAGAGAGAATGGGGCGGGGTGATGGAAAGCGGGAGAATGGGGCGGGGTTATGGAAAGCAAGAGAATGGGGCGGGGTGATGGAAAGCGGTAGAATGGGGCGGGGTGATGGAAAGCTGGAGAATGGGGCGGGGTGATGGAAAGCAGGAGAATGGGGCGCGGTGATGGAAAGTGGGAGAATGGGGCGGGGTGATGGAAAGCGGGAGAATGGGGCGGGGTGATGGAAAGCGGGAGAATGGGGCGGGATGATGGAAAGCGGGAGAATGGGGCGGGATGATGAAAGGAGGGAGAATGGGGTGGGGTGATAGAAGGAGGGAGATTGGGGCGGGGTGATGGAAAGCGGGAGAAGGGGGCGAGGTGATGGAAAGCGGGAGAATAGGGCGGGGCTATGGAGTGCGGGAGAGTGGGGCGGGGTGAGGGAAAGCGGGAGAATGGGGCGGGGTGATGGAAAGCGGGAGAATGGGGCGGGGTGATGGAAAGCGGGAGAATGGGGCGGGGTGATGGAAAGCGGGAGAATGGGACGGGGTGATGGAAAGCGGGAGAATGGGGCAGGGTGATGGAAAGCGGGAGAGTGGGGCGAGGTGATGGAAAGCGGGAGAATGGGGCGGGGTGATGGAAAGCGGGAGAATGGGGCGGGTTGATGGAAAGCGGGACAATGGGGTGGGGTAATGGAAAGCGGGAGAATAAGGTGGGGTGATGGAAGGAGGGAGAATGAGGCGGGGTGATGGAAAGCGGGAGAATGGGGCGGGGTGATGGAAAGCGGGAGAATGGGGCAGGATGATGGAAAGCGGGAGAATGGGGAGGGGTGATGGAAAGCGGGCGAATAGGGCGGGGTGATGGAAGGCAAGAGAATCAGGTGGGGTGATGGAAGGAGGGAAAATGGGGCGGGGTGATGGAAGGAGGGAGAATGGGACGGGGTGATGGAAAGCGGGAGAATGGGGCTGGGTGATAGGAAGCGGAGGAATGGGGCGGGGTGATGGAAAGCGGTACAATGGGGCGGGGTCATGGAAAGCGGGAGAATGGGGCGTGGTGATGGAAGGAGGGAGATTGGGGCGGGGTGATGGAAGCAACAAGAATGGGGAGGGGTGATGGAAAGCGGGAGAATGGGGCGGGGTGATGGAAAACGGGAAAATGGGGCGGGGTGATGGAAAGTGGGAGAATGGGGCGGGGTGATGGAAGGAAGGAGAATGGGGCGGGGTGATGGAAGGAGGGAGAATGGGGAGGGTTGATGGAAAGCGGGAGAATGGGGCGGGGTGATGGAAAGCGGGAGAATGGGGCGGGGTGATGGAAAGCGAGAGAATGGGTCGGGGTGATGGAAAGCGGGAGAATGGGGTGGGGTGATGGAAAGCGGGAGGATGGTTTGGGGTGATGGGAAGGAGGGAGAATGGGGCGGGGTGATGGAAGGTGGGAGGATGGGGTGGGGTGATGGAAAGCGGGAGAATGGGGCGGGGTGATGGAAAGCAGGAGAATGGGGCGGGGTGGTGGAAAGCGGGAGAATGGGGCGGGGTGATGGAAAGCAGGAGAATGGGGCGGGGTGATGGAAAACGGGAAAATGGGGCGGGGTGATGGAAAGCGGGAGAATGGGGCGGGGTGATGGAAGGCAGGAGAATGGGGCGGGGTGATGGAAGGAGGAAGAATGGGGTGGGTTGATGGAAAGAGGGAGATTGGGGCGGGGTGATGGAAAGCAGGAGAATGGGGCGGGGCGATGGTAAGCGGGAGAATGGGGCGGGGTGATGGAAAGCGGGAGAATGGGGCGGGGTGATGGAAAGCGGGAGAATGGGGTGGGGTGATGGTAAGCGGGAGAATGGGGCGGAGTGATGGAAAGCGGGAGAATGGGGCGGGGTGATGGAAAGCAGGAGAATGGGGCAAGGTGGTGGAAAGCGGGAGAATGGGGCGGGTTGATGGAAAGCAGGAGAATGGGGCGGGGTGATGTAAGGAGGCAGAATGGGGCGTGGTGATGGAAGGAGGGAGAATGGGGCGGGGTGATGGAAGGAGGGAGAATGGGGCGGGGTGATACAAAGCGGGAGAATGGGGCGGGGTGATGGAAAGCGGGAGAATGGGGCGGGGTGATGGAAAGCGGGAGAATGGGGCGGGGTGATGGAAAGCGGGAGAATGGGACGGGGTGATGGAAAGCGGGAGAATGGGGCAGGGTGATGGAAGGAGGGAGAATGGGGCGGGGTGATACAAAGCGGGAGAATGGGGCGGGGTGATGGAAAGCGGGAGAATGGGGCGGGGTGATGGAAAGCGGGAGAATGGGGCGGGGTGATGGAAAGCGGGAGAATGGGGCAGGATGATGGAAAGCGGGAGAATGGGGCAGGATGATGGAATGCGGGAGAATGGGGAGGGGTGATGGAAAGCGGGCGAATGGGGCGGGGTGATGGAAGGCAAGAGAATCGGGCGGGGTGATGGAAGGAGGGAAAATGGGGTGGGGTGTTGGAAGGAGGGAGAATGGGACGGGGTGATGGAAAGCGGGAGAATGGGGCTGGGTGATAGGAAGCGGGAGAATGGGGCGGGGTGATGGAAAGCGGTACAATGGGGCGGGGTCATGGAAAGCGGGAGAATGGGGCGGGGTGATGGAAGGAGGGAGATTGGGGCGGGGTGATGGAAGCAACGAGAATGGGGAGGATTGATGGAAAGCGGGAGAATGGGGCGGGGTGATGGAAAACGGGAAAATGGGGCGAGCTGATGGAAAGTGGGAGAATGGGGCGGGGTGATGGAAGGAAGGAGAATGGGTCGGGGTGATAGAAGGAGGGAGAATGGGGCAGGGTGATGGAAAGAGGGAGAATGGGGCGGGGTGATGGAAAGCGGGTGAATGGGGCGGGGTGATGGAAAGCGGGAGAATGGGGCGAGGTGATGGAAAGCGGGAGAATTGGGCGGGGTGATGGAAAGCGGGAGAATGGGGCGGGGTGATGGAAAGCGGGAGAATGTGGTGGGGTGATGGAAGGAGAGAGAATGGGGCGGGGTGATGGAAAGCGGGAGAATGGGGCGGAGTGATGGAAAGCGGGAGAACGGGGCGGGGTGATGGAAAGCGGGAGAATGGGGTGGGGTGATGGAAAGCTGGAGAATGGGGCGGGATGATGGAAAGCAGGAGAATGGGGCGCGGTGATGGAAAGTGGGAGAATGGGGCGGGGTGATGGAAAGCGTGAGAATGGGGCGGGGTGATGGAAAGCGGGAGAATGGGGCGGGGTGATGGAAAGCGGGAGAATGGGGCGGGATGATGAAAGGAGGGAGATTGGGGCGGGGTGATGGAAAGCGGGAGAAGGGGGCGAGGTGATGGAAAGCGGGAGAATAGGGCGGGGCTATGGAATGCGGGAGACTGGGGCGGGGTGAAGGAAAGCGGGAGAATGGGGCGGGGTGATCGAAAGCGGGAGCATGGGGCAGGGTGATGGAAAGCAGGAGAATGGGGCGGGGTTATGGAAGGAGGGAGAATGGGGCGGGGTGATGGAAGGAGAGAGAATGGGGCGGGGTGATGGAAAGCAGGAGAATGGGGCAGGGTGATGGAAAGCGTGAGAATGGGGCGGTGTGATGGAAAGCGGGAGAATGGGGCAGGGTGATGGAAAGCGGGAGAATGGGGCGGGGTGATGGAAAGCGGGAGAATGGGGCGGGGTGATGGAAAGTGGGAGAATGGGGCGTGGTGATGGAAAGAGGGAGAATGGGGCGAGGTGATGGAAAGCGGGAGAATGGGGCAGGGTGATGGAAGGAGGGAAAATGGGGCGCGGTGATGGAGGGAGGGAGAATGGGGTGGGGTGATGGAAAGCGGGAGAATGGGGCGGGGTGATGGAAAGCGGGGGAATGGGGCGGGGTGATGGAAAGTGGGAGAACGGGGCGGGCTGATGGAAAGCGGGAGAATGGGGCGGGGTGATGGAAAGCTGGAGAATGGGGCGGGGTGATGCAAAGTGGGAGATCGGGGCGGGGTGATGGAAAGCGGGAGAATGGGGCGGGGTGATGGAACGCTGGAGAATGGGGCGGGGTGATGGAAAGCAGGAGAATGGGGCGGGGTGATGGAAAGTGGGAGAATGGGGCGGGGTGATGGAAAGCACGAGAATGGGGCGGGGTGATGGAAAGCGTGAGAATGGGGCGGTGTGGTGGAAAGCGGGAGAATGGGGCGGGGTGATGGAAAGCTGGAGAATGGGGCGGGGTGATGCAAAGTGGGAGAACGGGGCGGGGTGATGGAAGGTGGGAGGATGGGGTGGGGTGATGGAAAGCGGGAGAATGGGGCGGGGTGATGGAAAGCAGGAGAATGGGGCGGGGTGGTGGAAAGCGGGAGAATGGGGCGTGGTGATGGAAGGTGGGAGGATGGGGTGGGGTGATGGAAAGCGGGAGAATGGGGCGGGGTGATGGAAAGCAGGAGAATGGGGCGGGGTGGTGGAAAGCGGGAGAATGGGGCGGGGTGATGGAAAGCTGGAGAATGGGGCGGGGTGATGGAAAGCAGGAGAATGGGGCGGAGTGATGGAAAGTGGGAGAATGGGGCGGGGTGATGGAAGGAGGGAGAATGGGGCGCGGTGATGGAGGGAGGGAGAATGGGGCGGGGTGATGGAAAGCGGGAGAATGGGGCGGGGTGATGGAAAGCGGGAGAATGGGGCGGGGTGATGGAAAGCGGGAGAATGGGACGGGGTGATGGAAAGCGGAAGAATGGGGCGGGGTGATGGAAAGCTGGAGAATGGGGCGGATTGATGCAAAGTGGGAGAACGGAGGGGTGATGGAAAGCGGGAGAATGGGGCGGGGTGATGGAATGCGGGAGAATGGGGTGGGGTGATGGAAAGCAGGAGAATGGGGCGGGGTGATGGAAAGTGGGAGAATGGGGCGGAGTGATGGAAGGAGGGAGAATGGGGCGGGGTGATGGAAAGCAGGAGAATGGGGCGGGGTGATGGAAAGCGTGAGAATGGGGCGGTGTGGTGGAAAGCGGGAGAATGGGGCGGGGTGATGGAAAGCTGGAGAATGGGGCGGGGGGATGGAAAGCGGGAGAATGGGGCGAGGTGATGGAAAGCAGGAGAATAGGGCAGGGTGATGGAAGGAGGGGGAATGGGGCGCGGTGATGGAAGGAGGGAGAATGGGGCGGGGTGATGGAAAGCGGGAGAATGGGGCGGGGTGATGGAAAGCGGGAGAATGGGGTGGGGTGATGGAAAGTAGGAGAACGGGGCGGGGTGATGGAAAGCGGGAGAATGGGGCGGGGTGATGGAAAGCTGGAGAATGGGGCGGGGTGATTGAAAGCAGGAGAATGGGGCGGGGTGATGGAAAGCGGGAGAATGGGGCGGGGTGATGGAAAGCGGGAGAATGGGGCGGGGCGATGGAAAGCGGGAGAATGGGGCGGGGTGATGGAAAGCGGGAGAATGGGGCGGGGTGATGAAAGGAGGGAGAATGGGGTGGAGTGATGGAAGGAGGGACATTGGGGCGGGGTGATGGAAAGCGGGAGAAGGGGGCGAGGTGATGGAAAGCGGGAGAATAGGGCGGGGCTATGAAATGCGGGAGACTGGGGCGGGGTGAGGGAAAGCGGGACAATGGGGCGGGGTGATGGAAAGCGGGAGAATGGGGCGGGGTGATGGAAAGCGGAAGAATGGAGCGGGGTTATGGAAGGAGGGAGAATGGGGCGGGGTGATGGAAGGAGGGAGAATGGGGGGGGGTGATGGAAAGCAGGAGAATGGGGCGGGGTGATGGAAAGCGTGAGAATAGGGCGGTGTGATGGAAGGAGGGAGAATGGGGCGGGGTGATGGAAAGCAGGAGAATGGGGCAGGGTGATGGAAAGCGTGAGAATGGGGCGGTGTGGTGGAAAGCGGGAGAATGGGGCGGGGTGATGGAAAGCGGGAGAATGGGGCGGGGTGATGGAAAGCGGGAGAATGGGGCGAGGTGATGGAAAGCGGGAGAATGGGGCAGGGTGATGGAAGGAGGGAGAATGGGGCGTGGTGATGGAAGGAGGGAGAATGGGGTGGGGTGATGGAAAGCGGGAGAATGGGGCGGGGTGATGGAAAGCGGGAGAATGGGGCGGGGTGATGGAAAGTGTTAGAGACTAAGGACGGAGTCTATGAAGATTATGTGTCTAACTTTCTCAAAATCGTTGGTCTCAATTTCTGGACAGAATCGTCGAGTTCACAAGAAACGCCGTCGACAAAAAACACAACGTCAAAACTTCACGAAACTCTGATATGTAGTAGCCCTAGACCGTAGCTACATTTTCCAATTTGAATCGTATCCAAAGGTGAAGTATTTTTTGACTTATGAATTTCGGCGCACAGGGGGGTATGCTGCCATAGAGAATTTACTCAATCACAAGAGTTCTCACAATTCTCACAAGTTCTACACAAGAGAGTTAGAGTGGCACTAAACCAGCTAGGAGGGAAGAGGAGGACGAGAGGGAAGGTCACAAGGAGTCCCCAACCAAGGAAACCCCCATGCCACACAATTTCCCTCTCAATAGGCAACCCAACTTTCACCCTTGTCATTTTCCCAACCTCCCAAATCCACCTCACCCAACTTGGCCACACTTGCCAACCTGGTTTGGTTTCTCCCAACCACTTGGCAGCATCTACAGTGATGGGTACGAATTCCCCAACCCCCACAAGTCTGTACCCCATGTTGAGTCAACCCCACAATTTCCCATAGTCACCACAATCAAACACGCAATGCACACGAACTCCCAACGTTCGTAACTTTCTTGTTCGTGCTCCGATTGAAGCGATACTTGGTTCACAGAAAGCTCTTGAGTAGAGGAGTAACTTCAGATATCTGCTCAATCCAAATAACATTCACACACACTCAGAGAATCCAAACCACACCAAACACAAATTCTTGCACACGCTCACACCACGCATGCAACGCACGAACACATGATGGGAGGCAGACAGACGTGAATGCGTATGGTAGCATCACTCAACAAACTCCCCCTCTGGCTGCCAACGATCAACCCACATGCCATAGCTCAAGAATGTACACTCATCCCCGCAAGCTTCATTCCCTTCCAATTTTCCTCCAACACTTATCACAATGCACACTTGAACAACTCCCTTTTAGTTCAGATCTGCAGCACCCCGCTGCAGCCTCTCTCTCACGGCACTATCCTCCAAACCCTCTCAATCCAGCCCCAGAGCAATAGGCTATCTCATCCTCATTACACTTTTTAGTCACACTCCCAGCTGGCACCACACTTGGCGTGCCACGACTCGCATAGGTGAGCTTGTTAGGAGGGCGCACATCCCTCCTAGGACGGTCAGCCGTACGTGCGGCACTCTTCGGAGCACCTTGCTGCTGCTGCTGCTGCTGCTGATCCTCCACCTCAGGTTCTTCCCCATCCTCAGTCACCCCAGAGATCTCATCCTCTGAGACAGTGACCTTCACTTGCCTCGAAAGCCGCTGCACCTCATCAGCCTCAATAATCAGCGGTGTAGTAGGAAGCTTCTGCTGCTGCTGCTTCCACTCCTTGTAGTACAAGGACTCGAGGAACTTTACATCCCTTGACACAGTCAGCTGCTGGCTGGTCAAGTCCCAAATCAGCCAGCCCTTGTGATCCTTAGCAAGCCCCAAGTGCACACCCCATCTCCCAGAAGCTTCCAGTTTTCCCCTCTTCTCCTTATGCACATGAAACACCACCATGCAGCCGTAGGCTCTCAGCATGTTGACTGCTGGTGCACTCCCATACCACTTGGTGTAGGGGACCCATTGCTTGTCCCCCACTGTCGCCAGCACCCGGTTCTTTACAACAGCGACCTGCCGCAGTGCTGTCACCCAAAACGGATCCGGCAGCCCTGCACGCCCAAGGAGAGTGCGAGCACATTCCTGCAGGGTCTGGTTGAACCGCTCAGCCACGCCGTTCTGCTGAGGGTTGTAAGGCACTGTGAGCTGATGCTGGATCCCCTTCTTCTTCAGCACTACCTCAAAATCAGCGCCAATAAACTCTCCTCCGTTGTCAGTGCGGATCACCTTCACCTTATGTCCGCTCTCCCTTTGAGCTCTCGGCATCCACTCCTTGAGAACAGCCGCTGCCACCTCCCCCTTAATCTTCAGAGGGTAGACCCACACCGCACGCGTGTGGTCGTCCACAATGGTCAAGAAGTAGCGGCTGCTCGAGAGAGAAAGGGCCCTTGTGGGGCCCACCACATCCATGTGCACAAGCGCGAGTGGAACCTTGGCTGGTCCCGTGCTGCTGCTGAAGGGAAACTTCGTGAACTTCGTTTCAAGGCATGTAGGGCAGCTCCCAATCTCCTTCGCTGCCCCCTTCACCCCCAACCTCTCAATCTCCCATCCTTCACTAACTTTTGCAGCATAGGGATGTTTATGTGACACAACCTCTCGTGCCACGTCTCCCAATCGGCCTCACCACTCCCAGATGAAGCCTTTGCCCATGCAGCACTCCCATCCACACCAGCAAGCACCTCACCATGTAGTTGCTGTGACTGCTGCACCTTCTTGACTGCATCCAGGGCCCCATCAGTTGGTGCAATCTCCTCTCCTCCCGTAGTTGCCTTAACCGCTGCTGCTGCCTTTGCCGTTGCTGGTGGTTTCCCATTCCAAGGGATGATGGGCAGCTGCCACAGGTCCTTGATGCAGCTGCTCTTCTCGTCCAAATCCTAGAGCAGCAACTTCCCAAGCTTTGCACGGCAGCTGGTTGGGCCGAACGTAACTTTGGCCTTGCTTTTCTGCAGCCGGCGAACAGAGAGGAGGTTAGCAGACAAACCTTGAACCAACAGTACATTCCCCAGCCCCACAAGCCCCCCATTGGCTCCCATGACCTTGGCATTCCCAACACCAATCACAGAGAGCAAAGCACCTGAAGCGGCAGCCACAAACTTTATCTTCCCGGGGGGTTTCACCTCATCAAGCAAATCTGCCCGTGGAGTCATGTGACTCGTGCAACCTGAATCGATCACCCAGTGAGTGAGGGGGTGCATCACAACCTTCCCAACTGAACCCACATCACCCTCACTCCCTTTCACATCCTCAACCATGAGGAACATCCCAGGGTCGGCTTTACCTTGTGCACCTGAACCTTGCACAGCCCCACCTCGTTCGCGTTCACCACTTGGCGGCTTCATGCCTGGAGGCGCCCATCCTTCAGGCCGGCTGAAACACTTGAACCATGGGTGTCCAGCCTTCTTGCAGTACCAGCACGCACCCTCCATTCGGGTGCTCCCCCTGCCACCAGAGCTCCCATGCCCCTCGTTGTAGTCACCTCGACCTCTTCCTCTGCCAAAGCCTCTCCCACGGACTCGGCCTCTCCCACCCCCTCTTCCTCTTCCTGCTGCAGCTCCACACCCCTCAGCAGTTTTGTTGGCAGCACCACCTCCCGTGTGACGCCTGCGGAAGTCCTCCTGCAAGATCTGCTGCCGTAGCCACTCAGGTGTCCACTTGTCCTGCTGAACGTTGAGGGTGGGGATAAGGTTGTCCCACGAGTTGTCGAGCACCGAGATGATCTTGGTGCACTGCTGCATCTCCGACACCTTGCTGCCCGCCGCTGCCATCCTCCCATAGGTGTCCTTGATCTTGTCAAGCACCGGTTTCACATCGTCTCCCGGCCGCATGGAGAGGGCAGCCAGCTCCTTCTCCAACACGATCACCATCGGCAGCATGTTGGGCTGAACCACGTCGCGCAGTAGCTTCCACGCCTTTGGTCCGAAGTCATCGAGCTCCACCAAATCCTTGATGTGCTGAAACATGTCGTTGTTCACCGATTGAAGGATGAGGTCGTACAGCACCACGCTTGGCTCAATCCACCGATCGCGGGCATCTCCTTCCTCGGGCATCTTCTCCTCTCCCATAGCCAATTTCAGCAGCTTGTAGCGCTTGAAGGCGCTCCTCATCCACCCACTCCATTCTTCATAGTTGGAGCCATCCAATGCCTCAATCTTGGATGGTGGCGGCTCACTCTTCTTCTCAGCTGCTTCTCCACTCCCTTGACTCATCTCCTCAGCTCCCTATCACAGGTTTCAGCTCCCCCCTTTGCTGGTCACAATGTATATCCATAATATTTTCACAAGTGACGGCGCCAACGAAATTTCGGCAGAGTTTCCCCTTAGCGGAAGTCACATGCAACCTCCACAACTCCACTTAGGCACGCCCACAGGCCATGGTGGGTCTGGGAGGGTTTTCACACTTCAGTAGACTCTCCACAAAGTCCTTAATCAGCTCTGATACCACTTGTTACAGACTAAGGACGGAGTCTATGAAGATTATGTGTCTAACTTTCTCAAAATCGTTGGTCTCAATTTCTGGATAGAATCGTCGAGTTCACAAGAAACGCCGTCGACAAAAAACACAACGTCAAAACTTCACGAAACTCCGATATGTAGTAGCCCTAGACCGTAGCTACATTTTCCAATTTGAATCGTATCCAAAGGTGGAGTATTTTACGACGTATGAATTTCGGCGCACAGGGGGGTATGCTGCCATAGAGAATTTACTCAATCACAAGAGTTCTCACAATTCTCACAAGTTCTACACAAGAGAGTTAGAGTGGCACTAAACCAGGTAGGAGGGAAGAGGAGGACGAGAGGGAAGGTCACAAGGAGTCCCCAACCAAGGAAACCCCCATGCCACACAATTTCCGTCTCAATAGGCAACCCAACTTTCACCCTTGTCATTTTCCCAACCTCCCAAATCCACCTCACCCAACTTGGCCACACTTGCCAACCTGGTTTGGTTTCTCCCAACCACTTGGCAGCATCTACAGTGATGGGTACGAATTCCCCAACCCCCACAAGTCTGTACCCCATGTTGAGTCAACCCCACAATTTCCCATAGTTACCACAATCAAACACGCAATGCATACGAACTCCCAACGTTCGTAACTTTCTTGTTCGTGCTCCGATTGAAGCGATACTTGGTTCACAGAAAGCTCTTGAGTAGAGGAGTAACTTCGGATATCTGCTCAATCCAAATAACATTCACACACACTCAGAGAATCCAAACCACACCAAACACAAATTCTTGCATACGCTCACACCACGCATGCAACGCACGAACACATGATGGGAGGCAGACAGACGTGAATGCATATGGTAGCATCACTCAACAGAAAGTGGGAGAACGGGGCGGGGTGATGGAAAGCGGGAGAATGGGGCGGGGTGATGGAAAGCTGGAGAATGGGGCGGGGTGTTGGAAAGCAGGAGAATGGGGCGGAGTGATGGAAAGTGGGAGAATGGGGCGGGGTGATGGAAAGCGGGAGAATGGGGCGGGGTGAAGGAAAGCGGGAGAATGGGGCGGGGTGATGGAAAGCGGGAGAATGGGGCGGGGTGATGCAAGGAGGGAGAATGGGGTGGGGTGATGGAAGGAGGGAGATTGGGCCGGGGTGATGGAAAGCGGGAGAAGGGGGCGAGGTGATGGAAAGCGGGAGAATAGGGCGGGGCTATGAAATGCGGGAGACTGGGGCGGGGTGAGGGAAAGCGGGAGAATGGGGCGGGGTGATGGAAAGCGGGAGAATGGGGCGGGGTGATGGAAAGCGGGAGAATGGGGCGGGGTGATGGAAGGAGGGAGAATGGGGCGGGGTGATAAAAAGCAGGAGAATGGGGCGGGGTGATGGAAAGCGAGAGAATAGGGCGGTGTGATGGAAAGCGGGAGAATGGGGCGGGGTGATGGAAGGAGGGAGAATGGGGAGGGGTGATGGAAAGCGGGAGAATGGGACGGGGTGATGGAAAGCGGGAGAATGGGGCGGGGTGATGGAAAGCGGGAGAATGGGGCGGGGTGATGGAAAGCGGGAGAATGGGGCGGGGTGATGGAGAGCGGGAGAATGGAGCGGGTGATGGAAAGCGGGAGAATGGGGCGGGGTGATGGAAAGCGGGAGAATGGGGTGGGGTGATGGAAAGCGGGAGAATGGGGCGGGGTGATGGAAAGCGGGAGAATCGGGCGGGGTGATGGAAAGCGGGAGAATGGGGCGGGGTGATGGAAAGAGGGAGAATGGGGAGGGGTGATGGAAAGCTGGAGAATGGGGCGTGGTGATGGAAAGCGGGAGAATGGGACGGGGTGATGGAAAGCGGGAGAATGGGGCGGGGTGATGGAAAGCGGGAGAATGGGGCGGGGTAATGGAAGGAGGGAGAATGGGGCGGGGTGATGGAAGGAGGGAGAATGGGGCGGGGTAATGGAAAGCAGGAGAATGGGGCGGGGTGATGGAAAGCGTGAGAATAGGGCGGTGTGATGGAAAGCGGGAGAATGGGGCGGGGTGATGGAAAGCGGGAGAATGGGGCAGGGTGATGGAAAGCGGGAGAATGGAGCGGGTGATGGAAAGCGGGAGAATAGGGCGGGGTGATGGAAAGCGGGAGAATGGGGCGGGGTGATGGAAAGCGGGAGAATGGGGCGGGGTGATGGAAAGCGGGAGAATGGGGCGGGGTGATGGAAAGCGGGAGAATGGAGCGGGTGATGGAAAGCGGGAGAATAGGGCGGGGTGATGGAAAGCGGGAGAATGGGGCGGGGTGATGGAAAGCGGGAGAATGGGGCGGGGTGATGGAAAGCGGGAGAATCGGGCGGGGTGATAGAAAGCGGGAGAATGGGGCGGGGTGATGGAAAGAGGGAGAATGGGACGGGGTGATGGAAAGCTGGAGAATGGGGCGTGGTGATGGAAAGCGGGAGAATGGGACGGGGTGATGGAAAGCGGGAGAATGGGGCGGGGTGATGGAAAGCGGGAGAATGGGGCGGGGTAATGGAAGGAGGGAGAATGGGGCGGGGTCATGGAAGGAGGGAGAATGGGGCGGGGTGATGGAAAGCAGGAGAATGGGGAGGGGTGATGGAAAGCGGGAGAATGGGGCGGGATGATGGAAAGCGGGAGAATGGGGCGGGGTGATGGAAAGCGGGAGAATGAGGCGGGGTGATGGAAAGCGGGAGAATGGGGCGGGGTGATGGAAAGCGGGAGAATGGAGCGGGTGATCGAAAGCGGGAGAATGGGGCGGGGTGATGGAAAGCGGGAGAATGGGGCGGGGTGATGGAAAGCGGGAGAATGGGGCGGGGTGATGGAATGCGGGAGAATCGGGCGGGGTGATAGAAAGCGGGAGAATGGGGCGGGGTGATGGAAAGAGGGAGAATGGGACGGGGTGATGGAAAGCTGGAGAATGGGGCGTGGTGATGGAAAGCGGGAGAATGGGACGGGGTGATGGAAAGCGGGAGAATGGGGCGGGGTGATGGAAAGCGGGAGAATGGGGCGGGGTAATGGAAGGAGGGAGAATGGGGCGGGGTCATGGAAGGAGGGAGAATGGGGCGGGGTGATGGAAAGCAGGAGAATGGGGATGGGTGATGGAAAGCGGGAGAATGGGGCGGGATGATGGAAAGCGGGAGAATGGGGCGGGGTGATGGAAAGCGGGAGAATGGGGCGGGGTGATGGAAAGCGGGGGAATGGGGCGGGGTGATGGATAGCGGGAGAATGGGGCGGGGTGATGGAAAGCGGGAGAATGGGACGGGGTGATGGAAAGCGGGAGAATGGGGCGGGGTGATGGAAAGCGGGAGAATGGGGCGGGGTGATGGAAAGCGGGAGAATGGGGCGGGGTGATGGAAAGCGGGAGAATGGAGCGGGTGATGGAAAGCGGGAGAATGGGGCGCGGTGATGGAAAGCGGGAGAATGGGGCGGGGTGATGGAAAGCGGGAGAATGGGGCGGGGTGATGGAAAGCGGGAGAATCGGGCGTGGTGATGGAAAGCGGGAGAATGGGGCGGGGTGATGGAAAGAGGGAGAATGGGACGGGGTGATGGAAAGCTGGAGAATGGGGCGTGGTGATGGGAAGCGGGAGAATGGGGCGGGGTGATGGAAAGCGGGAGAATGGGGCGGGGTAATGGAAGGAGGGAGAATGGGGCGGGGTGATGGAAGGAGGGAGAATGGGGCGGGGTGATGGAAAGCGGGAGAATGGGACGGGGTGATGGAAAGCGGGAGAATGGGACGGGGTGATGGAAAGCGGGAGAATGAGGCGGGGTGATGGAAAGCGGGAGAATGGGGCGGGGTGATGGAAAGCGGGAGAATGGAGCGGGTGATGGAAAGCGGGAGAATGGGGCGGAGTGATGGAAAGCGGGAGAATGGGGCGGGGTGATGGAAAGCGGGAGAATGGGGCGAGGTGATGGAAAGCGGGAGAATCGGGCGGGGTGATAGAAAGCGGGAGAATGGGGCGGGGTGATGGAAAGAGGGAGAATGGGACGGGGTGATGGAAAGCTGGAAAATGGGGCGTGGTGATGGAAAGCGGGAGAATGGGACGGGGTGATGGAAAGCGGGAGAATGGGGCGGGGTGATGGAAAGCGGGAGAATGGGTCGGGGTAATGGAAGGAGGGAGGATGGGGCGGGGTCATGGAAGGAGGGAGAATGGGGCGGGGTGATGGAAAGCAGGAGAATAGGGAGGGGTGATGGAAAGCGGGAGAATGGGGCGGGGTGATGGAAAGCGGGAGAATGGGGCGGGGTGATGGAAAGCGGGAGAATGGGGCGGGGTGATGGAAAGTGGGGGAATGGGGCGGGGTGATGGATAGCGGGAGAATGGGGCGGGGTGATGGAAAGCGAGAAAATGGGGCGGGGTGATGGAAAGCGGGAGAATGGGGCTGGGTGATGGAATGCGGAAGAATGGGGCGGGGTGATGGAAAGCAGGAGAATGGGGCGGGGTGATGGAAGGAGGGAGAATGGGGTGGGGTGATGGAAGGAGGGAGATTGGGCCGGGGTGATGGAAAGCGGGAGAAGGGGGCGAGGTGATGGAAAGCAGGAGAATAGGGCGGGGCTATGAAATGCGGGAGACTGGGGCGGGGTGAGGGAAAGCGGGAGAATGGGGCGGGGTGATGGAAAGCAGGAGAATGGGGCGGGGTGATGGAAAGCGGGAGAATGGGGCGGGGTTATGGAAGGAGGGAGAATGGGGCGGGGTGATGGAAGGAGGGAGAATGGGGCGGGGTGATGGAAAGCAGGAGAATGGGGCGAGGTGATGGAAAGCGTGAGAATAGGGCGGTGTGATGGAAAGCGGGAGAATGGGGCGGAGTGATGGAAGGAGGGAGAATGGGGAGGGGTGATGGAAAGCGGGAGAATGGGACGGGGTGATGGAAAGCAGGAGAATGGGGCGGGGTGATGGAAAGCGGGAGAATGGGACGGGGTGATGGAAAGCGGGAGAATGGGGCGGGGTGATGGAAAGCGGGAGAATGGAGCGGGTGATGGAAAGCGGGAGAATGGGGCGGGGTGATGGAAAGCGGGAGAATGGGGCGGGGTGATGGAAAGCGGGAGAATCGGGCGGGGTGATGGAAAGCGGGAGAATGGGGCGGGGTGATAGAAAGAGGGAGAATGGGACGGGGTGATGGAAAGCTGGAGAATGGGGTGTGGTGATGGAAAGCGGGAGAATGGGACGGGGTGATGGAAAGCGGGAGAATGGGGCGGGGTGATGGAAAGCGGGAGAATGGGGCGGGGTAATGGAAGGAGGGAGAATGGGGCGGGGTCATGGAAGGAGGGAGAAAGGGGCGGGGTGATGGAAAGTGGGGGAATGGGGCGGGGTGATGGATAGCGGGAGAATGGGGCGGGGTGACGGAAAGCGGGAAAATGGGGCGGGCTGATGGAAAGCGGGAGAATGGGGCTGGGTGATGGAATGCGGAAGAATGGGGCGGGGTGATGGAAAGCAGGAGAATGGGGCGGGGTGATGGAAGGAGGGAGAATGGGGCGAGGTGATGGAAGAAGGGAGAATGGGGCAGGGTGATGGAAAGCGGGAGAATGGGGCGGGGTGATGGAAAGCGGGAGAATGGGGCGGGGTGATGGAAAGCGGGAGAATGGGGCGTGGTGATGGAAAGCGGGAGAATTGGGCGGGGTGATGGAAAGCGGGAGAATGGGGCGGGGTGATGGAAGGAGGGGGAATGGGGCGGGGAGATGGAAAGCGGGAGAATGGTGCGGGGTGATGGAAAGCGGGAGAATGGGGCGGGGTGATGGAAAGCGGGAGAATGGGGCGGGGTGATGGAAAGCGGGAGAATAGGGCGGGGTGATGGAAGGCGGGGGAATGGGGCGGGGTGATGGATAGCAGGAGAATGGGGCGGGGTGACGGAAAGCAGGAGAATGGGGCGAGGTGATGGAAAGCGGGAGAATGGGGCTGGGTGATGGAATGCGGAAGAATAGGGCGAGGTGATGGAAAGCAGGAGAATGGGGTGGGGTGATGGAAGGAGGGAGAATGGGGCGGGGTGATGGAAGGAGGGAGAATGGGGCGGGGTGATGGAAAGCGGGAGAATGGGGCGGGGTGATGGAAAGCAGGAGAATGGGGCGGGGTGATGGAAAGCGGGAGAATGGGCCGGGGTGATGGAAGGAGGGAGAATGGGGCAGGGTGATGGAAAGCGGGAGAATGGGGCGGGGTGATGGAAAGCGGGAGAATGGGGCGGGGTGATGGAAAGCGGGAGAATGGGGCGGGGTGATGGAAGGGGGAGAATGAGGCGGGGTGATGGAAAGCGGGAGTATGGGGCGGGGTGATGGAAGGAGGGAGAATGGGGCGGGGTGATGGAAAGCGGGAGAATGGGGCGGGGTGATGGAAAGCGGGAGAATGGGGCGGGGTGATGGAAAGCGGGAGAATGGGTCGGGGTGATGGAAAGCGGCAGAATGGGGCGGGGTGATGCAAAGTGGGAGAATGGGGTGGGGCGATGGAAAGCGGGAGAATGGGGCGTGGTGATGGAAGGAGGGAGAATGGGTCGGGGTGATGGAAGGAGGGAGAATGGGGCGGGGTGATGGAAGGAGGGAGAATGGGGAGGGGTGATGGAAAGTGGGAGAATGGGGCGGGTGATGGAAAGCGAGAGAATGGGGCGGGGTGATGAAAAGCGGGAGAATGGGGCGGGGTGATGGAAAGCGGGAGAATGGGGTGGGGTGATGGAAAGGGGGAGAATGGGGCGGGGTGATGGAAAGCGGGAGAATGGGGCGGGGTGATGGAAAGCGGGAGAATGGGGCGAGGTGATGGAAAGCGGGAGAATGAGGCGGGGTGATGGAAAGCGGGAGAATGGGGCGACGTGATGGAAGGAGGGAGAATGGGGCGGGATGATGGAAAGCGGGAGAATGGGGCGGGATGATGGAAAGCGGGAGAATGGGGCAAGGTGATGGAGAGCGGGAGAATGGGGCGGGGTGATGGAGAGCAGCAGAATGGTACGGGGTGATGGAAAGCGGGAGAATGGGGCGGGGTGATGGAAAGCGGGAGAATGGGCGGGGTGATGGAAAGCGGGAGAATGGGGCGGGGTGACGGAAATCAGGAAAATGGGGCGGGGTGATGGAAAGCGGGAGAATGGGGCGGGGTGATGGAAAGCAGGAGAATGGGGTGGGGTGATGGAAGGCGGGAGAATGGGGCGGGGTGATGGAAGGAGGGGGAATGGGGCGGGGTGATGGAAAGCGGGAGAATGGTGCGGGGTGATGGAAAGCGGGAGAATGGTGCGGGGTGATGGAAAGAGGGAGAACGGGGCGGGGTGATGGAAAGCGGGAGAATGGGGCGGGGTGATGGAAAGCGGGAGAATGGGGCGGGGTGATAGAAGGAGGGAGAATGGGGCGGGGTGATGGAAGGAGGGAGAATGGGGCGGGGTGATGGAAAGCGGGAGAATGGGGCGGGGTGATCGATAGCGGGAGAACGGGGCGGGGTGATGGAAAGCGGGAGAATGGGGCGGGGTGTTGGAAAGCGGGAGAATGGGACGGGGTGATGGAAAGTGGGAGAATGGGGCGGGGTGATGGAAAGCGGGAGAATGAGGCGGGGTGATGGAAGGAGGGAGAATAGGGCGGGGTGATGGAAGGAGGGAGAATGGGGCGGGGTGATGGAAGGAGGGAGAATGGGTAAGGGTGATGGAAAGCGGGAGAATGGGACGGGGTGATGGAAAGCGGGAGAATGGGGCGGGGTGATGGAAAGCGGGAGAATGGGGCGGGGTGATGGAAAGCGGGAGAATGAGGCGGGGTGATGGAAGGAGGGAGAATGGGGCGGGGTGATGGAAGGAGGGAGAATGGGGCGGGGTGATGGAAAGCGGGAGAATGGGGCGGCGTGATGGAAAGTGGGAGAATGGGCGGGGTGATGGAAAGCGGGAGAATGGGGCAGGGTGATGGAAAGCGGGAGAATGGGGCGGGGTGATGGAAAGCGGGAGAATGGGGCGGGGTGATGGAAAGCGGGAGAATGGGGCGGGGTGATGGAAAGCGGGAGAATGGGGCGAGGTGATGGAAAGCGGGAGAATGGGGCGGGGTGATGGAAGGAGGGGGAATGGGGCGGGGTGATGGAAGGAGGGAGAATGGGGCGGGGTGATGGAAAGCGGGAGAATGGTGCGGGTGATGGAAAGCAGGAGAATGGGGCGGGGTGATGAAAAGATGGAGAATGGGGTGGGGTGATGGAAATCGGGAGAATGGGGCGGGGTGATGGAAAGCGGGAGAATGGGGCGAGGTGATGGAAAGCGGGAGAATGGGGCGGGGTGATGGAAGGAGGGAGAATGGGGCGGGTTGATGGAAAGCGGGAGAATGGTGCGGGGTGATGGAAAGTGGGAGAATGGGGCGGGGTGATGAAAAGATGGAGAATTGGGTGGGGTGATGGAAAGCGGTAGAATGGGGAGGGGTGATGGAAAGCGAGAGAATGGGGTGGGGTGATGGAAGGAGGGGGAATGGGGCGGGGTGATGGAAAGCGGGAGAATTGTGCGGGGTGATGGAAAGCCGGAGAATGGGGCGGGGTGATGAAAAGATGGAGAATGGGGTGGGCTGATGGAAAGCAGGAGAATGGGGCGGGGTGATGGAAAGCGGGAGAATGGGGCAAGTGATGGAAAGCGGGAGAATGGGGCGGGGTGATGAAAAGATGGAGAATGGGGTGGGGTGATGGAAAGCGGGAGAATGGGGCGGGATGATGGAAAGCATGAGAATGGGGTGGGGTGATGGAAAGCGGGAGAATGGGGCGGGGTGATGGAAGGAGGGAGAATGGGGCGGGGTGATGGAAGGAGTGAGAATGGGGCGGGGTGATGGAAGGAGGGAGAATGGGGCGGGGTGATGGAAAGCGGGATTATGGGGCGGGGTGATGGAAAGCGGGAGAATGAGGCGGGGTGGTGGAAAGCGGAAGAATGGGGCGGGTGATGCAAATCGGGAGAATGGGGCGGAGTGATGCAAAGCGGGAGAATGGGGCGGAGTGATGGAAAGTGGGAGAATGGGGCGGGGTGATGAAAAGATGGAGAATGGGGTGGGGTGATGGAAAGCGGGAGAATGGGGAGGGGTGATGGAAAGCGAGAGAATGGGGTGGGGTGATGGAAGGAGGGGGAATGGGGCGGGGTGATGGAAAGCGGGAGAATTGTGCGGGGTGATGGAAAGCCGGAGAATGGGGCGGGGTGATGAAAAGATGGAGAATGGGGTGGGCTGATGGAAAGCGGGAGAATGGGGAGGGGTGATGGAAAGCGGGAGAATGGGGCGAGGTGATGGAAAGCGGGAGAATGGGGCGGGGTGATGGAAAGTGGGGGAATGGGGCGGGGTGATGGATAGCGGGAGAATGGGGCGGGGTGACGGAAAGCGGGAAAATGGGGCGGGGTGATGGAAAGCGGGAGAATGGGGCTGGGTGATGGAATGTGGAAGAATGGGGCGGGGTGATGGAAAGCAGGAGAATGGGGCGGGGTGATGGAAGGAGGGAGAATGGGGTGGGGTGATGGAAGGAGGGAGATTGGGCCGGGGTGATGGAAAGCGGGAGAAGGGGGGCGAGGTGATGGAAAGCGGGAGAATAGGGCGGGGCTATGAAATGCGGGAGACTGGAGAAGGGGGTGGAATCTGGGAGAAGGGGGTGGAATCTGGGAGAAGGGGATGGAATCTGGGAGAAGGGGATGGAATCTGGGAGAAGGGGGTGGAATCTGGGAGAAGGGGATGTAATCTGGGAGAAGGGGATGGAATCTGGGAGAAGGGGATGGAATCTAGGAGAAGGGGATGAAATCTGGGAGAAGGGAAAGAAATCTGGGAGAAGGGGATGGAATCAAGGAGAAGGGGATGGAATCTGGGAGAAGGGGATGGAATCAGGGAGAAGGGGATGGAATCTGGGAGAAGGGGATGAAATCTGGGAGAAGGGGATGGAATCTGGGAGAAGGGGATTAAATCTAGGAGAAGGGGATGGAATGTGGGAGAAGGGGATGGATTCTGGGAGAAGGGGGTGGAATCTGGGAGAAGGGGATGGAATCTGGAAGAAGGGGATGGAATCTGGGAGAAGGGGATGGAATCAAGGAGAAGGGGATGGAATCTGGGAGAAGGGAATCTGGGAGAAGGGGATTGAATCAGGGACAAGGGGGTGGAATCTGGGAGAAGGGGATGGAATCTGGGAGAAGGGGATGGAACCTGGGAGAAGGGGATGGAATCTGGGAGAAGGGGATGGAATCTGGGAGAAGGGGATGGAATCTGGGAGAAGGGGATGGAATCTGGGAGAAGGGGATGGAATCAGGGAGAAGGGGATGGAATCTGGGAGAAGGGGATGGAATCAAGGAGAAGGGGATGGAATCTGGGAGAAGGGGATGGAATCAGGGAGAAGGGGATGGAATCAGGGAGAAGGGGATGGAATCTGGGAGAAGGGGATGGAATCTGGGAGAAGGGGGTGGAATCTGGGAGAAGGGGATGGAATCTGGGAGAAGGGGATGGAATCTGGGAGAAGGGGGTGGAATCTGGGAGAAGGGGATGGAATCTGGGAGAAGGGGATGGAATCTGGGAGAAGGGGGTGGAATCTTGGAGAAGGGGATGGAATCTGGGAGAAGGGGATGGAATCTGGGAGAAGGGGATGGAATCTGGGAGAAGGGGATGAAATCTGGGAGAAGGGGATGGAATCTGGGAGAAGGGGATGGAATCAAGGAGAACGGGATGGAATCTGGGAGAAGGGGATGGATTCTGGGAGAAGGGGGTGGAATCTGGGAGAAGGGGATGGAATCTAGGAGAAGGGGATGGAATCTGGGAGAAGGGGATGGAATCAAGGAGAAGGGGATGGAATCTGGGAGAAGGGAATCTGGGAGAAGGGGATTGAATCAGGGAGAAGGGGGTGGAATCTGGGAGAAGGGGATGGAATCTGGGAGAAGGGGATGGAATCTGGGAGAAGGGGATGGAATCTGGGAGAAGGGGATGGAATCTGGGAGAAGGGGATGGAATCAGGGAGAAGGGGATGGAATCTGGGAGAAGGGGATGGAATCTGGGAGAAGAGGGTGGAATCTGGGAGAAGGGGATGAAATCTGGGAGAAGGGGATGGAATATGGGAGAATGGGGTGGAATATGGGAGAAGGAGATGGAATCTGGGAGAAGGGGATGGAATTTGGGAGGAGGGGATGGAATCTGGGAGAAGGGGATGGAATCTGGGAGAAGGGGATGGAATCTGGGAGAAGGGGATGGAATCTGGGAGAAGGGGATGGAATCTGGGAGAAGGGGATGGAATCTGGGAGAAGGGGATGGAATCTGGGAGAAGGGGATGGAATCAGGGAGAAGGGGATGGAATCTGGGAGAAGGGGATGGAATCTGGGAAAAGAGGGTGGAATCTGGGAGAAGGGGATGGAATCTGGGAGAAGGGGATGGAATATGGGAGAATGGGGTGGAATTTGGGAGAAGGAGATGGAATCTGGGAGAAGGGGGTGGAATCTGGGAGAAGGGGATGGAATCTGGGAGAAGGGGATGGAATCAAGGAGAAGGGGATGGAATATGGGAGAAGGGAATCTGGGAGAAGGGGATTGAATCAGGGAGAAGGGGGTGGAATCTGGGAGAAGGGGATGGAATCTGGGAGAAGGGGATGGAACCTGGGAGAAGGGGATGGAATCTGGGAGAAGGGGATGGAATCTGGGAGAAGGGGATGGAATCTGGGAGAAGGGGATGGAATCTGGGAGAAGGGGATGGAATCTGGGAGAAGGGGATGAAATCTGGGAGAAGGGGATGGAATCTGGGAGAAGGGGATGGAATCAAGGAGAAGGGGATGGAATCTGGGAGAAGGGGATGGAATCTGGGAGAAGGGGATGGAATCTAGGAGAAGGGGATGGAATCTGGGAGAAGGGGATGGAATCTGGGAGAAGGGGATGGAATCAAGGAGAAGGGGATGGAATCTGGCAGAAGGGGATGGAATCTGGGAAAAGAGGGTGGAATCTGGCAGAAGGGGATGGAATCTGGGAGAAGGGGATGGAATATGGGAGAATGGGGTGGAATTTGGGAGAAGGAGATGGAATCTGGGAGAAGGGGATGGATTCTGGGAGAAGGGGGTGGAATCTGGGAGAAGGGGATGGAATCTGGGAGAAGGGGATGGAATCTGGGAGAAGGGGATGGAATCAAGGAGAAGGGGATGGAATCTGGGAGAAGGGAATCTGGGAGAAGGGGATTGAATCAGGGAGAAGGGGGTGGAATCTGGGAGAAGGGGATGGAATCTGGGAGAAGGGGATGGAACCTGGGAGAAGGGGATGGAATATGGGAGAAGGGGATGGAATCTGGGAGAAGGGGATGGAATCTGGGAGAAGGGGATGGAATCTGGGAGAAGGGGATGGAATCTGGGAGAAGGGGATGAAATCTGGGAGAAGGGGATGGAATCTGGGAGAAGGGGATGGAATCAAGGAGAAGGGGATGGAATCTGGGAGAAGGGGATGGATTCTGGGAGAAGGGGGTGGAATCTGGGAGAAGGGGATGGAATCTGGGAGAAGGGGATGGAATCTGGGAGAAGGGGGTGGAATCTTGGAGAAGGGGATGGAATCTGGGAGAAGGGGATGGAATCTGGGAGAAGGGGGTGGAATCTGGGAGAAGGGGATGGAATCTGGGAGAAGGGGATGGAATCTGGGAGAAGGGGGTGGAATCTGGGAGAAGGGGATGGAATCTGGGAGAAGGGGATGGAATCTGGGAGAAGGGGATGGAATCTGGGAGAAGGGGATGAAATCTTGGAGAAGGGGATGGAATCTGGGAGAAGGGGATGGAATCAAGGAGAAGGGGATGGAATCTGGGAGAAGGGGATGGATTCTGGGAGAAGGGGGTGGAATCTGGGAGAAGGGGATGGAATCTGGGAGAAGGGGATGGAATCTGGGAGAAGGGGGTGGAATCTGGGAGAAGGGGATGGAATCTGGGAGAAGGGGATGGAATCTGGGAGAAGGGGGTGGAATCTGGGAGAAGGGGATGGAATCTGGGAGAAGGGGATGGAATCTGGGAGAAGGGGATGGAATCTGGGAGAAGGGGGTGGAATCTGGGAGAAGGGGATGGAATCTGGGAGAAGGGGATGGAATCTGGGAGAAGGGGATGGAATCTGGGAGAAGGGGATGAAATCTGGGAGAAGGGGATGGAATCTGGGAGAAGGGGATGGAATCAAGGAGAAGGGGATGGAATCTGGGAGAAGGGGATGGATTCTGGGAGAAGGGGGTGGAATCTGGGAGAAGGGGATGGAATCTGGGAGAAGGGGATGGAATCTGGGAGAAGGGGATGGAATCTGGGAGAAGGGGATGAAATCTGGGAGAAGGGGATGGAATCTGGGAGAAGGGGGTGGAATCTGGGAGAAGGGGATGGAATCTGGGAGAAGGGGATGGAACCTGGGAGAAGGGGATGGAATCTGGGAGAAGGGGATGGAATCTGGGAGAAGGGGATGGAATCTGGGAGAAGGGGATGGAATCTGGGAGAAGGGGATGGAATCTGGGAGAAGGGGATGGAATCTGGGAGAAGGGGATGGAATCTGGGAGAAGGGGATGGAATCTGGGAGAAGGGGGTGGAATCTGGGAGAAGGGGATGGAATCTGGGAGAAGGGGATGGAATATGAGAGAAGGGGATGGAATCTGGGAGAAGGGGATGGAATCTAGGAGAAGGGGATGGAATCTGGGAGAAGGGGATGGAATCTAGGAGAAGGGGATGGAATCTGGGAGAAGGGGATGGAATCTGGGAGAAGGGGATGGAATCTGGGAGAAAGGGATGGAATATGGGAGAAGGGGGTGGAATCTGGGAGAAGGGGATGAATTCTGGGAGAAGGGGATGGAACCTGGGAGAAGGGGATGGAATCTGGGAGAGGGGGATGGAATCTGGAAGAAGGGGATTGAATCTGGGAGAAGGGGATGGAATCTAGGAGAAGGGGATGGAATCGGGGAGAAGGAGATGGAATCGGGGAGAAGGGGATGGAATCTGGGAGAAGGGGATGGAATCTGGGAGAAGGGGGTGGAATCTGGGAGAAGGGGATGAAATCTGTGAGAAGGGGATGGAATCAGGGAGAAGGGGATAGAATCTGGGAGAGGGGGATGGAATCTGGGAGAAGGGGATGGAATCAGGGAGAAGGGGATGGAATCTGGGAGAAGGGGATGGAATCAAGGAGAAGGGGATGGAATTAGGGAGAAGGGGATGGAATATGGGAGAAGTGGATGGAATCTGGGAGAAGGGGATGGAATCTGGGAGAAGGGGGTGGAATCTGGGAGAAGGGGATGGAATCTGGGAGAAGGGGATGGAATCTGGGAGAAGGGGATGGAATCTGGGAGAAGGGGATGAAATCTGGGAGAAGGGGATGGAATCTGGGAGAAGGGAATGGAATCAAGGAGAAGGGGATGGAATTTGGGAGAAGGGGATGGATTCTGGGAGAAGGGGGTGGAATCTGGGAGAAGGGGATGGAATCTGGGAGAAGGGGATGGAATCTGGGAGAAGGGGGTGGAATCTGGGAGAAGGGGATGGAATCTGGGAGAAGGGGATGGAATCTGGGAGAAGGGGGTGGAATCTGGGAGAAGGGGATGGAATCTGGGAGAAGGGGATGGAATCTGGGAGAAGGGGGTGGAATCTAGGAGAAGGGGATGGAATCTGGGAGAAGGGGATGGAATCTGGGAGAAGGGGATGGAATCTGGGAGAAGGGGATGAAATCTGGGAGAAGGGGATGGAATCTGGGAGAAGGGGATGGAATCAAGGAGAAGGGGATGGAATCTGGGAGAAGGGGATGGAACCTGGGAGAAGGGGATGGAATCTAGGAGAAGGGGATGGAATCTGGGAGAAGGGGATGGAATCTGGGAGAAGGGGATGGAATCTGGGAGAAGGGGATGGAATCTGGGAGAAGGGGATGGAATCTGGGAGAAGGGGATGGAATCTGGGAGAAGGGGATGGAATCTGGGAGAAGGGGGTGGAATCTGGGAGAAGGGGATGGAATCTGGGAGAAGGGGATGGAATATGAGAGAAGGGGATGGAATCTGGGAGAAGGGGATGGAATCTCGGAGAAGGGGATGGAATCTGGGAGAAGGGGATGGAATCTAGGAGAAGGGGATGGAATCTGGGAGAAGGGGATGGAATCTGGGAGAAGGGGATGGAATCTGGGAGAAAGGGATGGAATATGGGAGAAGGGGGTGGAATCTGGGAGAAGGGGATGAATTCTGGGAGAAGGGGATAGAACCTGGGAGAAGGGGATGGAATCTGGGAGAGGGGGATGGAATCTGGAAGAAGGGGATTGAATCTGGGAGAAGGGGATGGAATCTAGGAGAAGGGGATGGAATCGGGGAGAAGGAGATGGAATCGGGGAGAAGGGGATGGAATCTGGGAGAAGGGGATGGAATCTGGGAGAAGGGGGTGGAATCTGGGAGAAGGGGATGAAATCTGTGAGAAGGGGATGGAATCAGGGAGAAGGGGATAGAATCTGGGAGAGGGGGATGGAATCTGGGAGAAGGGGATGGAATCAGGGAGAAGGGGATGGAATCTGGGAGAAGGGGATGGAATCTGGGAGAAGGGGATGGAATTAGGGAGAAGGGGATGGAATATGGGAGAAGTGGATGGAATCTGGGAGAAGAGGATGGAATCAGTGAGAAGGGGGTGGAATCAGGAAGAAGGGGATGAAATCTGGGAAAAGGGGATGGAATCTGGGAGAAGGGGGTGGAATCTGGGAGAAGGAGATGGAATCTGGGAGAAGGGGATAGAATCTCGGAGAAGGGGATGGAATCTGGGAGAAGGGGGTGGAATCTGGGAGAAGGGGATGAAATCTGTGAGAAGGGGATGGAATCAGGGAGAAGGGGATAGAATCTGGGAGAGGGGGATGGAATCTGGAAGAAGGGGATGGAATCAGGGAGAAGGGGATGGAATCTGGGAGAAGGGGATGGAATCTGGGAGAAGGGGATGGAATCAGGGAGAAGGGGATGGAATCTGGGAGAAGTGGATGGAATCTTGGAGAAGAGGATGGAATCAGTGAGAAGGGGGTGGAATCAGGAAGAAGGGGATGAAATCTGGGAAAAGGGGATGGAATCTGGGAGAAGGGGGTGGAATCTGGGAGAAGGAGATGGAATCTGGGAGAAGGGGATAGAATCTCGGAGAAGGGGATGGAATCTGGGAGAAGGTGATGGAATTTGGGAGAAGGGGATGGAATCTGGGAGAAGGGGATCGAATATGGGAGGAGGGGATGGAATCGGGGAGAAGGGGATGGAATCTGGGAGAAGGGGATGGAATCTGGGAGAAGGGGATGGAATCACGGAGAAGGGGATGGAATTAGGGAGAAGGGGATGGAATCAGGGAGAAGGGGATGGAATCTGCGAGAAGGGGATGGAATCTGGGAGAAGGGGATGGAATCTGGGAGAAGGGGATGGAATCTGGGAGAAGGGGGTGGAATCAGGGAGAAGGGATGGAATCAGGGAGAAGGGGATGGAATCTGGGAGAAGGGGATGGAATCTGGTAGAAGGGGATGGAATGTGGGAGAAAGGGATGGAATCTGGGAGAAGGGGATGGAATCGGGGAGAAGGGGATGGAATCTGCGAGAAGGGGATGGAAGCTAGGAGAAGGGGATGGAATCTGGGAGAAGGGGATGGAATCTGGGAGAAGGGGGTGGAATTAGGGAGAAGGGGATGGAATCGGGGAGAAGGGGATGGAATCGGGGAGAATGGGATGGAATCTGGGAGAAGGGGATGGAATCTGGGAGAAGGGGATGGAATCTGGGAGAAGGGGATGGAATCTGGGAGAAGGGTATAGAATCTGGGAGAAGGGGATGAAATTTGGGAGAAGGGGATGGCATTTGGGAGAAGGGGATGGAATATGGGAGAAGTAGATGGAATCAGGGAGAAGGGGATGGAATCTGGGAGAAGGGGATGGAATCTGGGAAAAAGGGGTGGAATCTGGGAGAAGGGGATGAAGTCTGGGAGAAGGGGATGGAATCTGGGAGAAGAGGATGGAATCTGGGAGAAGGGGATGGAATCTGGGAGAAGGGGATGGAATCTGGGAGAAGGGGATGGAATCCGGGAGAAGGGGATGGAATCTAGGAGAAGAGGATGGAATCAGGGAGAAGGGGATGGAATCTGGGAGAAAGGGATGGAATCTCAGAGAAGCGGGTGGAATCTGGGAGAAGGGGATGGAATCTGGGTGAAGGGGATGGAATCTGGGAGAAGGGGATGGAATCTGGGAGAAGGGGGTGGAATATGGGAGAAGGGGATGGAATCTGGGAGAAGGGGATGGAATCTGGGAGAAGGGGGTGGAATCAGGGAGAAGGGGATGGAATCAGGGAGAAGGGGATGGAATCTGGGAGAAGGAGATTGAATCTGGGAGAAGGGGATAGAATCTCGGAGAAGGGGATGGAATCTGGGAGAAGGTGATGGAATTTGGGAGAAGGGGATGGAATCTGGGAGAAGGGGATGGAATATGGGAGAAGGGGATGGAATCTGGGAGAAGGGGATGGAATTTGGGAGAAGGGGATGGAATCTGGGAAAAGGGGGTGGAATATGGGAGAAGGGGATGAAGTCTGGGAGAAGGGGATGTAATCTGGGAGAAGAGGATGGAATCTGGGAGAAGGGGATGGAATCTGGGAGAAGGGGATGGAATCGGGGAGAAGGGGATGGAATCTGGGAGAAGGGGATGGAATCTAGGAGAAGAGGATGGAATCAGGGAAAAGGGGATGGAATCTGGGAGAAAAGGATGGAATCTCGGAGAAGCGGGTGGAATCTGGGAGAAGGGGATGGAATCTGGGAGAAGGGGATGGAATCTGGGAGAAGGGGATGGAATCTGGGAGAAGGGGGTGGAATATGGGAGAAGGGGATGGAATCTGGGAGAAGGGGATGGAATCTGGGAGAAGGGGGTGGAATCAGGGAGAAGGGGATGGAATCTGGGAGAAGGGGATGGAATCTGGGAGAAGGGGATGGAATCTGGGAGAAGGGGATGGAATCTGGGAGAAGGGGATGGAATCAGGGAGAAGGGGATGGAATTTCGGAAAAGGAGATGGAATCTGGGAGAAGGGAATGGAATCAGGGAGAAGGGGATGGAATCAGGGAGAAGGGGATGGAATCTGGGAGAAGGGGATGGAATCTGGGAGAAGGGGGTGGAATCTGGGAGAAGGGGATGGAATCGGGGAGAAGGGGATGGAATCTGGGTGAATGGGATGGAATCTGGAAGAAGGGGATGGAATCTGGGAGAAGGGGATGGAATCTAGGAGAAGGGGATGGAATCTGGGAGAAGGGTATAGAATCTGGAAGAAGGGGATGAAATCTGGGAGAAGGGGATGGAATTTGGGAGAAGGGGATGGAATCTGGGAGAAGGGGATGGAATCTGGGAGAAGGGGATGGAATCTGGGAGAAGGGGATGGAATCTGGGAGAAGGGGATGGAATCTGGGAGAAGGGGGTGGAATCTGGGAGAAGGGGATGGAATCTGGGAGAAGGGGATGGGATCTGGGAGAAGGGGATGGAATCTGCGAGAAGGGGATGGAATCTGGGAAAAGGGGATGGAATCTGGGAGAAGGGGATGGAATCAGGGAGAAGGGGATGGAATCAGGGAGAAGGGGATGGAATCTGGGAGAAGGGGATGGAATATGGGAGAAGGGGGTGGAATCTGGGAGAAGGGGATAGAATCTGGGAGAAGGGGATGGAATCTGGGAGAAGGGGATGGAATCTGGGAGAAGGGGATGGAATCTGCGAGAAGGGGATGGAATCTGGGAAAAGGGGATGGAATCTGGGAGAAGGGGATGGAATCAGGGAGAAGGGGATGGAATCGGGGAGAAGGGGATGGAATCTGGGAGAAGGGGATGGAATAAGGGAGAAGGGGGTGGAATCAGGGAGAAGGGGATGGAATCTGGGAGAAGGGGATGGAATCTGGGAGAAGGGGATGGAATCTGGGAGAAGGGGATGGAATCTGCGAGAAGGGGATGGAATCTGGGAAAAGGGGATGGAATCTGGGAGAAGGGGATGGAATCAGGGAGAAGGGGATGGAATCGGGGAGAAGGGGATGGAATCTGGGAGAAGGGGATGGAATCTAGGAGAAGGGGATGGAATATGGGAGAAGGGGGTGGAATCTGGGAGAAGGGGATGGAATCAGGGAGAAGGGGACGGAATCTGGGAGAAGGGGACGGAATTAGGGAGACGGGGACGGAATCTGGGAGAAGGGGATGGAATCTGGGAGAAGGGGATGGAATCCGGGAGAAGGGGATGGAATCCGGGAGAAGGGGATGGAATCTGGGAGAAGGGGATGGAATCTGGGAGAAGGGGATGGGATCTGGGAGAAGGGGATGGAATCTGGGAGAAGGGGATGGAATCGGGGAGAAGGGGATGGAATCTGGGAGAATGGGATGGAATTTGGGAGAAGGGGATGGAATCTGGGAGAAGGGGATGGAATCTGGGAGAAGGGGTGTTATCTGGGAGAAGGGGATGGAATCTGGGAGAAGGGGATGGAATCTGGGAGAAGGGGGTGGAATCTGGTAGAAGGGGATGAACTCTGGGAGAAGGGGATGGAATCTGGGAGAAGGGGATGGAATCTGGGAGAAGGGGATGGATTCTGGGAGAAGGGGATGGAATCTGGGAGAAGGGGATGGAATCTGGGAGAAGGGGATGGAATCTAGGAGAAGGGGATGGAATAAGGGAGAAGGGGATGGAATCGGGGAGAAGGGGATGGAATCTGGGAGAAGGGGTGGAATCTGGGAGAAGGGGATGGAATCTCGGACAAGGGTATAGAATCTGGGAGAAGGGGATGAAATCTGGGAGAATGGGATGGAATTTGGGAGAAGGATGGAATCTAGGAGAAGGGGATGGAATCTGGGAGAAGGGGATGGAATCTGGGAGAAGGGGATGGAATCTGGGAAAGGGGATGGAATCTGGGAGAAGGGGGTGGAATCTGGGAGAAGGGGATAAACTCTGGGAGAAGGGGATGGAATCTGGGAGAAGGGGATGGAATCTGGGAGAAGGGGATGGAATCAGGGAGAAGGGGATGGAATCTGGGAGAAGGGGATGGAATCTGGGAGAAGGGGACGGAATCTAGGAGAAGGGGATGGAATCTGCGAGAAGGGGATGGAATCTGGGAGAAGGGGATGGATTCTGGGAGAAGGGGATGGAATCTGGGAGAAGGGGGAGGAATCAGGGAGAAGGGGATGGAATCAGGGAGAAGGGGATGGAATCTGGGAGAAGGGGATGGAATCTGGGAGAAGGGGATGGATTCTGGGAGAAGGGGATGGAATCTGGGAGAAGGGGATGGAATCTGGGAGAAGGGGATGGAATCTAGGAGAAGGGGATGGAATAAGGGAGAAGGGGATGGAATCGGGGAGAAGGGGATGGAATCTGGGAGAAGGGGTGGAATCTGGGAGAAGGGGATGGAATCTCGGACAAGGGTATAGAATCTGGGAGAAGGGGATGAAATCTGGGAGAATGGGATGGAATTTGGGAGAAGGATGGAATCTAGGAGAAGGGGATGGAATCTGGGAGAAGGGGATGGAATCAGGGAGAAGGGGATGGAATCTGGGAGAAGGGGATGGAATCTGGGAGAAGGGGATGGAATCTGGGAGAAGGGGATGGAATCAGGGAGAAGGGGATGGAATTTCGGAAAAGGAGATGGAATCTGGGAGAAGGGAATGGAATCAGGGAGAAGGGGATGGAATCAGGGAGAAGGGGATGGAATCTGGGAGAAGGGGATGGAATCTGGGAGAAGGGGGTGGAATCTGGGAGAAGGGGATGGAATCGGGGAGAAGGGGATGGAATCTGGGTGAATGGGATGGAATCTGGAAGAAGGGGATGGAATCTGGGAGAAGGGGATGGAATCTAGGAGAAGGGGATGGAATCTGGGAGAAGGGTATAGAATCTGGAAGAAGGGGATGAAATCTGGGAGAAGGGGATGGAATTTGGGAGAAGGGGATGGAATCTGGGAGAAGGGGATGGAATCTGGGAGAAGGGGATGGAATCTGGGAGAAGGGGATGGAATCTGGGAGAAGGGGATGGAATCTGGGAGAAGGGGGTGGAATCTGGGAGAAGGGGATGGAATCTGGGAGAAGGGGATGGGATCTGGGAGAAGGGGATGGAATCTGCGAGAAGGGGATGGAATCTGGGAAAAGGGGATGGAATCTGGGAGAAGGGGATGGAATCAGGGAGAAGGGGATGGAATCAGGGAGAAGGGGATGGAATCTGGGAGAAGGGGATGGAATATGGGAGAAGGGGGTGGAATCTGGGAGAAGGGGATAGAATCTGGGAGAAGGGGATGGAATCTGGGAGAAGGGGATGGAATCTGGGAGAAGGGGATGGAATCTGCGAGAAGGGGATGGAATCTGGGAAAAGGGGATGGAATCTGGGAGAAGGGGATGGAATCAGGGAGAAGGGGATGGAATCGGGGAGAAGGGGATGGAATCTGGGAGAAGGGGATGGAATAAGGGAGAAGGGGGTGGAATCAGGGAGAAGGGGATGGAATCTGGGAGAAGGGGATGGAATCTGGGAGAAGGGGATGGAATCTGGGAGAAGGGGATGGAATCTGCGAGAAGGGGATGGAATCTGGGAAAAGGGGATGGAATCTGGGAGAAGGGGATGGAATCAGGGAGAAGGGGATGGAATCGGGGAGAAGGGGATGGAATCTGGGAGAAGGGGATGGAATCTAGGAGAAGGGGATGGAATATGGGAGAAGGGGGTGGAATCTGGGAGAAGGGGATGGAATCAGGGAGAAGGGGACGGAATCTGGGAGAAGGGGACGGAATTAGGGAGACGGGGACGGAATCTGGGAGAAGGGGATGGAATCTGGGAGAAGGGGATGGAATCCGGGAGAAGGGGATGGAATCCGGGAGAAGGGGATGGAATCTGGGAGAAGGGGATGGAATCTGGGAGAAGGGGATGGGATCTGGGAGAAGGGGATGGAATCTGGGAGAAGGGGATGGAATCGGGGAGAAGGGGATGGAATCTGGGAGAATGGGATGGAATTTGGGAGAAGGGGATGGAATCTGGGAGAAGGGGATGGAATCTGGGAGAAGGGGTGTTATCTGGGAGAAGGGGATGGAATCTGGGAGAAGGGGATGGAATCTGGGAGAAGGGGGTGGAATCTGGTAGAAGGGGATGAACTCTGGGAGAAGGGGATGGAATCTGGGAGAAGGGGATGGAATCTGGGAGAAGGGGATGGATTCTGGGAGAAGGGGATGGAATCTGGGAGAAGGGGATGGAATCTGGGAGAAGGGGATGGAATCTAGGAGAAGGGGATGGAATAAGGGAGAAGGGGATGGAATCGGGGAGAAGGGGATGGAATCTGGGAGAAGGGGTGGAATCTGGGAGAAGGGGATGGAATCTCGGACAAGGGTATAGAATCTGGGAGAAGGGGATGAAATCTGGGAGAATGGGATGGAATTTGGGAGAAGGATGGAATCTAGGAGAAGGGGATGGAATCTGGGAGAAGGGGATGGAATCTGGGAGAAGGGGATGGAATCTGGGAAAGGGGATGGAATCTGGGAGAAGGGGGTGGAATCTGGGAGAAGGGGATAAACTCTGGGAGAAGGGGATGGAATCTGGGAGAAGGGGATGGAATCAAGGAGAAGGGGATGGAATCAGGGAGAAGGGGATGGAATCTGGGAGAAGGGGATGGAATCTGGGAGAAGGGGACGGAATCTAGGAGAAGGGGATGGAATCTGCGAGAAGGGGATGGAATCTGGGAGAAGGGGATGGATTCTGGGAGAAGGGGATGGAATCTGGGAGAAGGGGGAGGAATCAGGGAGAAGGGGATGGAATCAGGGAGAAGGGGATGGAATCTGGGAGAAGGGGATGGAATCTGGGAGAAGGGGATGGATTCTGGGAGAAGGGGATGGAATCTGGGAGAAGGGGATGGAATCTGGGAGAAGGGGATGGAATCTAGAAGGGGATGGAATAAGGGAGAAGGGGATGGAATCGGGGAGAAGGGGATGGAATCTGGGAGAAGGGGTGGAATCTGGGAGAAGGGGATGGAATCTCGGACAAGGGTATAGAATCTGGGAGAAGGGGATGAAATCTGGGAGAATGGGATGGAATTTGGGAGAAGGATGGAATCTAGGAGAAGGGGATGGAATCTGGGAGAAGGGGATGGAATCAGGGAGAAGGGGATGGAATCTGGGAGAAGGGGATGGAATCTGGGAGAAGGGGACGGAATCTAGGAGAAGGGGATGGAATCTGCGAGAAGGGGATGGAATCTGGGAGAAGGGGATGGATTCTGGGAGAAGGGGATGGAATCTGGGAGAAGGGGGAGGAATCAGGGAGAAGGGGATGGAATCAGGGAGAAGGGGATGGAATCTGGGAGAAGGGGATGGAATCTGGGAGAAGGGGATGGAATCTGGGAGAAGGGGATGGATTCTGGGAGAAGGGGATGGAATCTGGGAGAAGGGGGAGGAATCAGGGAGAAGGAGATGGAATAAGGGAGAAGGGGATGGAATCGGGGAGAAGGGGATGGAATCTGGGAGAAGGGGTGGAATCTGGGAGAAGGGGATGGAATCTCGGACAAGGGTATAGAATCTGGGAGAAGGGGATGAAATCTGGGAGAATGGGATGGAATTTGGGAGAAGGATGGAATCTAGGAGAAGGGGATGGAATCTGGGAGAAGGGGATGGAATCTGGGAGAAGGGGATGGAATCTGGGAAAGGGGATGGAATCTGGGAGAAGGGGGTGTAATCTGGGAGAAGGGGATGGAATCTGGGAGAAGGGGATGGAATCTGGGAGAAGGGGATGGAATCAGGGAGAAGGGGATGGAATCTGGGAGAAGGGGATGGAATCTGGGAGAAGGGGACGGAATCTAGGAGAAGGGGATGGAATCTGCGAGAAGGGGATGGAATCTGGAAGAAGGGGATGGATTCTGGGAGAAGGGGATGGAATCTGGGAGAAGGGGGAGGAATCAGGGAGAAGGGGATGGAATCAGGGAGAAGGGGATGGAATCTGGGAGAAGGGGATGGAATCTTGGAGAAGAGGGTGGAATCTGGGAGAAGGGGATGGAATCTGGGAGAAGGGGATTGAATCTGGGAGAAGGGGATGGAATCAGGGAGAAGGGGGTGGAATCTGGGAGAAGGGGGTGGAATCTGGGAGAATGGGATGGAATCTGGGAGAAGGGGATGGAATCTGGGAGAAGGGGATGGAATCTGGGAGAAGGGGATGGAATTTGGGAGAAGGGGATGGAATCTGGGAGAAGGGGATGGAATCTGGGAGAAAGGGATGGAATATGGGAGAAAGGGATGGAATATGGGAGAAAGGGATGGAATCTGGGAGAAGAGGATGGAATCTGGGAGAAGGGGATGGAATCTGGGAGAAGGGGATGGAATCTGGGAGAAGGGGATGGAATCAGGGAGAAGGGGATGGAATCTGGGAGAAGGGTGTGGAATCTGGGAGAAGGGGGTGGAATCTGGGAGAAGGGGATGGAATCTGGGAGAAGGGGATGGAATCTGGGAGAAGGGGATGGAATCTGGGAGAAGGGGATGGAATCTGGGAGAAGGGGATGGAATCTGGGAGAAGGGGATACAATCTGGGAGAAGGGGATGGAATAAGGGAGAAGGGGATGGAATCGGGGAGAAGGGGATGGAATCTGGGAGAATGGGATGGAATCTGGGAGAAGGAGATGGAATCTGGGAGAAGGGGATGGAATCTGGGAGAAGGGGATGGAATTTGGGAGAAGGATGGAATCTAGGAGAAGGGGATGGAATCTGGGAGAAGGGGGTGGAATCTGGGAGAAGGGGATGGAATCTGGGAGAAGGGGATGGAATCTGGGAGAAGGGGATGGATTCTGGGAGAAGGGGATGGAATCTGGGAGAAGGGGGAGGAATCAGGGAGAAGGAGATGGAATAAGGGAGAAGGGGATGGAATCGGGGAGAAGGGGATGGAATCTGGGAGAAGGGGTGGAATCTGGGAGAAGGGGATGGAATCTCGGACAAGGGTATAGAATCTGGGAGAAGGGGATGAAATCTGGGAGAATGGGATGGAATTTGGGAGAAGGATGGAATCTAGGAGAAGGGGATGGAATCTGGGAGAAGGGGATGGAATCTGGGAGAAGGGGATGGAATCTGGGAAAGGGGATGGAATCTGGGAGAAGGGGGTGTAATCTGGGAGAAGGGGATGGAATCTGGGAGAAGGGGATGGAATCTGGGAGAAGGGGATGGAATCAGGGAGAAGGGGATGGAATCTGGGAGAAGGGGATGGAATCTGGGAGAAGGGGACGGAATCTAGGAGAAGGGGATGGAATCTGCGAGAAGGGGATGGAATCTGGAAGAAGGGGATGGATTCTGGGAGAAGGGGATGGAATCTGGGAGAAGGGGGAGGAATCAGGGAGAAGGGGATGGAATCAGGGAGAAGGGGATGGAATCTGGGAGAAGGGGATGGAATCTTGGAGAAGAGGGTGGAATCTGGGAGAAGGGGATGGAATCTGGGAGAAGGGGATTGAATCTGGGAGAAGGGGATGGAATCAGGGAGAAGGGGGTGGAATCTGGGAGAAGGGGGTGGAATCTGGGAGAATGGGATGGAATCTGGGAGAAGGGGATGGAATCTGGGAGAAGGGGATGGAATCTGGGAGAAGGGGATGGAATTTGGGAGAAGGGGATGGAATCTGGGAGAAGGGGATGGAATCTGGGAGAAAGGGATGGAATATGGGAGAAAGGGATGGAATATGGGAGAAAGGGATGGAATCTGGGAGAAGAGGATGGAATCTGGGAGAAGGGGATGGAATCTGGGAGAAGGGGATGGAATCTGGGAGAAGGGGATGGAATCAGGGAGAAGGGGATGGAATCTGGGAGAAGGGTGTGGAATCTGGGAGAAGGGGGTGGAATCTGGGAGAAGGGGATGGAATCTGGGAGAAGGGGATGGAATCTGGGAGAAGGGGATGGAATCTGGGAGAAGGGGATGGAATCTGGGAGAAGGGGATGGAATCTGGGAGAAGGGGATACAATCTGGGAGAAGGGGATGGAATAAGGGAGAAGGGGATGGAATCGGGGAGAAGGGGATGGAATCTGGGAGAATGGGATGGAATCTGGGAGAAGGAGATGGAATCTGGGAGAAGGGGATGGAATCTGGGAGAAGGGGATGGAATCTGGGAGAAGGGTATAGAATCTGGGAGAAGGGGATGAAATTTGGGAGAAGGGGATGGCATTTGGGAGAAGGGGATGGAATCTTGGAGAAGGGGATGGAATCAGGGAGAAGGGGATGGAATCTGGGAGAAGGGGATGGAATCTGGGAAAAGGGGGTGGAATCTGGGAGAAGGGGATGAAGTCTGGGAGAAGGGGATGGAATTTGGGAGAAGAGGATGGAATCTGGGAGAAGGGGATGGAATTTGGGAGAAGGGGATGGAATCTGGGAGAAGGGGATGGAATCTAGGAGAAGAGGATGGAATCAGGGAGAAGGGGATGGAATCTGGGAGAAGGGGATGGAATCTCGGAGAAGCGGGTGGAATCTGGGAGAAGGGGATAGAATCTGGGAGAAGGGGATGGAATCTGGGAGAAGGGGATGGAATCTGGGAGAAGGGGGTGGAATATGGGAGAAGGGGATGGAATCTGGGAGAAGGGGATGGAAACAGGGAGAAGGGGGTGGAATCAGGGAGAAGGGGATGGAATCAGGGAGAAGGGGATGGAATCTGGGAGAAGGAGATGGAATCTGGGAGAAGGGGATAGAATCTCGGAGAAGGGGATGGAATCTGGGAGAAGGTGATGGAATTTGGGAGAAGGGGATGGAATCTGGGAGAAGGGGATGGAATATGGGAGAAGGGGATAAAATCTGGGAGAAGGGGATGGAATCTGGGAGAAGGGGATGGAATCTGGGAAAAGGGGGTGGAATCTGGGAGAAGGGGATGAAGTCAGGGAGAAGGGGATGGAATCTGGGAGACGAGGATAGAATCTAGGAGAAGCAGATGGAATCTGGGAGAAGGGAATGGAATCTGGGAGAAGGGGATGGAATCTGGGAGAAGGGGATGGAATCTAGGAGAAGAGGATGGAATCAGGAAGAAGGGGATGGAATCTGGGAGAAGGGGATGGAATCTCGGAGAAGCGGGTGGAATCTGGGAGAAGGGGATGGAATCTGGGAGAAGGGGATGGAATCCGGGAGAAGGGGATGGAATCTGGGAGAAGGGGGTGGAATATGGGAGAAGGGGATGGAATCTGGGAGAAGGGGATGGAATCTGGGAGAAGGGGGTGGAATCAGGGAGAAGGGGATGGAATCAGGGAGAAGGGGATAGAATCTGGGAGAAGGGGATGGAATCTGGGAGAAGGGGATGGAATCTGGGAGAAGGGGATGGAATCAAGGAGAAGGGGATGGAATTTGGGAGAAGGAGATGGAATCTGGGAGAAGGGAATGGAATCTGGGAGAAGGGGATGGAATCAGGGAGAAGGGGATGGAATCTGGGAGAAGGGGATGGAATCTGGGAGAAGGGGGTGGAATCTGGGAGAAGGGGATGGAATCGGGGAGAAGGGGATGGAATCTGGGTGAATGGGATGGAATCTGGGAGAAGGGGATGGAATCTGGGAGAAAGGGATGGAATCTAGGAGAAGGGGATGGAATCTGGGAGAAGGGGATGAAATCTGGGAGAAGGGGATGGAATCTGGGAGAAGGGGATGGAATCTGCGAGAAGGGGATGGAATCTGCGAGAAGGGGATGGAATCTGTGAGAAGGGGATGGAATCTGGGAGAAGGGGATGGAATCAGGGAGAAGGGGATGGAATCAGGGAGAAGGGGATGGAATCTGGGAGAAGGGGATGGAATCTGGGAGAAGGGGATGGAATCTGGGAGAAGGGGATGGAATCAGGGAGAAGGGGATGGAATCTGGGAGAAGGGTGTGGAATCTGGGAGAAGGGGGTGGAATCTGGGAGAAGGGGATGGAATCTGGGAGAAGGGGATGGAATCTGGGAGAAGGGGATGGAATCTGGGAGAAGGGGATGGAATCTGGGAGAAGGGGATGGAATCTGGGAGAAGGGGATACAATCTGGGAGAAGGGGATGGAATAAGGGAGAAGGGGATGGAATCGGGGAGAAGGGGATGGAATCTGGGAGAATGGGATGGAATCTGGGAGAAGGAGATGGAATCTGGGAGAAGGGGATGGAATCTGGGAGAAGGGGATGGAATCTGGGAGAAGGGTATAGAATCTGGGAGAAGGGGATGAAATTTGGGAGAAGGGGATGGCATTTGGGAGAAGGGGATGGAATCTGGGAGAAGGGGATGGAATCAGGGAGAAGGGGATGGAATCTGGGAGAAGGGGATGGAATCTGGGAAAAGGGGGTGGAATCTGGGAGAAGGGGATGAAGTCTGGGAGAAGGGGATGGAATTTGGGAGAAGAGGATGGAATCTGGGAGAAGGGGATGGAATTTGGGAGAAGGGGATGGAATCTGGGAGAAGGGGATGGAATCTAGGAGAAGAGGATGGAATCAGGGAGAAGGGGATGGAATCTGGGAGAAGGGGATGGAATCTCGGAGAAGCGGGTGGAATCTGGGAGAAGGGGATAGAATCTGGGAGAAGGGGATGGAATCTGGGAGAAGGGGATGGAATCTGGGAGAAGGGGGTGGAATATGGGAGAAGGGGATGGAATCTGGGAGAAGGGGATGGAAACAGGGAGAAGGGGGTGGAATCAGGGAGAAGGGGATGGAATCAGGGAGAAGGGGATGGAATCTGGGAGAAGGAGATGGAATCTGGGAGAAGGGGATAGAATCTCGGAGAAGGGGATGGAATCTGGGAGAAGGTGATGGAATTTGGGAGAAGGGGATGGAATCTGGGAGAAGGGGATGGAATATGGGAGAAGGGGATAAAATCTGGGAGAAGGGGATGGAATCTGGGAGAAGGGGATGGAATCTGGGAAAAGGGGGTGGAATCTGGGAGAAGGGGATGAAGTCAGGGAGAAGGGGATGGAATCTGGGAGACGAGGATAGAATCTAGGAGAAGCAGATGGAATCTGGGAGAAGGGAATGGAATCTGGGAGAAGGGGATGGAATCTGGGAGAAGGGGATGGAATCTAGGAGAAGAGGATGGAATCAGGAAGAAGGGGATGGAATCTGGGAGAAGGGGATGGAATCTCGGAGAAGCGGGTGGAATCTGGGAGAAGGGGATGGAATCTGGGAGAAGGGGATGGAATCCGGGAGAAGGGGATGGAATCTGGGAGAAGGGGGTGGAATATGGGAGAAGGGGATGGAATCTGGGAGAAGGGGATGGAATCTGGGAGAAGGGGGTGGAATCAGGGAGAAGGGGATGGAATCAGGGAGAAGGGGATAGAATCTGGGAGAAGGGGATGGAATCTGGGAGAAGGGGATGGAATCTGGGAGAAGGGGATGGAATCAAGGAGAAGGGGATGGAATTTGGGAGAAGGAGATGGAATCTGGGAGAAGGGAATGGAATCTGGGAGAAGGGGATGGAATCAGGGAGAAGGGGATGGAATCTGGGAGAAGGGGATGGAATCTGGGAGAAGGGGGTGGAATCTGGGAGAAGGGGATGGAATCGGGGAGAAGGGGATGGAATCTGGGTGAATGGGATGGAATCTGGGAGAAGGGGATGGAATCTGGGAGAAAGGGATGGAATCTAGGAGAAGGGGATGGAATCTGGGAGAAGGGGATGAAATCTGGGAGAAGGGGATGGAATCTGGGAGAAGGGGATGGAATCTGCGAGAAGGGGATGGAATCTGCGAGAAGGGGATGGAATCTGTGAGAAGGGGATGGAATCTGGGAGAAGGGGATGGAATCAGGGAGAAGGGGATGGAATCAGGGAGAAGGGGATGGAATCTGGGAGAAGGGGATGGAATATGGGAGAAGGGGGTGGAATCTGGGAGAAGGGGATGGAATCTGGGAGAAGGGGATGGAATCTGGGAGAAAGGGATGGAACCTGGGAGAAGGGGATGGAATCAGGGAGAAGGGGACGGAATCTGGGAGAAGGGGACGGAATTTGGGAGAAGGGGATGGAATCTGGGAGAAGGGGATGGAATCTGGGAGAAGGGGATGGAATCCGGGAGAAGGGGATGGAATCTGGGAGAAGGGGATGGAATATGGGAGAAGGGGATGGAATCTGGGAGAAGGGGATGGAATCTGGGAGAAGGGGATGGAATCGGGGAGAAGGGGATGGAATCTGGGAGAATGGGATGGAATTTGGGAGAAGGGGATGGAATCTGGGAGAAGGGGATGGAATCTGGGAGAAGGGGATGGAATCTGGGAGAAGGGGATGGAATCTGGGAGAAGGGGATGGAATCAGGGAGAAGGGGGTGGAATCTGGTAGAAGGGGATGAACTCTGGGAGAAGGGGATGGAATCTGGGAGAAGGGGATGGAATCTGGGAGAAGGGGATGGAATCTGGGAGAAGGGGATGGAATCTGGGAGAAGGAGATGGAATCTGGGAGAAGGGGATAGAATCTCGGAGAAGGGGATGGAATCTGGGAGACGGTGATGGAATTTGGGAGAAGGGGATGGAATCTGGGAGAAGGGGATAAAATCTGGGAGAAGGGGATGGAATCCGGGAGAAGGGGATGGAATCTGGGAAAAGGGGGTGGAATCTGGGAGAAGGGGATGAAGTCTGGGAGAAGGGGATGGAATCTGGGAGAAGAGGATAGAATCTGGGAGAAGCAGATGGAATCTGGGAGAAGGGAATGGAATCTGGGAGAAGGGGATGGAATCTGGGAGAAGGGGATGGAATCTAGGAGAAGAGGATGGAATCAGGGAGAAGGGGATGGAATCTGGGAGAAGGGGATGGAATCTCGGAGAAGCGGGTGGAATCTGGGAGAAGGGGATGGAATCTGGGAGAAGGGGATGGAATCTGGGAGAAGGGGATGGAATCTGGGAGAAGGGGGTGGAATATGGGAGAAGGGGATGGAATCTGGGAGAAGGGGATGGAATCTGGGAGAAGGGGGTGGAATTAGGGAGAAGGGGATGGAATCAGGAAGAAGGGGATGGAATCTGGGAGAAGGGGATGGAATCTGGGAGAAGGGGATGGAATCTGGGAGAAGGGGATGGAATCAAGGAGAAGGGGATGGAATTTGGGAGAAGGAGATGGAATCTGGGAGAAGGGAATGGAATCTGGGAGAAGGGGATGGAATCAGGGAGAAGGGGATGGAATCTGGGAGAAGGGGATGGAATATGGGAGAAGGGGGTGGAATCTGGGAGAAGGGGATGGAATCGGGGAGAAGGGGATGGAATCTGGGTGAATGGGATGGAATCTGGGAGAAGGGGATGGAATCTGGGAGAAAGGGATGGAATCTAGGAGAAGGGGATGGAATCTGGGAAAAGGGTATAGAATCTGGGAGAAGGGGATGAAATCTGGGAGAAGGGGATGGAATTTGGGAGAAAGGGATGGAATCAGGGAGAAGGGGATGGAATCTGGGAAAAGGGGGTGGAATCTGGGAGAAGGGGATGAAGTCTGGGAGAAGGGGATGGAATCTGGGAGAAGAGGATAGAATCTGGGAGAAGCAGATGGAATCTGGGAGAAGGGAATGGAATCTGGGAGAAGGGGATGGAATCTGGGAGAAGGGGATGGAATCTAGGAGAAGAGGATGGAATCAGGGAGAAGGGGATGGAATCTGGGAGAAGGGGATGGAATCTCGGAGAAGCGGGTGGAATCTGGGAGAAGGGGATGGAATCTGGGAGAAGGGGATGGAATCTGGGAGAAGGGGATGGAATCTGGGAGAAGGGGGTGGAATATGGGAGAAGGGGATGGAATCTGGGAGAAGGGGATGGAATCTGGGAGAAGGGGGTGGAATTAGGGAGAAGGGGATGGAATCAGGAAGAAGGGGATGGAATCTGGGAGAAGGGGATGGAATCTGGGAGAAGGGGATGGAATCTGGGAGAAGGGGATGGAATCAAGGAGAAGGGGATGGAATTTGGGAGAAGGAGATGGAATCTGGGAGAAGGGAATGGAATCTGGGAGAAGGGGATGGAATCAGGGAGAAGGGGATGGAATCTGGGAGAAGGGGATGGAATATGGGAGAAGGGGGTGGAATCTGGGAGAAGGGGATGGAATCGGGGAGAAGGGGATGGAATCTGGGTGAATGGGATGGAATCTGGGAGAAGGGGATGGAATCTGGGAGAAAGGGATGGAATCTAGGAGAAGGGGATGGAATCTGGGAAAAGGGTATAGAATCTGGGAGAAGGGGATGAAATCTGGGAGAAGGGGATGGAATTTGGGAGAAAGGGATGGAATCAGGGAGAAGGGGATGGAATCTGGGAGAAGGGGATGGAATCTGGGAGAAGGGGATGGAATATGGGAGAAGGGGATGGAATCTGGGAGAAGGGGGTGGAATCTGGGAGAAGGGGATGGAATCTGGGAGAAGGGGATGGAATCTGGGAGAAGGGGATGGAATCTGCGAGAAGGGGATGGAATCTGCGAGAAGGGGATGGAATCTGGGAGAAGGGGATGGAATCTGGGAGAAGGGGATGGAATCAGGGAGAAGGGGATGGAATCAGGGAGAAGGGGATGGAATCTGGGAGAAGGGGATGGAATATGGGAGAAGGGGGTGGAATCTGGGAGAAGGGGATGGAATCTGGGAGAAGGGGATGGAATCTGGGAGAAAGGGATGGAACCTGGGAGAAGGGGATGGAATCAGGGAGAAGTGGACGGAATCTGGGAGAAGGGGACGGAATTTGGGAGAAGGGGATGGAATCTGGGAGAAGGGGATGGAATCTGGGAGAAGGGGATGGAATCCGGGAGAAGGGGATGGAATCTGGGAGAAGGGGATGGAATATGGGAGAAGGGGATGGAATCTGGGAGAAGGGGATGGAATCTGGGAGAAGGGGATGGAATCGGGGAGAAGGGGATGGAATCTGGGAGAATGGGATGGAATTTGGGAGAAGGGGATGGAATCTGGGAGAAGGGGATGGAATCTGGGAGAAGGGGATGGAATCTGGGAGAAGGGGATGGAATCTGGGAGAAGGGGATGGAATCAGGGAGAAGGGGGTGGAATCTGGTAGAAGGGGATGAACTTTGGGAGAAGGGGATGGAATCTGGGAGAAGGGGATGGAATCTGGGAGAAGGGGATGGAATCTGGGAGAAGGGGATGGAATCTGGGAGAAGGGGGTGGAATCTGGGAGAAGGGGATGGAATCGGGGAGAAGGGGATGGAATCTGGGTGAATGGGATGGAATCTGGGAGAAGGGGATGGAATCTGGGAGAAAGGGATGGAATCTAGGAGAAGGGGATGGAATCTGGGAAAAGGGTATAGAATCAGGGAGAAGGGGATGAAATCTGGGAGAAGGGGATGGAATTTGGGAGAAAGGGATGGAATCAGGGAGAAGGGGATGGAATCTGGGAGAAGGGGATGGAATCTGGGAGAAGGGGATGGAATATGGGAGAAGGGGATGGAATCTGGGAGAAGGGGGTGGAATCTGGGAGAAGGGGATGGAATCTGGGAGAAGGGGATGGAATCTGGGAGAAGGGGATGGAATCTGCGAGAAGGGGATGGAATCTGCGAGAAGGGGATGGAATCTGGGAGAAGGGGATGGAATCTGGGAGAAGGGGATGGAATCAGGGAGAAGGGGATGGAATCAGGGAGAAGGGGATGGAATCTGGGAGAAGGGGATGGAATATGGGAGAAGGGGGTGGAATCTGGGAGAAGGGGATGGAATCTGGGAGAAGTGGATGGAATCTGGGAGAAAGGGATGGAACCTGGGAGAAGGGGATGGAATCAGGGAGAAGTGGACGGAATCTGGGAGAAGGGGACGGAATTTGGGAGAAGGGGATGGAATCTGGGAGAAGGGGATGGAATCTGGGAGAAGGGGATGGAATCCGGGAGAAGGGGATGGAATCTGGGAGAAGGGGATGGAATATGGGAGAAGGGGATGGAATCTGGGAGAAGGGGATGGAATCTGGGAGAAGGGGATGGAATCGGGGAGAAGGGGATGGAATCTGGGAGAATGGGATGGAATTTGGGAGAAGGGGATGGAATCTGGGAGAAGGGGATGGAATCTGGGAGAAGGGGATGGAATCTGGGAGAAGGGGATGGAATCTGGGAGAAGGGGATGGAATCAGGGAGAAGGGGGTGGAATCTGGTAGAAGGGGATGAACTTTGGGAGAAGGGGATGGAATCTGGGAGAAGGGGATGGAATCTGGGAGAAGGGGATGGAATCTGGGAGAAGGGGATGGAATCTGGAAGAAGGGGATGGAATCTAGGAGAAGGGGATGGAAGGGAGAAGGGGATGGAATCGGGGAGAAGGGGATGGAATCTGGGAGAAGGGGTGGAATCTGGGAGAAGGGGATGGAATCTGGGACAAGGATATAGAATCTGGGAGAAGGGGATGAAATCTGGGAGAATGGGATGGAATTTGGGAGAAGGATGGAATCTGGGAGAAGGGGATGGAATCTGGGAGAAGGGGATGGAATCTGGGAGAAGGGGATGGAATCTGGGAAAGGGGATGGAATCTGGGAGAAGGGGGTGGAATCTGGGAGAAGGGGATGAAATCTGGGAGAAGGGGATGGAATCTGGGAGAAGGGGATGGAATCTGGGAGAAGGGGATGGAATCAGGGAGAAGGGGATGGAATATGGGAGAAGGGGATGGAATCTGGGAGAAGGGGATGGAATCTAGGAGAAGGGGATGGAATCTGCGAGAAGGGGATGAAATCTGGGAGAAGGGGATGGAATCTGGGAGAAGGGGATGGAATCTGGGAGAAGGGGGTGGAATCAGGGAGAAGGGGATGGAATCAGGGAGAAGGGGATGGAATCTGGGAGAAGGGGATGGAATCTGGGAGAAGGGGGTGCAATCTGGGAGAAGGGGATGGAATCTGGGAGAAGGGGATTGAATCTGGGAAAAGGGGATGGAATTAGGGAGAAGGGGGTGGAATCTGGGAGAAGGGGGTGGAATCTGGGAGAATGGGATGGAATCTGGGAGAAGGGGATGGAATCTGGGAGAAGGGGATGGAATCTGGAAGAAGGGGATGGAATTTGGGAGAAGGGGATGGAATCTGGGAGAAGGGGATGGAATCTGGGAGAAGGGGATAGAATCTGGGAGAAGGGGATGGAATCTGGGAGAAGGGGATGGAATCTGGGAGAAGGGGATGGAATCTGGGAGAAAGGGATGGAATATGGGAGAAGGGGATGGAATATGGGAGAAGGGGATGGAATCTGTAAGAAGGGGATGGAATCTGGGAGAAGGGGATGGAATCTGGGAGAAGGGGATGGAATCTGGGAGAAGGGGATGGAATCAGGGAGAAGGGGATGGAATCTGGGAGAAGGGGGTGGAATCTGGGAGAAGGGGATGGAATCTGGGAGAAGGGGATGGAATCTGGGAGAAGGGGATGGAATCGAGGAGAAGGGGATGGAATCTAGGAGAAGGGGATACAATCTGGGAGAAGGGGATAAAATCGGGGAGAAGGGGATGGAATCTGGGAGAAGGGGATGGAATATGGGAGAAGGGGATGGAATATGGGAGAAGGGGATGGAATCTGGGAGAAGGGGATGGAATCTGGGAGAAGGGGATGGAATCAGGGAGAAGGGGATGGAATCTGGGAGAAGGGGGTGGAATCTTGGAGAAGGGGGTGGAATCTGGGAGAAGGGGATGGAATCTGGGAGAAGGGGATGGAATCTGGGAGAAGGGGATGGAATCTGGGAGAAGGGGATAAAATCAGGGAGAAGGGGATGGAATCTGGGAGAAGGGGGTGGAATCTGGGAGAAGGGGGTGGAATCTGGGAGAAGGGGATGGAATCCGGGAGAAGGGGATGGAATCTGGGAGAAGGGGATGGAATCTGGGAGAAGGGGATGGAATCTGGGAGAAGGGGATGGAATCTGGGAGAAGGGGATACAATCTGGGAGAAGGGGATAAAATCGGGGAGAAGGGGATGGAATCTGGGAGAAGGGGATGGAATCTGGGAGAAGGGGATGGAATATGGGAGAAGGGGATGGAATCTGGGAGAAGGGGATGGAATCTGGGAGAAGGGGATGGAATCAGGGAGAAGGGGATGGAATCTGGGAGAAGGGGTGGAATCTGGGAGAAGGGGGTGGAATCTTGGAGAAGGGGATGGAATCTGGGAGAAGGGGATGGAATCTGGGAGAAGGGGATGGAATCTGGGAGAAGGGGATGGAATCTGGGAGAAGGGGATGGAATCTGGGAGAAGGGGATACAATCTGGGAGAAGGGGATGGAATCGGGGAGAAGGGGATGGAATCTGGGAGAATGGGATGGAATCTGGGAGAAGGGGATGGAATCTGGGAGAAGGGGATGGAATCTGGGAGAAGGGGATGGAATCTGGGAGAAGGGTATAGAATCTGGGAGAAGGGGATGAAATCTGGGAGAATGGGATGGAATTTGGGAGAAGGGGATGGAATCTGGGAGAAGGGGATGGAATCTGGGAGAAGGGGATGGAATCTGGGAGAAGGGGATGGAATCAGGGAGAAGGGGATGGAATCTGGGAGAAGGGGGTGGAATCTGGGAGAAGGGGGTGGAATCTGGGAGAAGGGGATGGAATCTGGGAGAAGGGGATGGAATCTGGGAGAAGGGGATGGAATCTGGGAGAAGGGGATAAAATCAGGGAGAAGGGGATGGAATCTGGGAGAAGGGGGTGGAATCTGGGAGAAGGGGGTGGAATCTGGGAGAAGGGGATGGAATCCGGGAGAAGGGGATGGAATCTGGGAGAAGGGGATGGAATCTGGGAGAAGGGGATGGAATCTAGGAGAAGGGGATGGAATCTGGGAGAAGGGGATACAATCTGGGAGAAGGGGATAAAATCGGGGAGAAGGGGATGGAATCTGGGAGAAGGGGATGGAATCTGGGAGAAGGGGATGGAATATGGGAGAAGGGGATGGAATATGGGAGAAGGGGATGGAATCTGGGAGAAGGGGATGGAATCTGGGAGAAGGGGATGGAATCAGGGAGAAGGGGATGGAATCTGGGAGAAGGGGGTGGAATCTGGGAGAAGGGGGTGGAATCTGGGAGAAGGGGATGGAATCTGGGAGAAGGGGATGGAATCTGGGAGAAGGGGATGGAATCTGGGAGAAGGGGATAAAATCAGGGAGAAGGGGATGGAATCTGGGAGAAGGGGGTGGAATCTGGGAGAAGGGGGTGGAATCTGGGAGAAGGGGATGGAATCCGGGAGAAGGGGATGGAATCTGGGAGAAGGGGATGGAATCTGGGAGAAGGGGATGGAATCGGGGAGAAGGGGATGGAATCTGGGAGAAGGGGATACAATCTGGGAGAAGGGGATAAAATCGGGGAGAAGGGGATGGAATCTGGGAGAAGGGGATGGAATCTGGGAGAAGGGGATGGAATATGGGAGAAGGGGATGGAATCTGGGAGAAGGGGATGGAATCTGGGAGAAGGGGATGGAATCAGGGAGAAGGGGATGGAATCTGGGAGAAGGGGTGGAATCTGGGAGAAGGGGGTGGAATCTTGGAGAAGGGGATGGAATCTGGGAGAAGGGGATGGAATCTGGGAGAAGGGGATGGAATTTGGGAGAAGGGGATGGAATCTGGGAGAAGGGGATGGAATCTGGGAGAAGGGGATACAATCTGGGAGAAGGGGATGGAATCGGGGAGAAGGGGATGGAATCTGGGAGAATGGGATGGAATCTGGGAGAAGGGGATGGAATCTGGGAGAAGGGGATGGAATCTGGGAGAAGGGGATGGAATCTGGGAGAAGGGTATAGAATCTGGGAGAAGGGGATGAAATCTGGGAGAATGGGATGGAATTTGGGAGAAGGGGATGGAATCTGGGAGAAGGGGATGGAATCTGGGAGAAGGGGATGGAATCTGGGAGAAGGGGATGGAATCAGGGAGAAGGGGATGGAATCTGGGAGAAGGGGGTGGAATCTGGGAGAAGGGGGTGGAATCTGGGAGAAGGGGATGGAATCTGGGAGAAGGGGATGGAATCTGGGAGAAGGGGATGGAATCTGGGAGAAGGGGATAAAATCAGGGAGAAGGGGATGGAATCTGGGAGAAGGGGGTGGAATCTGGGAGAAGGGGGTGGAATCTGGGAGAAGGGGATGGAATCCGGGAGAAGGGGATGGAATCTGGGAGAAGGGGATGGAATCTGGGAGAAGGGGATGGAATCTGGGAGAAGGGGATGGAATCTGGGAGAAGGGGATACAATCTGGGAGAAGGGGATAAAATCGGGGAGAAGGGGATGGAATCTGGGAGAAGGGGATGGAATCTGGGAGAAGGGGATGGAATATGGGAGAAGGGGATGGAATCTGGGAGAAGGGGATGGAATCTGGGAGAAGGGGATGGAATCAGGGAGAAGGGGATGGAATCTGGGAGAAGGGGTGGAATCTGGGAGAAGGGGGTGGAATCTTGGAGAAGGGGATGGAATCTGGGAGAAGGGGATGGAATCTGGGAGAAGGGGATGGAATCTGGGAGAAGGGGATGGAATCTGGGAGAAGGGGATGGAATCTGGGAGAAGGGGATACAATCTGGGAGAAGGGGATGGAATCGGGGAGAAGGGGATGGAATCTGGGAGAATGGGATGGAATCTGGGAGAAGGGGATGGAATCTGGGAGAAGGGGATGGAATCTGGGAGAAGGGGATGGAATCTGGGAGAAGAGTATAGAATCTGGGAGAAGGGGATGAAATCTGGGAGAATGGGATGGAATTTGGGAGAAGGGGATGGAATCTGGGAGAAGGGGATGGAATCTGGGAGAAGGGGATGGAATCTGGGAGAAGGGGATGGAATCAGGGAGAAGGGGATGGAATCTGGGAGAAGGGGGTGGAATCTGGGAGAAGGGGGTGGAATCTGGGAGAAGGGGATGGAATCTGGGAGAAGGGGATGGAATCTGGGAGAAGGGGATGGAATCTGGGAGAAGGGGATAGAATCAGGGAGAAGGGGATGGAATCTGGGAGAAGGGGGTGGAATCTGGGAGAAGGGGGTGGAATCTGGGAGAAGGGGATGGAATCTGGGAGAAGGGGATGGAATCTGGGAGAAGGGGATGGAATCTGGGAGAAGGGGATGGAATCTGGGAGAAGGGGATGGAATCTGGGAGAAGGGGATACAATCTGGGAGAAGGGGATAAAATCGGGGAGAAGGGGATGGAATCTGGGAGAAGGGGATACAATCTGGGAGAAGGGGATAAAATCGGGGAGAAGGGGATGGAATCTGGGAGAAGGGGATGGAATCTGGCAGAAGGGGATGGAATATGGGAGAAGGGGATGGAATCTGGGAGAAGGGGATGGAATCTGGGAGAAGGGGATGGAATCAGGGAGAAGGGGATGGAATCTGGGAGAAGGGGTGGAATCTGGGAGAAGGGGGTGGAATCTTGGAGAAGGGGATGGAATCTGGGAGAAGGGGATGGAATCTGGGAGAAGGGGATGGAATCTGAGAGAAGGGGATGGAATCTGGGAGAAGGGGATGGAATCTGGGAGAAGGGGATACAATCTGGGAGAAGGGGATGGAATCGGGGAGAAGGGGATGGAATCTGGGAGAATGGGATGGAATCTGGGAGAAGGGGATGGAATCTGGGAGAAGGGGATGGAATCTGGGAGAAGGGGATGGAATCTGGGAGAAGGGTATAGAATCTGGGAGAAGGGGATGAAATCTGGGAGAATGGGATGGAATTTGGGAGAAGGGGATGGAATCTGGGAGAAGGGGATGGAATCTGGGAGAAGGGGATGGAATCTGGGAGAAGGGGATGGAATCAGGGAGAAGGGGATGGAATCTGGGAGAAGGGGGTGGAATCTGGGAGAAGGGGGTGGAATCTGGGAGAAGGGGATGGAATCTGGGAGAAGGGGATGGAATCTGGGAGAAGGGGATGGAATCTGGGAGAAGGGGATAGAATCAGGGAGAAGGGGATGGAATCTGGGAGAAGGGGATGGAATCTGGGAGAAGGGGATGGAATCTGGGAGAAGGGGATGGAATCTGGGAGAAGGGGATGGAATCTGGGAGAAGGGGATACAATCTGGGAGAAGGGGATAAAATCGGGGAGAAGGGGATGGAATCTGGGAGAAGGGGATGAAATCTGGGAGAAGGGGATGGAATATGGGAGAAGGGGATGGAATCTGGGAGAAGGGGATGGAATCTGGGAGAAGGGGATGGAATCAGGGAGAAGGGGATGGAATCTGGGAGAAGGGGGTGGAATCTGGGAGAAGGGGGTGGAATCTGGGAGAAGGGGATGGAATCTGGGAGAAGGGGATGGAATCTGGGAGAAGGGGATGGAATCTGGGAGAAGTGGATGGAATCTGGGAGAAGGGGATGGAATCTGGGAGAAGGGGATACAATCTGGGAGAAGGGGATGGAATCGGGGAGAAGGGGATGGAATCTAGGAGAATGGGATGGAATCTGGGAGAAGGGGATGGAATCTGGGAGAAGGGGATGGAATCTGGGAGAAGGGGATGGAATCTGGGAGAAGGGTATAGAATCTGGGAGAAGGGGATGAAGTCTGGGAGAATGGGATGGAATTTGGGAGAAGGGGATGGAATCTGGGAGAAGGGGATGGAATCTGGGGGAAGGGGGTGGAATCTGGGAGAAGGGGATGAACTCTGGGAGAAGGGGATGGAATCTGAGAGAAGGGGATGGAATCTGGGAGAAGGGTATAGAATCTGGGAGTAGGGGATGAAATCTGGGAGAATGGGATGGAATTTGGGAGAAGGGGATGGAATCTGGGAGAAGGGGATGGAATCTGGGAGAAGGGGATGGAATTTGGGAGAAGGGGATGGAATCTGGGAGAAGGGGATGGAATCTGGGAGAAGGGGATGGAATCTGGGAGAAGGGGATGGAATCTAGGAGAAGGGGATGGAATCAGGGAGAAGGGGATGGAATCTGGGAGAAGGGGATGGAATCTGGGAGAAGGGGGTGGAATCTGGGAGAAGGGGATGGAATCTGGGAGAAGGGGATGGAATGTGGGAGAAGGGGATGGAATCTGGGAGAAGGGGATGGAATCAGGTAGAAGGGGATGGAATCTGGGAGAAGGGGATGGAATCTGGGAGAAGGGGATGGAATGAGGGAGAAGGGGATGGAATCTGGGAGAAGGGGGTGGAATCAGGGAGAAGGGGATGGAATCTGAGAGAAGGGGATGGAATCTGGGAGAAGGGGATGGAATCTGGGAGAAGGGGATGGAATCAGGTAGAAGGGGATGGAATCTGGGAGAAGGGGATGGAATCTGGGAGAAGGGGATGGAATCAGGGAGAAGGGGATGGAATCTGGGAGAAGGGGGTGGAATCAGGGAGAAGGGGATGAAATCTGGGAGAAGGGGATGGAATCTGGGAGAAGGGGATGGAATATGGGAGAAGCGGATGGAATCTGGGAGAAGGGGGTGGAATCTAGGAGAAGGGGGTGGAATGTGGGAGAAGGGGATGGAATCTGGGAGAAAGGGATGGAATCTGGTAGAAGGGGATGGAATCTGGGAGAAGGGGATGGAATCTAGGAGAAGGGGATGGAATCTGGGAGAAGGGGATAGAATCTGGGAGAAGGGGATGGAATCGGGGAGAAGGGGATGGAATCTGGGAGAAGGGGATGGAATCTGGGAGAAGGGGATGGAATCAGGTAGAAGGGGATGGAATCTGGGAGAAGGGGATGGAATCTGGGAGAAGGGGATGGAATCTGGGAGAAGGGGATGGAATCTGGGAGAAGGGGGTGGAATCAGGGAGAAGGGGATGAAATCTGGGAGAAGGGGATGGAATCTGGGATAAGGGGATGGAATATGGGAGAAGGGGATGGATTCTGGGAGAAGGGGATGGAATATGGGAGAAGGGGATGGAATCTGGGAGAAGGGGATGGAATCTGGGAGAAGGGGGTGGAATCTAGGAGAAGGGGGTGGAATGTGGGAGAAGGGGATGGAATGTGGGAGAAGGGGATGGAATCTGGGAGAAGGGGATGGAATCTGGGAGAAGGGGATGGAATCTGGGAGAAGGGGATGGAATCTGGGAGAAGGGGATAGAATCTGGGAGAAGGGGATGGAATCGGGAAGAAGGGGATGGAATCTGGGAGAATGGGATGGAATCTGGGAGAAGGGGATGGAATCTGGGAGAAGGGGATGGAATCTGGGAGAAGGGGATGGAATCTGCGAGAAGGGGATGGAATCTGGGAGAAGGGGATGGAATCTGGGAGAAGGGGATGGAATCAGGGAGAAGGGGATGGAATCTGGGAGAAGGGGGTGGAATCTGGGAGAAGGGGGTGGAATCTGGGAGAAGGGGGTGGAATCTGGGAGAAGGGGATGGAATCTGGGAGAAGGGGATGGAATCTGGGAGAAGGGGATGGAATCTGGGAGAAGGGGATGGAATCTGGGAGAAGGGGGTGGAATCTGGGAGAAGGGGATGGAATCTAGGAGAAGGGGATGGAATATGGGAGAAGGGAATGGAATCTGGGAGAAGGGGATGGAATCTGCGAGAAGGGGATGGAATCTGGGAGAAGGGGATGGAATCTGGGAGAAGGGGATGGAATCTGGGAGAAGGGGGTGGAATCAGGGAGAAGGGGATGAAATCTGGGAGAAGGGGATGGAATCTGGGAGAAGGGGATGGAATATGGGAGAAGCGGATGGAATCTGGGAGAAGGGGGTGGAATCTAGGAGAAGGGGGTGGAATGTGGGAGAAGGGGATGGAATCTGGGAGAAAGGGATGGAATCTGGTAGAAGGGGATGGAATCTGGGAGAAGGGGATGGAATCTAGGAGAAGGGGATGGAATCTGGGAGAAGGGGATAGAATCTAGGAGAAGGGGATGGAATCGGGGAGAAGGGGATGGAATCTGGGAGAAGGGGATGGAATCTGGGAGAAGGGGATGGAATCAGGTAGAAGGGGATGGAATCTGGGAGAAGGGGATGGAATCTGGGAGAAGGGGATGGAATCTGGGAGAAGGGGATGGAATCTGGGAGAAGGGGGTGGAATCAGGGAGAAGGGGATGAAATCTGGGAGAAGGGGATGGAATCTGGGATAAGGGGATGGAATATGGGAGAAGGGGATGGATTCTGGGAGAAGGGGATGGAATATGGGAGAAGGGGATGGAATCTGGGAGAAGGGGATGGAATATGGGAGAAGGGGGTGGAATCTAGGAGAAGGGGGTGGAATGTGGGAGAAGGGGATGGAATGTGGGAGAAGGGGATGGAATCTGGGAGAAGGGGATGGAATCTGGGAGAAGGGGATGGAATCTGGGAGAAGGGGATGGAATCTGGGAGAAGGGGATAGAATCTGGGAGAAGGGGATGGAATCGGGAAGAAGGGGATGGAATCTGGGAGAATGGGATGGAATCTGGGAGAAGGGGATGGAATCTGGGAGAAGGGGATGGAATCTGGGAGAACGGGATGGAATCTGCGAGAAGGGGATGGAATCTGGGAGAAGGGGATGGAATCTGGGAGAAGGGGATGGAATCAGGGAGAAGGGGATGGAATCTGGGAGAAGGGGGTGGAATCTGGGAGAAGGGGGTGGAATCTGGGAGAAGGGGGTGGAATCTGGGAGAAGGGGATGGAATCTGGGAGAAGGGGATGGAATTTGGGAGAAGGGGATGGAATCTGGGAGAAGGGGATGGAATCTGGGAGAAGGGGGTGGAATCTGGGAGAAGGGGATGGAATCTAGGAGAAGGGGATGGAATATGGGAGAAGGGAATGGAATCTGGGAGAAGGGGATGGAATCTGCGAGAAGGGGATGGAATCTGGGAGAAGGGGATGGAATCTGGGAGAAGGGGATGGAATATGGGAGAAGCGGATGGAATCTGGGAGAAGGGGGTGGAATCTAGGAGAAGGGGGTGGAATGTGGGAGAAGGGGATGGAATTTGGGAGAAAGGGATAGAATCTGGTAGAAGGGGATGGAATCTGGGAGAAGGGGATGGAATCTAGGAGAAGGGGATGGAATCTGGGAGAAGGGGATAGAATCTGGGAGAAGGGGATGGAATCGGGGAGAAGGGGATGGAATCTGGGAGAAGGGGATGGAATCTGGGAGAAGGGGATGGAATCAGGTAGAAGGGGATGGAATCTGGGAGAAGGGGATGGAATCTGGGAGAAGGGGATGGAATCTGGGAGAAGGGGATGGAATCTGGGAGAAGGGGGTGGAATCAGGGAGAAGGGGATGAAATCTGGGAGAAGGGGATGGAATCTGGGATAAGGGGATGGAATATGGGAGAAGGGGATTAATTCTGGGAGAAGGGGATGGAATATGGGAGAAGGGGATGGAATCTGGGAGAAGGGGATGGAATCTGGGAGAAGGGGGTGGAATCTAGGAGAAGGGGGTGAAATGTGGGAGAAGGGGATGGAATGTGGGAGAAGGGGATGGAATCTGGGAGAAGGGGATGGAATCTGGGAGAAGGGGATGGAATCAGGTAGAAGGGGATGGAATCTGGGAGAAGGGGATGGAATCTGGGAGAAGGGGATGGAATCTGGGAGAAGGGGATGGAATCTGGGAGAAGGGGGTGGAATCAGGGAGAAGGGGATGAAATCTGGGAGAAGGGGATGGAATCTGGGATAAGGGGATGGAATATGGGAGAAGGGGATGGATTCTGGGAGAAGGGGATGGAATATGGGAGAAGGGGATGGAATCTGGGAGAAGGGGATTGGAATCTGGGAGAAGGGGGTGGAATCTAGGAGAAGGGGGTGGAATGTGGGAGAAGGGGATGGAATGTGGGAGAAGGGGATGGAATCTGGGAGAAGGGGATGGAATCTGGGAGAAGGGGATGGAATCTGGGAGAAGGGGATGGAATCTGGGAGAAGGGGATAGAATCTGGGAGAAGGGGATGGAATCGGGAAGAAGGGGATGGAATCTGGGAGAATGGGATGGAATCTGGGAGAAGGGGATGGAATCTGGGAGAAGGGGATGGAATCTGGGAGAAGGGGATGGAATCTGCGAGAAGGGGATGGAATGTGGGAGAAGGGGATGGAATCTGGGAGAAGGGGATGGAATCAGGGAGAAGGGGATGGAATCTGGGAGAAGGGGGTGGAATCTGGGAGAAGGGGGTGGAATCTGGGAGAAGGGGGTGGAATCTGGGAGAAGGGGATGGAATCTGGGAGAAGGGGATGGAATCTGGGAGAAGGGGATGGAATCTGGGAGAAGGGGATGGAATCTGGGAGAAGGGGGTGGAATCTGGGAGAAGGGGATGGAATCTGCGAGAAGGGGATGGAATCTGGGAGAAGGGGATGGAATCTGGGAGAAGGGGATGGAATCTGGGAGAAGGGGATGGAATCAGGGAGAAGGGGATGGAATCTGGGAGAAGGGGGTGGAATCTGGGAGAAGGGGGTGGAATCTGGGAGAAGGGGGTGGAATCTGGGAGAAGTGGATGGAATCTGGGAGAAGGGGATGGAATCTGGGAGAAGGGGATGGAATCTGGGAGAAGGGGATGGAATCTGGGAGAAGGGGATGGAATCTGGGAGAAGGGGATGGAATATGGGAGAAGGGGATAGAATCTGGGAGAAGGGGATGGAATCTGGGAGAAGGGGATGGAATCTGGGAGAATGGGATGGAATCTGGAAGAAGGGGATGGAATCTGGGAGAAGGGGATGAAATCTGGGAGAATGGGATGGAATTTGGGAGAAGGGGATGGAATCTTGGAGAAGGGGATGGAATCTGGGAGAAGGGGATGGAATATGGGAGAAGGGGATGGAATCTGGGAGAAGGGGATGGAATCTGGGAGAAGGGGATGCAATCTGGGAGAAGGGGATGGAGTCTAGGAGAAGGGGATGGAATCAGGGAGAAGGGGATGGAATCTGCGAGAAGGGGATGGAATCTGGGAGAAGGGGGTGGAATCTGGGAGAAGGGGGTGGAATCTGGGAGAAGGGGGTGGAATCTGGGAGAAGGGGATGGAATCTGGGAGAAGGGGATGGAATCTGGGAGAAGGGGATGGAATCTGGGAGAAGGGATGGAATCTGGGAGAAGGGGGTGGAATCTTGGAGAAGGGGATGGAATCTAGGAGAAGGGGATGGAATATGGGAGAAGGGAATGGAATCTGGGAGAAGGGGATGGAATCTGCGAGAAGGGGATGGAATCTGGGAGAAGGGGATGGAATCTGGGAGAAGGGGATGGAATCTGGGAGAAGGGGATGGAATCAGGGAGAAGGGGATGGAATCTGGGAGAAGGGGGTGGAATCTGGGAGAAGGGGGTGGAATCTGGGAGAAGGGGGTGGAATCTGGGAGAAGGGGATGGAATCTGGGAGAAGGGGATGGAATCTGGGAGAAGGGGATGGAATCTGGGAGAAGGGGATGGAATCTGGGAGAAGGGGATGGAATATGGGAGAAGGGGATAGAATCTGGGAGAAGGGGATGGAATCTGGGAGAAGGGGATGGAATCTGGGAGAATGGGATGGAATCTGGGAGAAGGGGATGGAATCTGGGAGAAGGGGATGAAATCTGGGAGAATGGGATGGAATTTGGGAGAAGGGGATGGAATCTTGGAGAAGGGGATGGAATCTGGGAGAAGGGGATGGAATATGGGAGAAGGGGATGGAATCTGGGAGAAGGGGATGGAATCTGGGAGAAGGGGATGCAATCTGGGAGAAGGGGATGGAATCTAGGAGAAGGGGATGCAATCAGGGAGAAGGGGATGGAATCTGGGAGAAGGGGATAGAATCTGAAAGAAGAGGGTGGAATCTGGAAGAAGGGGATGGAATCTGGGAGAAGGGGATGGAATCTGGGAGAAGGGGATGGAATCTGGGAGAAGGGGATGGAATCAGGGAGAAGGGGATGGAATCTGGGAGAAGGGGATGGAATCTGGGAGAAGGGGATGGAATCTGGGAGAAGGGGATGGAATCTGGGAGAAGGGGGTGGAATCAGGGAGAAGGGGATGAAATCTGGGAGAAGGGGATGGAATCTCGGAGAAGGGGATGGAATATGGGAGAAGGGGATGGAATCTGGGAGAAGGGGATGGAATCTGGGAGAAGGGGAGGGAATCAGGGAGAAGGGGATAGAATCTAAGAGAAGGGGGTGGAATCTGGGAGAAGGGGGTGGAATCTGGGAGAAGGGGATGGAATCTGGGAGAAGGGGATGGAATATGGGAGAAGGGGATGGAATCTGGGAGAAGGGGATGGAATCTGGGAGAAGGGGATGGAATCTGGAAGAAGGGGATGGAATCTGGGAGAAGGGGATGGAATCGGGAAGAAGGGGATGGAATCTGGGAGAATGGGATGGAATCAGGGAGAAGGGGATGGAATCTGGGAGAAGGGGATGGAATCTTGGAGAAGGGGGTGGAATCTGGGAGAAGGGGATGGAATCTGGGAGAAGGGGATGGAATCTGGGAGAAGGGGATTGAATACGGAAGAAGGGGATGGAATCAGGGAGAAGGGGATGGAATCTGGGAGAAGGGGATGGAATCTGGGAGAAGGGGATGGAATCTGGGAGAAGGGGATGGAATCTGGGAGAAGGGGATGGAATCAGGGAGAAGGGGATGGAATCTAGGAGAAGGGGGTGGAATCTGGGAGAAGGGGGTGGAATCTGGGAGAAGGGGATGGAATCTGGAAGAAGGGGATGGAATCTGGGAGAAGGGGATGGAATCTGGGAGAAGGGGATGGAATCTGGGAGAAGGGGATGGAATCTGGGAGAAGGGGATGGAATCAGGGAGAAGGGGATGGAATCTGGGAGAAGGGGATGGAATCTGGGAGAAGGGGGTGGAATCTGGGAGAAGGGGATGGAATCTGGGAGAAGGGGATAGAATCTGGGAGAAGGGGATGGAATATGGGAGAAGGGGATGGAATCAGGGAGAAGGGGATGGAATCTGGGAGAAGGGGATGGAATCTGGGAGAAGGGGATGGAATCTGGGAGAAGGGGATGGAATCTGGGAGAAGGGGATGGAATCTGGGAGAAGGGGATGGAATCTGGGAGAAGGGGGTGGAATCTGGGAGAAGGGGATGGAATCTAGGAGAAGGGGGTGGAATCTGGGAGAAGGGGATGGAATCTGGAAGAAGGGGATGGAATCTGGGAGAAGGGGATGGAATATGGGAGAAGGGAATGGAATCTGGGAGAAGGGGATGGAATCGGGGAGAAGGGGATCGAATGAGGGAGAAGGGGATGGAATGTGGGAGAAGGGGATGGAATCTGGGAGAAGGGGATGGAATCGGGAAGAAGGGGATGGAATCTGGGAGAATGGGATGGAATCAGGGAGAAGGGGATGGAATCTGGGAGAAGGGGATGGAATCTGGGAGAAGGGGGTGGAATCTGGGAGAAGGGGATGGAATCTGGGAGAAGGGGATGGAATCTGGGAGAAGGGGATTGAATACGGAAGAAGGGGATGGAATCAGGGAGAAGGGGATGGAATCTGGGAGAAGGGGATGGAATCTGGGAGAAGGGGATGGAATCTGGGAGAAGGGGATGGAATCTGGGAGAAGGGGATGGAATCAGGGAGAAGGGGATGGAATCTAGGAGAAGGGGGTGGAATCTGGGAGAAGGGGGTGGAATCTGGGAGAAGGGGATGGAATCTGGAAGAAGGGGATGGAATCTGGGAGAAGGGGATGGAATCTGAGAGAAGGGGATGGAATCTGGGAGAAGGGGATGGAATCTGGGAGAAGGGGATGGAATCTGGGAGAAGGGGATGGAATCTGGGAGAAGGGGATGGAATATGGGAGAAGGGGATGGAATCTGGGAGAAGGGGATGGAATCTGGGAGAAGGGGATGGAATCAGGGAGAAGGGGATGGAATCTGGGAGAAGGGGATGGAATCTGGGAGAAGGGGGTGGAATCTGGGAGAAGGGGATGGAATCTGGGAGAAGGGGATAGAATCTGGGAGAAGGGGATGGAATATGGGAGAAGGGGATGGAATCAGGGAGAAGGGGATGGAATCTGGGAGAAGGGGATGGAATCTGGGAGAAGGGGATGGAATCTGGGAGAAGGGGATGGAATCTGGGAGAAGGGGATGGAATCTGGGAGAAGGGGATGGAATCTGGGAGAAGGGGGTGGAATCTGGGAGAAGGGGATGGAATCTAGGAGAAGGGGATGGAATATGGGAGAAGGGAATGGAATCTGGGAGAAGGGGATGGAATCTGCGAGAAGGGGATGGAATCTGGGAGAAGGGGATGGAATCTGGGAGAAGGGGATGGAATCTAGGAGAAGGGGATGGAATCAGGGAGAAGGGGATGGAATCTAGGAGAAGGGGGTGGAATCTGGGAGAAGGGGGTGGAATCTGGGAGAAGGGGATGGAATCTGGAAGAAGGGGATGGAATCTGGGAGAAGGGGATGGAATATGGGAGAAGGGGATGGTATCTGGGAGAAGGGGATGGAATCGCGGAGAAGGGGATCGAATGAGGGAGAAGGGGATGGAATGTGGGAGAAGGGGATGGAATCTGGGAGAAGGGGATGGAATCCGGGAGAAGGGGATGAAATCTGGGAGAAGGGGGTGGATTCTGGGAGAAGGTGATGAAATCTGGGAGAAGGGGATGGAATCTGGGAGAAGGGGATGGAATCTGGGAGAAGGGGATGGAATCTGGGAGAAGGGGATGGAATCAAGGAGAAGGGGATGGAATCTGGAAGAAGGGGATGGAATCTGGGAGAAGGGGGTGGAATCTTGGAGAAGGGGATGGAATATGGGAGAAGGGGATAGAATCTGGGAGAAGGGGATGGAATCTGGGAGAAGAAAGATGGAACCTGGGAGAAGGGGATGGAATCTGGGAGAAAGGGATGGAATATGGGAGAAGGGGATGGAATATGGGAGAAGGGGATGGAATCTGGGAGAAGGGGATGGAATCTGGGAGAAGGGGGTGGAATCAGGGAGAAGGGGATGAAATCTGGGAGAAGGGGATGGAATCTGGGAGAAGGGGATGGAATATGGGAGAAGGGGATGGAATCTGGGAGAAGGGGATGGAATCTGGGAGAAGGGGATGGAATCAGGGAGAAGAGGATGGAATATGGGAGAAGGGGGTGGAATCTGGGAGAAGGGGGTGGAATCTGGGAGAAGGGGATGGAATCTGGGAGAATGGGGATGGAATCTGGGAGAAGGGGATGGAATCTGGGAGTAGGGGATGGAATCTGGGAGAAGGGGATGGAATCTGGGAGAAGGGGATAGAATATGGGAGAAGGGGATGGAATCGGGGAGAAGGGGATGGAATCTGGGAGAATGGGATGGAATCTCGGAGAAGGGGATGGAATCTGGGAGAAGGGGATGGATTCTAGGAGAAGGGGATGGAATCTGGGAGAAGGGTATAGAATGAGGGAGAAGGGGATGAAATCTGGGAGAATGGGATGGAATTTGGGAGAAGGGGATGGAATCTAGGAGGAGGGGATGGAATCTGGGAGAAGGGGGTGGAATCAGGGAGAAGGGGATGAAATCTGGGAGAAGGGGATGGAATCTGGAAGAAGGGGATGGAATCTGGGAGAAGAGGATGGAATCAGGGAGAAGAGGATGGAATATGGGAGAAGGGGGTGGAATCTGGGAGAAGGGGGTGGAATATGGGAGAAGGGGATGGAATCTGGGAGAATGGGGATGGAATCTGGGAGAAGGGGATAGAATATGGGAGAAGGGGATGGAATCGGGGAGAAGGGGATGGAATCTGGGAGAATGGGATGGAATCTGGGAGAAGGGGATGGAATCTGGGAGAAGGGGATGGATTCTGGGAGAAGGGGATGGAATCTGGGAGAAGGGTATAGAATCAGGGAGAAGGGGATGAAATCTGGGAGAATGGGATGGAATTTGGGAGAAGGGGATGGAATCTAGGAGAAGGGGATGGAATCTGGGAGAAGGGGGTGGAATCAGGGAGAAGGGGATGAAATCTGGGAGAAGGGGATGGAATCTGGGAGAAGGGGATGGAATATGGGAGAAGGGGATGGAATCTGGGAGAAGGGGATGGAATCTGGGAGAAGGGGATGGAATCTAGGAGAAGGGGATGGATTCTGGGAGAAGGGGATGGAATCTGGGAGAAGGGGATGGAATATGGGAGAAGGGGATGGAATCTGGGAGAAGGGGATGGAATCTGGGAGAAGGGGATGGAATCAGGGAGAAGAGGATGGAATATGGGAGAAGGGGGTTGAATCTGGGAGAAGGGGGTGGAATATGGGAGAAGGGGATGGAATCTGGGAGAATGGGGATGGAATCTGGGAGAAGGGGATGGAATCTGGGAGTAGGGGATGGAATCTGGGAGAAGGGGATGGAATCTGGGAGAAGGGGATAGAATATGGGAGAAGGGGATGGAATCGGGGAGAAGGGGATGGAATCTGGGAGAATGGGATGGAATCTGGGAGAAGGGGATGGAATCTGGGAGAAGGGGATGGATTCTGGGAGAAGGGGATGGAATCTGGGAGAAGGGGATGGATTCTGGGAGAAGGGGATGGAATCTGGGAGAAGGGTATAGAATCTGGGAGAAGGGGATGAAATCTGGGAGAATGGGATGGAATTTGGGAGAAGGGGATGGAATCTAGAAGAAGGGGATGGAATCTGGGAGAAGGGGATGGAATCTGGGAGAAGAGGATGGAATCTGGGAGAAGGGGATGGAATCTGGGAGAAGGGGATGGAATCTGGGAGAAGGGGATGGAATCTGGAAGAAGGGGATGGAATCTGGGTTTAGGGGATGGAATCAGGGAGAAGGGGATGGAATCTGGGAAAAGGGGATGGAATTTGGGAGAAGGGGATGGAATCTGGAAGAAGGGGTGGAATCTGGGAGAAGGGGATGGAATCTGGGAGAAGGGGATGGAATCTGGGAGAAGGGGATGGAATCTGGGAAAAGGGGATGGAATCTGGGAGAAGGGGATGGAATTTGGGAGAAGGGGATGGAATCTGGGAGAAGGGGGTGGAATCTGGGAGAAGGGGATGGAATCTGGGAGAAGGGGATGGAATCTGGGAGAAGGGGGTGGAATCAGGGAGAAGTGGATGAAATCTGGGAGAAGGGGATGGAATCTGGGAGAAGTGGATGGAATATGGGAGAAGGGGATGGAATCTGGGAGAACGGGATGGAATCAGGGAGAAGAGGATGGAATATGGGAGAAGGGGGTGGAATCTGGGAGAAGGGGGTGGAATCTGGGAGAAGGGGATGGAATCTGGGAGAATGGGGATGGAGTCTGGGAGAAGGGGATGGAATCTGGGAGTAGGGGATGGAATCTGGGAGAAGGGGATGGAATCTGGGAGAAGGGGATAGAATATGGGAGAAGGGGATGGAATCGGGGAGAAGGGGATGGAATCTGGGAGAATGGGATGGAATCTGGGAGAAGGGGATGGAATCTGGGAGAAGGGGATGGATTCTGGGAGAAGGGGATGGAATCTGGGAGAAGGGTATAGAATCTTGGAGAAGGGGATGAAATCTGGGAGAATGGGATGGAATTTGGGAGAAGGGGATGGAATCTAGGAGAAGGGGATGGAATCTGGGAGAAGGGGATGGAATCTGGGAGAAGGGGATGGAATCTGGGAGAAGGGGATGGAATCTGGGAGAAGGGGATGGAATCTGGGAGAAGGGGATGGAATCTGGAAGAAGGGGATGGAATCTGGGAGAAGGGGATGGAATCAGGGAGAAGGGGATGGAATCTGGGAAAAGGGGATGGAATTTGGGAGAAGGGGATGGAATCTGGGAGAAGGGGTGGAATGTGGGAGAAGGGGATGGAATCTGGGAGAAGGGGATGGAATCTGGGAGAAGGGGATGGAATCTGGGAGAAGGGGATGGAATCTGGGAGACGGGGATGGAATCTGGGAGAAGGGGATGGAATCTGGAAGAAGGGGATGGAATCTGGGAGAAGGGGATGGAATCAGGGAGAAGGGGATGGAATCTGGGAAAAGGGGATGGAATTTGGGAGAAGGGGATGGAATCTGGGAGAAGGGGTGGAATCTGGGAGAAGGGGATGGAATCTGGGAGAAGGGGATGGAATCTGGGAGAAGGGGATGGAATCTGGGAAAAGGGGATGGAATCTGGGAGAAGGGGATGGAATTTGGGAGAAGGGGATGGAATCTGGGAGAAGGAGGTGGATTCTGGGAGAAGGGGATGGAATCTGGGAGAAGGGGATGGAATCTGGGAGAAGGGGGTGGAATCAGGGAGAAGTGGATGAAATCTGGGAGAAGGGGATGGAATATGGGAGAAGGGGATGGAATATGGGAGAAGGGGATGGAATCTGGGAGAAGGGGATGGAATCAGGGAGAAGAGGATGGAATATTGGAGAAGGGGGTGGAATCTGGGAGAAGGGGGTGGAATCTGGGAGAAGGGGATGGAATCTGGGAGAAGGGGATGGAATCTGGGAGAAGGGGATGGAATCTGGGAGAAGGGGATGGAATCTGGGAGAAGGGGATGGAATCTGGGAGAAGGGGATGGAATCTGGGAGAAGGGGATGGAATCCAGGAGAAGGGGATGGATTCTGGGAGAAGGGGATGGAATCTGGGAGAAGGGGATGGAATATGGGAGAAGGGGATGGAATCTGGGAGAAGGGGATGGAATCTGGGAGAAGGGGATGGAATCAGGGAGAAGAGGATGGAATATGGGAGAAGGGGGTGGAATCTGGGAGAAGGGGGTGGAATATGGGAGAAGGGGATGGAATCTGGGAGAATGGGGATGGAATCTGGGAGAAGGGGATGGAATATGGGAGTAGGGGATGGAATCTGGGAGAAGGGGATGGAATCTGGGAGAAGGGGATAGAATATGGGAGAAGGGGATGGAATCGGGGAGAAGGGGATGGAATCTGGGAGAATGGGATGGAATCTGGGAGAAGGGGATGGAATCTGGGAGAAGGGGATGGATTCTGGGAGAAGGGGATGGAATCTGGGAGAAGGGTATAGAATCTGGGAGAAGGGGATGAAATCTGGGAGAATGGGATGGAATTTGGGAGAAGGGGATGGAATCTAGGAGAAGGGGATGGAATCTAGGCTCTAGACCCGCTAAGGGAGGAGGAGGAGGACCAGGAGAAGGTGGAAGACCAAGAACCTGCTCTAGGAGTGGAACGAAGTACGGTCGGGGCCGCGTGGCGACGCCAGAAACAGCAGGGACAGTACCAATACCCCAAGCAGGAGGACCCGCGTCAGCAGCACCTCCAGCAGCTCCAGAACCCCCAGCAGCACCCCCACCAGCCCCAGAAGCACTGCCAGCCGGACTGTCAGTGGTAGTCTTAGCTCCAACACCCTCAGCAGCACCAGCTCCAGTCAAACCCGCAGGCCCAGCAGCTCCAGTACTCCCAGTACGAGCACCTCCGGGACCCGCGACAGCAGCACCCTCAGTAGCCGAAGAACCTCCAGCACCAGCAGCACGCCTCCAGCGCCGGGCAAACCACTCACGCAGCTCCTGTGGGGAGAGTGGCTCTCGGCGAGACGAAGCACCCGGAGAACCTCCAGGCTCAGCACCCCCAGGCAGAGCACCTCCAGGCGTAGCACCTCCAGTCTCAGCACCCCAAGGCTCAGCACCCCCAAGCTCAGCACCCTCAGGCTCAGCACCCCCAGGCTCAGCACCCCCAGGCTCAGCACCCCCGGGCTCAGCACCCCCAGGCTCAGCACCCCCAGGCAAAGCACCTCCAGGCATAGCACCTCCAGTCTCAGCACCCCGAGGCTCAGCACCCGCAGCAGCACCAGAGTCACCAGTGACCTCGACAGGCTCGACCGCGTCTACCTGGGACACACCTGAAGGGGCAGGACCCTGAGGGGGGAGGGGGTCTACCGGGGGGGGACCTGGTACCAAGAAGAGCGGGGGCGGGGGGAGGGACGGAGTGCGGTAGGGGAAGAGGCGGTAGTAGGGTACCGACTCGTCGAACGTGACGTCCTGGGAGGACAAAACACGGCGAGAGGTGGGGTGGTAGAACTGCCACCCAGGGGCGTCGGGGGGGAACCCCAAGAAGACGCAGGGAGCAGCGCGAGGGGACAGCTTGTCCGCAGACAAGTCGCGGACAAACGCCCGAGATCCCCAGACCCGGAACGCCGACGCATCGCCAACCTTCCCCGTCCACAGCAGGGCTGGGGAGGTCTCCGGCCTGGAGACCCTGGGGTGGAGGTTGATCTGATGCGCCGCGTACCTGACCGCAAACGGCCACAGAAAATGGGGGGCAGCCGCATGCATCATAGACGTACGAGCGACGTCCATGACCATGCCAATGCGGCGCTCCGCAATCCCATTTTGCTGCGGTGAGTCCGGAAGCGTGAAGGTCTGACGGATGCCTCGCGCACGACAGTAGGCACTCAGTAGGCCAGAGGAGAACTCTCCGCCTCTGTCCGAGTGCAGGCGCAGCACAGGAAAGTCCGAGCCAAAGCTCTGCCTGAGCTGGAGACGAGCTGCGCGGATCCAGTCGATCAGCACCTCAGTGACATCACCCTTGCTGCGCAAGGGGAAGACTGTGGTGTAACGCGAGTAGTCGTCAACCACCAACAGGAAGTAGCGCTCGTGACCTAGTCCCCGGACGCGGGCAAGGCCCCACACGTCCATATGAAGCGTCTGCAACGGAGCCTCTATCGGAGGGAACTGGGAGGAGTGAGGGGCAGCACGCTGGCGCCCCTCGACACAGGGGACACAGGCAGGGCCAGGGCCCTGAGGAAGGGGAGGGAGGGACCGGGGGAGACCAGACACCAGAAGACGGGAGGCCATGCCTCTGAGCCGAAGCTGAGAGGGGTGACCAAGGCGGTGGTGCCAGAGGAGGGTCTCGTGAGACAGAGGACGACACGAACAGGGGGCAGACTCAGGACCAGACCTGGACGCTGCAGCAAACACCTGACCAGACGAAGGGACCCTACCAGACTCAGCAACTGGAGGAGAAGCAGTGGTTAGTGTGTATAGGCTCGACCCTGACGTGTAAACGTAGCCAGGTGGCGACCTGTGCTAGCCTCTGTGCAGTGCGTCACCCGCTGACGAGCAGGAGTGAACTGGTGGACACCCGCATCCTGTAGGTCAGCACCAGTCACCAGGTTCGTAGAGAACGAGGGGAGGTAGAGACCAGACAGGGTGCTAGAGGGGGCCGCCGGACAGGGGAGGACTGTGGAGAAGCGAGACAGGACAGGACCCCCAGAGGGGTCAGCCAGGGACACCGCAACCGGCCGACTAAGCGGCGTGAGTGTGGTGCGGTCCCGAAAGAAGGAGCGAGACGCTCCAGAGTCAAGGGTGAAGGTGTGGGAGGCCGAAGCCGACGCAGTACCTGAGAGCGCAGACTCACTAGTACTTGAGAGCGCAGACGCACTGGCACCTAGAGCTGTAACCTCACTGGCACCTAGAGCAGCAGGACCAATACCCGGGTCGGGCGGGAAACACCGGTAACAGTCACCCTCATCACTAACAGTCACAGCATACGTAGCAGCAAGGATAGCATCAAAGTCAAGATCAAAGATAGCTACACCAGCTCGAGACAGCTCTCCCAAGCGGGGGATCTCAGATGCCTCCGGGAACTGCTGGCGCCAAGCGTCCGTCAGGCGGCCAAAGCAGCGCTGGGCGGAGTGGGTACCCCCACACTGCTCACCCGCGCGGTCGCCGGTGCGAAGGACGTAGGTGAAGGGACCAAAAGCCCCACCACGCTGACGCTGCGTGTACCACTCACGGAGCTGCTGAGGGGCGTGGACGTCGCGAGAACGCTGCTGCTGCTGCTGCTGGCGCTGACTACCCCCTGTGCTGCTCCGCTGCGAAGAGCCACTCCGACCACCTCCACCACCCCCACCCCCGCCTCCGCCTCCACCGCCGCCACCTCCGCCACCTCCGCTCCCACCGCCACCGCCGCCACCACCTCCGCCTCCACTGCCGCCACTAGTACCCCCACCCCCGCTACCACCTCCACCGCCACCCCCACTCCCCCCGCCGCCCCCACCTCCTCCGCCACCGCCCCCGCTAGCTCCACCCGCGCCCTTGCCCCCCTTGCCCTTGCCAGGGCGGCGTCTCCCGCTAGGGGCAGACGCCGCACCGACCGACTCAAGACCAACGAGGTCGGCCGCAGCAGCAGAGGCAACAGAGGGTAACAGTGGGGAAGGAGAACACCCCTCAAAGATGGGGGTGCGAGGGTCACCGCGAGAGGCCCCTACAGCAACTATGCTCTTCTCGGCCGCTAGGAGGGACTTCTCGAGTAGGTCGACAGTGAGAGTGGTGGGACAGACTGAGAGAAAGTGGTCCCTAACTACACGAAGGGACTCAGGGAGACGAGTGACTAGAAAGTAGAGAGTGATGTACATGGGGGGGGGGGGTTCTTGGCGCAGAAGTCAGCAGGAAGCGCAGCACGGTAGCGAGTGTCACTAGTGCGGAGGTGCGTAATGAGGTCAGCGACTGTGGGAAAGGCAGCAAGGTCAGGGAAGAGGTACGGTAGCATGAGACGGCTCAGTGCAGCAGTGGCAGGGGAGGAGTAGCGTGCAACTACAGCGTCGTACAAGGTCTGTGCACTCTTGTACTGACTAAAGTGTGCACGCTCAGAGGTGGGGAGGTGGCGACGCACAGCAAGACGTGCAGCAGCATCGCGTGTGGCCCACTTGGAGCGAACAGTTGGGTCAGCATCAGCAGCAGGGGCAGGGACAGCGCCAGAGGTAAGGTCAAAGAGAGAAAGGTCATCTACCCTATCGCACTGCAAGTACAGCTGCAGGTCGTCTACCCAGAGCTCAAAGTCAAGGGCACGACCCTCAGCGTCAAAAGCTAGGACACTAGGGGTAGCCATGACGACAGACGCCTAGCAGTGCAAGCAGTAGGGTGAGGACAGTGCAGCGAAAAGGGCTCTGTGCTCACCAGACTGGGCAGAAGAGGAAGTAGGGCAGCTCGGTGGCCGGCGGTTCGGCTGCTGGGCGGCTCGGCGGCTCGGCTGCCCGGCTGCTGGGCGGCTCGGCGGCTGGGCGGTTCGACTGCTGGGCGGCTCGGCTGCTGGGCGGCTCGGGTGCTGGGCGGCTCGGCGGCTCGGCGGCTCGGCTTCTGGGCGGCTCGGCGGCTCGGCTGCTATGCTGCTGGGCGGCTCGGCGGCTCGGCTGCTCTGCTGCTCGGCTGCTAGGCGGCGCGGCGTCGTGGGTAGGGCGGCAGGTGCGCTGCAGGTAGGGTGGCAGGCGTACCACAGGTAGGGCGGCGGGCGTGCCGCAGGTAGGGCGGCGGGCGGGCCGTCAGTGTAGGGCGGCGGGCGGGCCGCGACGTAGGGCGGCGGGCGGGCTGCAACGTAGGGCGGGCGGGCCGCTACGTAGGGCGGCGGGGCCGCGACGTAGGGCGGCGGGCGGGCCGCTACGTAGGGCGGCGAGGCCGCGACGTAGGGCGGCGGGCGGGCCGTCGAAGTAGGGCTGCTGGCGGGCCGTCGAAGCAGGGCGGCGGGCGGGCCGTTGAAGTAGGGCGACGGGCGGGCCGGGACGTAGGGCGGCGGGGCCGCGACGTAGGGCGGCGGGGCCGCGACGTAGGGCGGCGGGCGGGCCGTCGAAGTAGGGCGGCGGGCGGGCCGTCGAAGCAGGGCGGCGGGCGGGCCGTCGAAGTAGGGTGACGGACGGGCCGGGACGTAGGGCGGCGGGGCCGCGACGGAGGGCGGCGGGGCCGCGACGTAGGGCGGCGGGCGGGCCGTCGAAGTAGGGCGGCGGGCAGGCCGCGACTTAGGGCCGTCGAAGGACACGTGCCTCCGGGCGCGCTTCGGTGGGCCCAAGAAACAGTCCCTAGGAGGGGACCTGCTCTGATTCCATGTAAAAAAAGGAGAGAACGAGAATGAAATGACTATGAACGAAGTGAGTACATATAGGAAACCCCACTATAGCCTACACAAATAAGTAAGCTATATGTTCTTGCAGCCAGGGAGAACGGAAACGCTCGTTTCTCAAAAAGTAGAGGGAATCTAGCGGTCTCACTCGATCAGAAGGTGGGAAATATATAAATCTAGTGAGCTAATAAGGTTCGAAAGAAATCTAATGCATATGTATATGGAAAATGGTGCATTGGCCAGGTCGGTCAGTACGGGAACTTGGAGTGCAAATGCCTGGGAGAACGGAACCGCTCACATCTCGCATAGTACACGGAATCTAGTGGTCTCACTCAAATATAAGGTAGGAAATATATTAATCGAGTGAACGTAAGGGTTTGAAAGGTAACTAACGCACATGTGTAGAGAAAATGGTGCATCGGCCAGTCTGGCCGGCATTTCGCACTTATAGTGCAAGTGGGGCCAGGGAGAACGGAAACGCTCGTTTCTCAAAAAGTAGAGGGAATCTAGCGGTCTCACTTGATCAGAAGGTGGGAAATATATAAATCTAGTGAGCTAATAAGGTTCGAAAGGAATCTAATGCATATGTATATGGAAAATGGTGCATTGGCCAGGTCGGTCAGTATGGGAACTTAGAGTGCAAATGCCTGGGAGAACGGAACCGCTCAGATCTCGCTTAGTACACGGAATCTAGTGGTCTCACTCAAATATAAGGTAGGAAATATATTAATCGAGTGAACGTAAGGGTTTGAAAGGTAACTAACGCACATGTGTAGAGAAAATGGTGCATCGGCCAGTCTGGCCGGCATTTCGCACTTATAGTGCAAGTGGGGCCAGGGAGAATGGAAACGCTCGTTTCTCAAAAAGTAGAGGGAATCTAGCGGTCTCACTCGATCAGAAGGTGGGAAATATATAAATCTAGTGAGCTAATAAGGTTTGAAAGGAATCTAATGCATATGTATATGGAAAATGGTGCATTGGCCAGGTCGGTCAGTATGGGACCTTAGAGTGCAAATGCCTGGGAGAACGGAACCGCTCAGATCTCGCATAGTACACGGAATCTAGTGGTCTCACTCAAATAGAATCTGGGAGAAGGGGATGGAATCTGGGAGAAGGGGATGGAATCTGGGAGAAGGGGATGGAATCTGGGAGAAGGGGATGGAATCTGGGAGAAGGGGATGGAATCTGGGAGAAGGGGATGGAATCTGGGAGAAGGGGATACAATCTGGGAGAAGGGGATGGAATCGGGGAGAAGGGGATGGAATCTGGGAGAAGGGGATGGAATCTGGGAGAAGGGTATAGAATCTGGGAGAAGGGGATGAAATCTGGGAGAATGGGATGGAATTTGGGAGAAGGGGATGGAATCTGGGAGAAGGGGATGGAATCTGGGAGAAGGGGATGGAATCAGGGAGAAGGGGATGGAATCTGGGAGAAGGGGGTGGAATCTGGGAGAAGGGGGTGGAATCTGGGAGAAGGGGATGGAATCTGGGAGAAGGGGATGGAATCTGGGAGAAGGGGATGGAATCTGGGAGAAGGGGATAGAATCAGGGAGAAGGGGATGGAATCTGGGAGAAGGGGGTGGAATCTGGGAGAAGGGGGTGGAATCTGGGAGAAGGGGATGGAATCTGGGAGAAGGGGATGGAATCTGGGAGAAGGGGATGGAATCTGGGAGAAGGGGATGGAATCTGGGAGAAGGGGATGGAATCTGGGAGAAGGGGATACAATCTGGGAGAAGGGGATAAAATCGGGGAGAAGGGGATGGAATCTGGGAGAAGGGGATGGAATCTGGGAGAAGGGGATGGAATATGGGAGAAGGGGATGGAATCTGGGAGAAGGGGATGGAATCTGGGAGAAGGGGACGGAATCAGGGAGAAGGGGATGGAATCTGGGAGAAGGGGGTGGAATCTGGGAGAAGGGGGTGGAATCTGGGAGAAGGGGATGGAATCTGGGAGAAGGGGATGGAATCTGGGAGAAGGGGATGGAATCTGGGAGAAGGGGATGGAATCTGGGAGAAGGGGATACAATCTGGGAGAAGGGGATAGAATCGTGGAGAAGTGGATGGAATCTGGGAGAATGGGATGGAAACTGGGAGAAGGGGATGGAATCTGGGAGAAGGGGATGGAATCTGGGAGAAGGGGATGGAATCTGGGAGAAGGGTATAGAATCTGGGAGAAGGGGATGAAATCTGGGAGAATGGGATGGAATTTGGGAGAAGGGGATGGAATCTGGGAGAAGGGGATGGAATCTGGGGGAAGGGGATGGAATCTGGGAGAAGGGGATGGAATCTGGGAGAAGGGGGTGGAATCTGGGAGAAGGGGATGAACTCTGGGAGAAGGGGATGGAATCTAAGAGAAGGGGATGGAATCTGGGAGAAGGGTATAGAATCTGGGAGTAGGGGATGAAATCTGGGAGAATGGGATGGAATTTGGGAGAAGGGGATGGAATCTGGGAGAAGGGGATGGAATCAGGGAGAAGGGGATGGAATTTGGGAGAAGGGGATGGAATCTGGGAGAAGGGGATGGAATCTGGGAGAAGGGGATGGAATCTGGGAGAAGGGGATGGAATCTAGGAGAAGGGGATGGAATCAGGGAGAAGGGGATGGAATCTGGGAGAAGGGGATGGAATCTGGGAGAAGGGGGTGGAATCTGGGAGAAGGGGATGGAATCTGGGAGAAGGGGATGGAATCTGGGAGAAGGGGATGGAATCTGGGAGAAGGGGATGGAATCAGGTAGAAGGGGATGGAATCTGGGAGAAGGGGATGGAATCTGGGAGAAGGGGATGGAATCTGGGAGAAAGGGATGGAATCTGGAAGAAGGGGGTGGAATCAGGGAGAAGGGGATGAAATCTGGGAGAAGGGGATGGAATCTGGGAGAAGGGGATGGAATATGGGAGAAGCGGATGGAATATGGGAGAAGGGGGTGGAATCTAGGAGAAGGGGGTGGAATGTGGGAGAAGGGGATGGAATCTGGGAGAAGGGGATGGAATCTGGGAGAAGGGGATGGAATCTGGGAGAAGGGGATGGAATCTAGGAGAAGGGGATGGAATCTGGGAGAAGGGGATAGAATCTGGGAGAAGGGGATGGAATCGGGGAGAAGGGGATGGAATCTGGGAGAAGGGGATGGAATCTGGGAGAAGGGGATGGAATCAGGTAGAAGGGGATGGAATCTGGGAGAAGGGGATGGAATCTGGGAGAAGGGGATGGAATCTGGGAGAAGGGGATGGAATCTGGGAGAAGGGGGTGGAATCAGGGAGAAGGGGATGAAATCTGGGAGAAGGGGATGGAATCTGGGAGAAGGGGATGGAATATGGGAAAAGGGGATGGAATCTGGGAGAAGGGGATGGAATCTGGGAGAAGGGGATGGAATCTGGGAGAAGGGGATGGAATCTGGGAGAAGGGGGTGGAATCTAGGAGAAGGGGGTGGAATGTGGGAGAAGGGGATGGAATCTGGGAGAAGGGGATGGAATCTGGGAGAAGGGGATGGAATCTGGGAGAAGGGGATGGAATCTGGGAGAAGGGGATGGAATCTGGGAGAAGGGGATAGAATCTGGGAGAAGGGGATGGAATCGGGAAGAAGGGGATGGAATCTGGGAGAATGGGATGGAATCTGGGAGAAGGGGATGGAATCTGGGAGAAGGGGATGGAATCTGGGAGAAGGGGATGGAATCTGCGAGAAGGGGATGGAATCTGGGAGAAGGGGATGGAATCTGGGAGAAGGGGATGGAATCTGGGAGAAGGGGATGGAATCAGGGAGAAGGGGATGGAATCTGGGAGAAGGGGATGGAATCAGGGAGAAGGGGATGAAATCTGGGAGAAGGGGATGGAATCTGGGAGAAGGGGGTGGAATCTGGGAGAAGGGGATGGAATCTGGGAGAAGGGGATGGAATCTGGGAGAAGGGGATGGAATCTGGGAGAAGGGGATGGAATCAGGTAGAAGGGGATGGAATCTGGGAGAAGGGGATGGAATCTGGGAGAAGGGGATGGAATATGGGAGAAGGGGATGGAATCTGGGAGAAGGGGATGGAATCTGGGAGAAGGGGATGGAATCTGGGAGAAGGGGATGGAATCTGGGAGAAGGGGGTGGAATCTAGGAGAAGGGGGTGGAATGTGGGAGAAGGGGATGGAATCTGGGAGAAGGGGATGGAATCTGGGAGAAGGGGATGGAATCTGGGAGAAGGGGATGGAATCTGGGAGAAGGGGATGGAATCTGGGAGAAGGGGATAGAATCTGGGAGAAGGGGATGGAATCGGAAAGAAGGGGATGGAATCTGGGAGAATGGGATGGAATCTGGGAGAAGGGGATGGAATCTGGGAGAAGGGGATGGAATATGGGAGAAGGGGATGGAATCTGCGAGAAGGGGATGGAATCTGGGAGAAGGGGATGGAATCTGGGAGAAGGGGATGGAATCTGGGAGAAGGGGATGGAATCAGGGAGAAGGGGATGGAATCTGGGAGAAGGGGGTGGAATCTGGGAGAAGGGGGTGGAATCTGGGAGAAGGGGGTGGAATCTGGGAGAAGGGGATGGAATCAGGGAGAAGGGGATGGAATCTGGGAGAAAGGGATGGAATCTGGGAGAAGGGGGTGGAATCTGGGAGAAGGGGATGGAATCTAGGAGAAGGGGATGGAATCTGGGAGAAGGGGATGGAATCTGGGAGAAGGGGATGGAATCTGGGAGAAGGGGATGGAATCTGGGAGAAGGGGATGGAATCTGGGAGAAGGGGATAGAATCTGGGAGAAGGGGATGGAATCGGGAAGAAGGGGATGGAATCTGGGAGAATGGGATGGAATCTGGGAGAAGGGGATGGAATCTGGGAGAAGGGGATGGAATCTGGGAGAAGGGGATGGAATCTGCGAGAAGGGGATGGAATCTGGGAGAAGGGGATGGAATCTGGGAGAAGGGGATGGAATCTGGGAGAAGGGGATGGAATCAGGGAGAAGGGGATGGAATCTGGGAGAAGGGGGTGGAATCTGGGAGAAGGGGGTGGAATCTGGGAGAAGGGGGTGGAATCTGGGAGAAGGGGATGGAATCTGGGAGAAGGGGATGGAATCTGGGAGAAGGGGATGGAATCTGGGAGAAGGGGGTGGAATCTGGGAGAAGGGGATGGAATCTGGGAGAAGGGGATGGAATCTGGGAGAAGGGGATGGAATCTGGGAGAAGGGGATGGAATCAGGTAGAAGGGGATGGAATCTGGGAGAAGGGGATGGAATCTGGGAGAAGGGGATGGAATCTGGGAGAAAGGGATGGAATTTGGGAGAAGGGGGTGGAATCAGGGAGAAGGGGATGAAATCTGGGAGAAGGGGATGGAATCTGGGAGAAGGGGATGGAATATGGGAGAAGCGGATGGAATCTGGGAGAAGGGGGTGGAATCTAGGAGAAGGGGGTGGAATGTGGGAGAAGGGGATGGAATCTGGGAGAAGGGGATGGAATCTGGGAGAAGGGGATGGAATCTGGGAGAAGGGGATGGAATCTAGGAGAAGGGGATGATATCTGGGAGAAGGGGATAGAATCTGGGAGAAGGGGATGGAATCGGGGAGAAGGGGATGGAATCTGGGAGAAGGGGATGGAATCTGGGAGAAGGGGATGGAATCAGGTAGAAGGGGATGGAATCTGGGAGAAGGGGACGGAATCTGGGAGAAGGGGATGGAATCTGGGAGAAGGGGATGGAATCTGGGAGAAGGGGGTGGAATCAGGGAGAAGGGGATGAAATCTGGGAGAAGGGGATGGAATCTGGGAGAAGGGGATGGAATATGGGAGAAGGGGATGGAATCTGGGAGAAGGGGATGGAATCTGGGAGAAGGGGATGGAATCTGGGAGAAGGGGATGGAATCTGGGAGAAGGGGGTGGAATCTAGGAGAAGGGGGTGGAATGTGGGAGAAGGGGATGGAATCTGGGAGAAGGGGATGGAATCTGGGAGAAGGGGATGGAATCTGGGAGAAGGGGATGGAATCTCGGAGAAGGGGATGGAATCTGGGAGAAGGGGATAGAATCTGGGAGAAGGGGATGGAATCGGGAAGAAGGGGATGGAATCTGGGAGAATGGGATGGAATCTGGGAGAAGGGGATGGAATCTGGGAGAAGGGGATGGAATCTGGGAGAAGGGGATGGAATCTGCGAGAAGGGGATGGAATCTGGGAGAAGGGGATGGAATCTGGGAGAAGGGGATGGAATCTGGGAGAAGGGGATGGAATCAGGGAGAAGGGGATGGAATCTGGGAGAAGGGGGTGGAATCTGGGAGAAGGGGGTGGAATCTGGGAGAAGGGGGTGGAATCTGGGAGAAGGGGATGGAATCTGGGAGAAGGGGATGGAATCTGGGAGAAGGGGATGGAATCTGGGAGAAGGGGATGGAATTTGGGAGAAGGGGGTGGAATCTGGGAGAAGGGGATGGAATCTAGGAGAAGGGGATGGAATATGGGAGAAGGGAATGGAATCTGGGAGAAGGGGATGGAATCTGCGAGAAGGGGATGGAATCTGGGATAAGGGGATGGAATCTGGGAGAAGGGGATGGAATCTGGGAGAAGGGGATGGAATCAGGGAGAAGGGGATGGAATCTGGGAGAAGGGGGTGGAATCTGGGAGAAGGGGGTGGAATCTGGGAGAAGGGGGTGGAATCTGGGAGAAGGGGATGGAATCTGGGAGAAGGGGATGGAATCTGGGAGAAGGGGATGGAATCTGGGAGAAGGGGATGGAATCTGAGAGAAGGGGATGGAATATGGGAGAAGGGGATAGAATCTGGGAGAAGGGGATGGAATCTGGGAGAAGGGGATGGAATCTGGGAGAATGGGATTGAATCTGGGAGAAGGGGATGGAATCTGGGAGAAGGGGATGGAATCTGGGAGAAGGGTATAGAATATGGGAGAAGGGGATGGAATCTGGGAGAAGGGGATGCAATCTGGGAGAAGGGGATGGAATCTAGAGGAAGGGGATGGAATCAGGGAGAAGGGGATGGAATCTGGGAGAAGGGGATGGAATCTGGGAGAAGAGGGTGGAATCTAGGAGAAGGGGATGGAATCTGGGAGAAGGGGATGGAATCTGGGAGAAGGGGATGGAATCAGGTAGAAGGGGATGGAATCTGGGAGAAGGGGACGGAATCTGGGAGAAGGGGATGGAATCTGGGAGAAGGGGATGGAATCTGGGAGAAGGGGGTGGAATCAGGGAGAAGGGGATGAAATCTGGGAGAAGGGGATGGAATCTGGGAGAAGGGGATGGAATATGGGAGAAGGGGATGGAATCTGGGAGAAGGGGATGGAATCTGGGAGAAGGGGATGGAATCTGGGAGAAGGGGATGGAATCTGGGAGAAGGGGGTGGAATCTAGGAGAAGGGGGTGGAATGTGGGAGAAGGGGATGGAATCTGGGAGAAGGGGATGGAATCTGGGAGAAGGGGATGGAATCTGGGAGAAGGGGATGGAATCTCGGAGAAGGGGATGGAATCTGGGAGAAGGGGATAGAATCTGGGAGAAGGGGATGGAATCGGGAAGAAGGGGATGGAATCTGGGAGAATGGGATGGAATCTGGGAGAAGGGGATGGAATCTGGGAGAAGGGGATGGAATCTGGGAGAAGGGGATGGAATCTGCGAGAAGGGGATGGAATCTGGGAGAAGGGGATGGAATCTGGGAGAAGGGGATGGAATCTGGGAGAAGGGGATGGAATCAGGGAGAAGGGGATGGAATCTGGGAGAAGGGGGTGGAATCTGGGAGAAGGGGGTGGAATCTGGGAGAAGGGGGTGGAATCTGGGAGAAGGGGATGGAATCTGGGAGAAGGGGATGGAATCTGGGAGAAGGGGATGGAATCTGGGAGAAGGGGATGGAATTTGGGAGAAGGGGGTGGAATCTGGGAGAAGGGGATGGAATCTAGGAGAAGGGGATGGAATATGGGAGAAGGGAATGGAATCTGGGAGAAGGGGATGGAATCTGCGAGAAGGGGATGGAATCTGGGATAAGGGGATGGAATCTGGGAGAAGGGGATGGAATCTGGGAGAAGGGGATGGAATCAGGGAGAAGGGGATGGAATCTGGGAGAAGGGGGTGGAATCTGGGAGAAGGGGGTGGAATCTGGGAGAAGGGGGTGGAATCTGGGAGAAGGGGATGGAATCTGGGAGAAGGGGATGGAATCTGGGAGAAGGGGATGGAATCTGGGAGAAGGGGATGGAATCTGAGAGAAGGGGATGGAATATGGGAGAAGGGGATAGAATCTGGGAGAAGGGGATGGAATCTGGGAGAAGGGGATGGAATCTGGGAGAATGGGATTGAATCTGGGAGAAGGGGATGGAATCTGGGAGAAGGGGATGGAATCTGGGAGAAGGGTATAGAATATGGGAGAAGGGGATGGAATCTGGGAGAAGGGGATGCAATCTGGGAGAAGGGGATGGAATCTAGAGGAAGGGGATGGAATCAGGGAGAAGGGGATGGAATCTGGGAGAAGGGGATGGAATCTGGGAGAAGAGGGTGGAATCTAGGAGAAGGGGATGGAATCTGGGAGAAGGGGATGGAATCTGGGAGAAGGGGATGGAATCTGGGAGAAGGGGATGGAATCAGGGAGAAGGGGATGGAATCTGGGAGAAGGGGATGGAATCAGGGAGAAGGGGATGGAATCTGGGAGAAGGGGGTGGAATCTGGGAGAAGGGGGTGGAATCTGGGAGAAGGGGATGGAATCTGGGAGAAGGGGATGGAATCTGGGAGAAGGGGATGGAATCTGGGAGAAGGGGATAGAATCAGGGAGAAGGGGATGGAATCTGGGAGAAGGGGGTGGAATCTGGGAGAAGGGGGTGGAATCTGAGAGAAGGGGATGGAATCTGGGAGAAGGGGATGGAATCTGGGAGAAGGGGATGGAATCTGGGAGAAGGGGATGGAATCTGGGAGAAGGGGATACAATCTGGGAGAAGGGGATAAAATCGGGGAGAAGGGGATGGAATCTGGGAGAAGGGGATGGAATCTGGGAGAAGGGGATGGAATATGGGAGAAGGGGATGGAATCAGGGAGAAGGGGATGGAATCTGGGAGAAGGGGACGTAATCAGGGAGAAGGGGATGGAATCTGGGAGAAGGGGGTGGAATCTGGGAGAAGGGGGTGGAATCTGGGAGAAGGGGATGGAATCTGGGAGAAGGGGATGGAATCTGGGAGAAGGGGATGGAATCTGGGAGAAGGGGATGGAATCTGGGAGAAGGGGATGGAATCTGGGAGAAGGGGATACAATCTGGGAGAAGGGGATGGAATCGGGGAGAAGGGGATGGAATCTGGGAGAATGGGATGGAATCTGGGAGAAGGGGATGGAATCTGGGAGAAGGGGATGGAATCTGGGAGAAGGGGATGGAATCTGGGAGAAGGGTATAGAATCTGGGAGAAGGGGATGAAATCTGGGAGAATGGGATGGAATTTGGGAGAAGGGGATGGAATCTGGGAGAAGGGGATGGAATCTGGGGGAAGGGGATGGAATCTGGGAGAAGGGGATGGAATCTGGGAGAAGGGGGTGGAATCTGGGAGAAGGGGATGAACTCTGGGAGAAGGGGATGGAATCTGAGAGAAGGGGATGGAATCTGGGAGAAGGGTATAGAATCTGGGAGAAGGGGATGAAATCTTGGAGAATGGGATGGAATTTGGGAGAAGGGGATGGAATCTGGGAGAAGGGGATGGAATCTGGGAGAAGGGGATGGAATTTGGGAGAAGGGGATGGAATCTGGGAGAAGGGGATGGAATCTGGGAGAAGGGGATGGAATCTGGGAGAAGGGGATGGAATCTAGGAGAAGGGGATGGAATCAGGGAGAAGGGGATGGAATCTGGGAGAAGGGGATGGAATCTGGGAGAAGGGGGTGGAATCTGGGAGAAGGGGATGGAATCTGGGAGAAGGGGATGGAATCTGGGAGAAGGGGATGGAATCTGGGAGAAGGGGATGGAATCAGGTAGAAGGGGATGGAATCTGGGAGAAGGGGATGGAATCTGGGAGAAGGGGAAGAAATCTGGGAGAAGGGGATGGAATCTGGGAGAAGGGGATGGAATATGGGAGAAGCGGATGGAATATGGGAGAAGGGGGTGGAATCTAGGAGAAGGGGGTGGAATGTGGGAGAAGGGGATGGAATCTGGGAGAAGGGGATGGAATCTGGGAGAAGGGGATGGAATCTGGGAGAAGGGGATGGAATCTAGGAGAAGGGGATGGAATCTGGGAGAAGGGGATAGAATCTGGGAGAAGGGGATGGAATCGGGGAGAAAGGGATGGAATCTGGGAGAAAGGGATGGAATCTGGGAGAAGGGGGTGGAATCAGGGAGAAGGGGATGAAATCTGGGAGAAGGGGATGGAATCTGGGAGAAGGGGATGGAATATGGGAGAAGCGGATGGAATATGGGAGAAGGGGGTGGAATCTAGGAGAAGGGGGTGGAATGTGGGAGAAGGGGATGGAATCTGGGAGAAGGGGATGGAATCTGGGAGAAGGGGATGGAATCTGGGAGAAGGGGATGGAATCTAGGAGAAGGGGATGGAATCTGGGAGAAGGGGATAGAATCTGGGAGAAGGGGATGGAATCGGGGAGAAGGGGATGGAATCTGGGAGAAGGGGATGGAATCTGGGAGAAGGGGATGGAATCTGGGAGAAGGGGATGGAATCAGGGAGAAGGGGATGGAATCTGCGAGAAGGGGATGGAATCTGGGAGAAGGGGGTGGAATCTGGGAGAAGGGGATGGAATCTGGGAGAAGGGGATGGAATCTGGGAGAAGGGGATGGAATCTGGGAGAAGGGGATGGAATCAGGTAGAAGGGGATGGAATCTGGGAGAAGGGGATGGAATCTGGGAGAAGGGGATGGAATCTGGGAGAAAGGGATGGAATTTGGGAGAAGGGGGTGGAATCAGGGAGAAGGGGATGAAATCTGGGAGAAGGGGATGGAATCAGGGAGAAGGGGATGGAATCTGGGAGAAGGGGGTGGAATCTGGGAGAAGGGGGTGGAATCTGGGAGAAGGGGGTGGAATCTGGGAGAAGGGGATGGAATCTGGGAGAAGGGGATGGAATCTGGGAGAAGGGGATGGAATCTGGGAGAAGGGGATGGAATCTGAGAGAAGGGGATGGAATATGGGAGAAGGGGATAGAATCTGGGAGAAGGGGATGGAATCTGGGAGAAGGGGATGGAATCTGGGAGAATGGGATTGAATCTGGGAGAAGGGGATGGAATCTGGGAGAAGGGGATGGAATCTGGGAGAAGGGTATAGAATATGGGAGAAGGGGATGGAATCTGGGAGAAGGGGATGGAATCTAGAGGAAGGGGATGGAATCTGGGAGAAGGGGATGGAATCTGGGAGAAGGGGATGGAATCAGGGAGAAGGGGATGGAATCTGGGAGAAGGGGATGGAATCAGGGAGAAGGGGATGGAATCTGGGAGAAGGGGGTGGAATCTGGGAGAAGGGGGTGGAATCTGGGAGAAGGGGATGGAATCTGGGAGAAGGGGATGGAATCTGGGAGAAGGGGATGGAATCTGGGAGAAGGGGATAGAATCAGGGAGAAGGGGATGGAATCTGGGAGAAGGGGGTGGAATCTGGGAGAAGGGGGTGGAATCTGGGAGAAGGGGATGGAATCTGGGAGAAGGGGATGGAATCTGGGAGAAGGGGATGGAATCTGGGAGAAGGGGATGGAATCTAGGAGAAGGGGATACAATCTGGGAGAAGGGGATAAAATCGGGGAGAAGGGGATGGAATCTGGGAGAAGGGGATGGAATCTGGGAGAAGGGGATGGAATATGGGAGAAGGGGATGGAATCAGGGAGAAGGGGATGGAATCTGGGAGAAGGGGACGTAATCAGGGAGAAGGGGATGGAATCTGGGAGAAGGGGGTGGAATCTGGGAGAAGGGGGTGGAATCTGGGAGAAGGGGATGGAATCTGGGAGAAGGGGATGGAATCTGGGAGAAGGGGATGGAATCTGGGAGAAGGGGATGGAATCTGGGAGAAGGGGATGGAATCTGGGAGAAGGGGATACAATCTGGGAGAAGGGGATGGAATCGGGGAGAAGGGGATGGAATCTGGGAGAATGGGATGGAATCTGGGAGAAGGGGATGGAATCTGGGAGAAGGGGATGGAATCTGGGAGAAGGGGATGGAATCTGGGAGAAGGGTATAGAATCTGGGAGAAGGGGATGAAATCTGGGAGAATGGGATGGAATTTGGGAGAAGGGGATGGAATCTGGGAGAAGGGGATGGAATCTGGGGGAAGGGGATGGAATCTGGGAGAAGGGGATGGAATCTGGGAGAAGGGGGTGGAATCTGGGAGAAGGGGATGAACTCTGGGAGAAGGGGATGGAATCTGAGAGAAGGGGATGGAATCTGGGAGAAGGGTATAGAATCTGGGAGTAGGGGATGAAATCTTGGAGAATGGGATGGAATTTGGGAGAAGGGGATGGAATCTGGGAGAAGGGGATGGAATCTGGGAGAAGGGGATGGAATTTGGGAGAAGGGGATGGAATCTGGGAGAAGGGGATGGAATCTGGGAGAAGGGGATGGAATCTGGGAGAAGGGGATGGAATCTAGGAGAAGGGGATGGAATCAGGGAGAAGGGGATGGAATCTGGGAGAAGGGGATGGAATCTGGGAGAAGGGGGTGGAATCTGGGAGAAGGGGATGGAATCTGGGAGAAGGGGATGGAATCTGGGAGAAGGGGATGGAATCTGGGAGAAGGGGATGGAATCAGGTAGAAGGGGATGGAATCTGGGAGAAGGGGATGGAATCTGGGAGAAGGGGATGAAATCTGGGAGAAGGGGATGGAATCTGGGAGAAGGGGATGGAATATGGGAGAAGCGGATGGAATATGGGAGAAGGGGGTGGAATCTAGGAGAAGGGGGTGGAATGTGGGAGAAGGGGATGGAATCTGGGAGAAGGGGATGGAATCTGGGAGAAGGGGATGGAATCTGGGAGAAGGGGATGGAATCTAGGAGAAGGGGATGGAATCTGGGAGAAGGGGATAGAATCTGGGAGAAGGGGATGGAATCGGGGAGAAAGGGATGGAATCTGGGAGAAAGGGATGGAATCTGGGAGAAGGGGGTGGAATCAGGGAGAAGGGGATGAAACCTGGGAGAAGGGGATGGAATCTGGGAGAAGGGGATGGAATATGGGAGAAGCGGATGGAATATGGGAGAAGGGGGTGGAATCTAGGAGAAGGGGGTGGAATGTGGGAGAAGGGGATGGAATCTGGGAGAAGGGGATGGAATCTGGGAGAAGGGGATGGAATCTGGGAGAAGGGGATGGAATCTAGGAGAAGGGGATGGAATCTGGGAGAAGGGGATAGAATCTGGGAGAAGGGGATGGAATCGGGGAGAAGGGGATGGAATCTGGGAGAAGGGGATGGAATCTGGGAGAAGGGGATGGAATCTGGGAGAAGGGGATGGAATCAGGGAGAAGGGGATGGAATCTGCGAGAAGGGGATGGAATCTGGGAGAAGGGGGTGGAATCTGGGAGAAGGGGATGGAATCTGGGAGAAGGGGATGGAATCTGGGAGAAGGGGATGGAATCTGGGAGAAGGGGATGGAATCAGGTAGAAGGGGATGGAATCTGGGAGAAGGGGATGGAATCTGGGAGAAGGGGATGGAATCTGGGAGAAAGGGATGGAATTTGGGAGAAGGGGGTGGAATCAGGGAGAAGGGGATGAAATCTGGGAGAAGGGGATGGAATCTGGGAGAAGGGGATGGAATATGGGAGAAGCGGATGGAATATGGGAGAAGGGGGTGGAATCTAGGAGAAGGGGGTGGAATGTGGGAGAAGGGGATGGAATCTGGGAGAAGGGGATGGAATCTGGGAGAAGGGGATGGAATCTGGGAGAAGGGGATGGAATCTAGGAGAAGGGGATGATATCTGGGAGAAGGGGATAGAATCTGGGAGAAGGGGATGGAATCGGGGAGAAGGGGATGGAATCTGGGAGAAGGGGATGGAATCTGGGAGAAGGGGATGGAATCAGGTAGAAGGGGATGGAATCTGGGAGAAGGGGATGGAATCTGGGAGAAGGGGATGGAATCTGGGAGAAGGGGATGGAATCTGGGAGAAGGGGGTGGAATCAGAGAGAAGGGGATGAAATCTGGGAGAAGGGGATGGAATCTGGGAGAAGGGGATGGAATATGGGAGAAGGGGATGGAATCTGGGAGAAGGGGATGGAATCTGGGAGAAGGGGATGGAATCTGGGAGAAGGGGATGGAATCTGGGAGAAGGGGGTGGAATCTAGGAGAAGGGGGTGGAATGTGGGAGAAGGGGATGGAATCTGGGAGAAGGGGATGGAATCTGGGAGAAGGGGATGGAATCTGGGAGAAGGGGATGGAATCTGGGAGAAGGGGATGGAATCTGGGAGAAGGGGATAGAATCTGGGAGAAGGGGATGGAATCAGGAAGAAGGGGATGGAATCTGGGAGAATGGGATGGAATCTGGGAGAAGGGGATGGAATCTGGGAGAAGGGGATGGAATCTGGGAGAAGGGGATGGAATCTGCGAGAAGGGGATGGAATCTGGGAGAAGGGGATGGAATCTGGGAGAAGGGGATGGAATCTGGGAGAAGGGGATGGAATCTGGGAGAAGGGGATGGAATCTGGGAGAAGGGGGTGGAATCTGGGAGAAGGGGGTGGAATCTGGGAGAAGGGGGTGGAATCTGGGAGAAGAGGATGGAATCTGGGAGAAGGGGATGGAATCTGGGAGAAGGGGATGGAATCTGGGAGAAGGGGATGGAATCTGGGAGAAGGGGGTGGAATCTGGGAGAAGGGGATGGAATCTAGGAGAAGGGGATGGAATATGGGAGAAGGGAATGGAATCTGGGAGAAGGGGATGGAATCTGCGAGAAGGGGATGGAATCTGGGAGAAGGGGATGGAATCTGGGAGAAGGGGATGGAATCTGGGAGAAGGGGATGGAATCAGGGAGAAGGGGATGGAATCTGGGAGAAGGGGGTGGAATCTGGGAGAAGGGGGTGGAATCTGGGAGAAGGGGGTGGAATCTGGGAGAAGGGGATGGAATCTGGGAGAAGGGGATGGAATCTGGGAGAAGGGGATGGAATCTGGGAGAAGGGGATGGAATCTGGGAGAAGGGGATGGAATATGGGAGAAGGGGATAGAATCTGGGAGAAGGGGATGGAATCTGGGAGAAGGGGATGGAATCTGGGAGAATGGAATTGAATCTGGGAGAAGGGGATGGAATCTGGGAGAAGGGGATGGAATCTGGGAGAAGGGTATAGAATCTGGGAGAAGGGGATGGAATCTGGGAGAAGGGGATGCAATCAGGGAGAAGGGGATAGAATCTAGGAGAAGGGGATGGAATCAGGGAGAAGGGGATGGAATCTGGGAGAAGGGGATGGAATCTGGGAGAAGAGGGTGGAATCTGGGAGAAGGGGATGGAATCTGGGAGAAGGGGATGGAATCTGGGAGAAGGGGATGGAATCTGGGAGAAGGGGATGGAATCAGGGAGAAGGGGATGGAATCTGGGAGAAGGGGATGGAATCTCGGAGAAGGGGATGGAATATGGGAGAAGGGGATGGAATCTGGGAGAAGGGGATGGAATCTGGGAGAAGGGGATGGAATCAGGGAGAAGGGGATAGAATCTAAGAGAAGGGGATGGAATCTGGGAGAAGGGGGTGGAATCTGGGAGAAGGGGGTGGAATCTTGGAGAAGCGGATGGAATCTGGGAGAAGGGGATGGAATCTGGGAGAAGGGGATGGAATCTGGGAGAAGGGGATGGAATCTGGGAGGAGGGGATGGAATCTGGGAGAAGGGGATGGAATCGGGAAGAAGGGGATGGAATCTGGGAGAATGGGATGGAATCAGGGAGAAGGGGATGGAATCTGGGAGAAGGGGATGGAATCTGGGAGAAGGGGGTGGAATCTGGGAGAAGGGGATGGAATCTGGGAGAAGGGGATGGAATCTGGGAGAAGGGGATTGAATACGGAAGAAGGGGATGGAATCAGGGAGAAGGGGATGGAATCTGGGAAAAGGGGATGGAATCTGGGAGAAGGGGATGGAATCTGGGAGAAGGGGATGGAATCTGGGAGAAGGGGATGGAATCAGGGAGAAGGGGATGGAATCTAGGAGAAGGGGGTGGAATCTGGGAGAAGGGGGTGGAATCTGGGAGAAGGGGATGGAATCTGGAAGAAGGGGATGGAATCTGGGAGAAGGGGATGGAATCTGGGAGAAGGGGATGGAATCTGGGAGAAGGGGATGGAATCTGGGAGAAGGGGATGGAATCTGGGAGAAGGGGATGGAATCTGGGAGAAGGGGATGGAATCTGGGAGAAGGGGATGGAATCTGGGAGAAGGGGATGGAATCAGGGAGAAGGGGATGGAATCTGGGAGAAGGGGATGGAATATGGGAGAAGGGGGTGGAATCTGGGAGAAGGGGATGGAATCTGGGAGAAGGGGATAGAATCTGGGAGAAGGGGATGGAATATGGGAGAAGGGGATGGAATCAGGGAGAAGGGGATGGAATCTGGGAGAAGGGGATGGAATCTGGGAGAAGGGGATGGAATCTGGGAGAAGGGGATGGAATCTGGGAGAAGGGGATGGAATCAGGGAGAAGGGGATGGAATCTAGGAGAAGGGGGTGGAATCTGGGAGAAGGGGGTGGAATCTGGGAGAAGGGGATGGAATCTGGAAGAAGGGGATGGAATCTGGGAGAAGGGGATGGAATCTGGGAGAAGGGGATGGAACCTGGGAGAAGGGGATGGAATCTGGGAGAAGGGGATGGAATCTGGGAGAAGGGGATGGAATCTGGGAGAAGGGGATGGAATCTGGGAGAAGGGGATGGAATCTGGGAGAAGGGGATGGAATCTGGGAGAAGGGGATGGAATCAAGGAGAAGGGGATGGAATCTGGGAGAAGGGGATGGAATCTGGGAGAAGGGGGTGGAATCTAGGAGAAGGGGATGGAATCTGGGAGAAGGGAATAGAATCTGGGAGAAGGGGATGGAATCTGGGAGAAGGGGATGGAATCTGGGAGAAGGGGATGGAATCTGGGAGAAAGGGATGGAATATGGGAGAAGGGGATGGAATATGGGAGAAGGGGATGGAATCTGGGAGAAGGGGATGGAATCTGGGAGAAGGTGGTGGAATCAGGGAGAAGGGGATGAAATCTGGGAGAAGGGGATGGAATCTGGGAGAAGGGGATGGAATATGGGAGAAGGGGATGGAATCTGGGAGAAGGGGATGGAATATGGGAGAAGGGGATGGAATCAGGGAGAAGGGGATGGAATCTGGGAGAAGGGGGTGGAATCTGGGAGAAGGGGGTGGAATCTGGGAGAAGGGGATGGAATCTGGGAGAAGGGGATGGCATCTGGGAGAAGGGGATGGAATCTGAGAGAAGGGGATGGAATCTGGGAGAAGGGGATGGAATCAGGGAGAAGGGGATGGAATCTGGGAGAAGGGGATGGAATCTGGGAGAAGGGGATAGAATCTGGGAGAAGGGGATGGAATTGGAGAGAAGGGGATGGAATCTGGGAGAATGGGATGGAATATGGGAGAAAGGGATGGAATCTGGGAGAAGGGGATGGAATCTGGGAGAAGGGGATGGAATCAGGGAGAAGGGGATGGAATCTGGAAGAAGGGGGTGGAATCTGGGAGAAGGGGGTGGATTCTGGGAGAAGGGGATGGAATCTGGGAGAATGGGGATGGAATATGGGAGAAGGGGATGGAATCTGGGAGAAGGGGGTGGAATCTGGGAGAAGGGGATGAACTATGGGAGAAGAGGATGGAACCAGGGAGAAGGGGATGGAATCTGGGAGAAGGGGATGGAATCTGGGAGAAGGGGATGGAATCTGGGAGAAGGGGATGGAATCTGGGAGAAAGGGATGGAATATGGGAGAATGGGATGGAATATGGGAGAAGGGGATGGAATCTGGGAGAAGGGGATGGAATCTGGGAGAAGGTGGTGGAATCAGGGAGAAGGGGATGAAATCTGGGAGAAGGGGATGGAATCTGGGAGAAGGGGATGGAATATGGGAGAAGGGGATGGAATCTGGAAGAAGGGGATGGAATATGGGAGAAGGGGATGGAATCAGGGAGAAGGGGATGGAATCTGGGAGAAGGGGGTGGAATCTGGGAGAAGGGGGTGGAATCTGGGAGAAGGGGATGGAATCTGGGAGAAGGGGATGGCATCTGGGAGAAGGGGATGGAATCTGAGAGAAGGGGATGGAATCTGGGAGAAGGGGATGGAATCTGGGAGAAGGGGATGGAATCTGGAAGAAGGGGATGGAATATGGGAGAAGGGGATGGAATCAGGGAGAAGGGGATGGAATCTGGGAGAAGGGGGTGGAATCTGGGAGAAGGGGGTGGAATCTGGGAGAAGGGGATGGAATCTGGGAGAAGGGGATGGCATCTGGGAGAAGGGGATGGAATCTGAGAGAAGGGGATGGAATCGGGGAGAAGGGGATGGAATCTGGGAGAAGGGGATGGAATCTGGGAGAAGGGGATGGAATCTGGGAGAAGGGGATGGAATCTGGGAGAAGGGGATGGAATTGGAGAGAAGGGGACGGAATCTGGGAGAATGGGATGGAATATGGGAGAAGGGGATGGAATATGGGAGAAGGGGATGGAATCTGGGAGAAGGGGATGGAATCTGGGAGAAGGTGGTGGAATCAGGGAGAAGGGGATGAAATCTGGGAGAAGGGGATGGAATCTGGGAGAAGGGGATGGAATATGGGAGAAGGGGATGGAATCTGGGAGAAGGGGATGTAATATGGGAGAAGGGGATGGAATCAGGGAGAAGGGGATGGAATCTGGGAGAAGGGGGTGGAATCTGGGAGAAGGGGGTGGAATCTGGGAGAAGGGGATGGAATCTGGGAGAAGGGGATGGCATCTGGGAGAAGGGGATGGAATCTGAGAGAAGGGGATGGAATCTGGGAGAAGGGGATGGAATCTGGGAGAAGGGGATGGAATCTGGGAGAAGGGGATGGAATCTGGGAGAAGGGGATAGAATCTGGGAGAAGGGGATGGAATTGGAGAGAAGGGGATGGAATCTGGGAGAATGGGATGGAATATGGGAGAAGGGGATGGAATCTGGGAGAAGGGGATGGAATCTGGGAGAAGGGGATGGAATCAGGGAGAAGGGGATGGAATCTGGAAGAAGGGGGTGGAATCTGGGAGAAGGGGGTGGATTCTGGGAGAAGGGGATGGAATCTGGGAGAATGGGGACGGAATATGGGAGAAGGAGATGGATTCTGGGAGAAAGGGGTGGAATCTGGGAGAAGGGGATGAACTATGGGAGAAGAGGATGGAACCAGGGAGAAGGGGATGGAATCTGGGAGAAGGGGATGGAATCTGGGAGAAGGGGATGGAATATGGGAGAAGGGGATGGAGTCTGGGAGAAGAGAATGGAATCTAGGAGAAGGGGATGGAATATGGGAGAAGGGGATAGAATCTGGGAGAAGGGGATGGAATCTGCGAGAAGAAAGATGGAACCTGGGAGAAGGGGATGGAATCTGGGAGAAGGGGATGGAATCTGGGAGAAAGGGATGGAATATGGGAGAAGGGGATGGAATCTGGGAGAAGGGATGGAATCTGGGAGAAGGGGATGGAATCTGGGAGAAGGGGATGGAATCTGGGAGAAGGGGATGGAATCTGGGAGAAGGGGATGGAATCAGGGAGAAGGGGATGGAATCTGGGAGAAGGGGATGGAATCTGGGAGAAGGGGATGGAATCTAGGAGAAGGGGGTGGAATCTGGGAGAAGGGGATGGAATCTGGGAGAAGGGGATGGAATCTGGGAGAAGGGGATGGAATCTGGGAGAAGGGGATGAAATCTGGGAGAAGGGGATGGAATCAGGGAGAAGGGGATGGAATCTTGGAGAAGGGGATGGAATCTGGGAGAAGGGGATGGAATCTGGGAGAAGGGGATGGATTATGGGAGAAGGGGATGGAATCTGGGAGAAGGGGATTGAATCTGGGAGAAGGGGATGGAATCTGGGAGAAAGGGATGGAATATGGGAGAAGGGGATGGAATATGGGAGAAGGGGATGGAATCTGGGAGAAGGGGATGGAATCTGGGAGAAGGTGGTGGAATCAGGGAGAAGGGGATGAAATCTGGGAGAAGGGGATGGAATCTGGGAGAAGGGGATGGAATATGGGAGAAGGGGATGGAATCTGGGAGAAGGGGATGGAATATGGGAGAAGGGGATGGAATCAGGGAGAAGGGGATGGAATCTGGGAGAAGGGGGTGGAATCTGGGAGAAGGGGGTGGAATCAAGGAGAAGGGGATGGAATCTGGGAGAAGGGGATGGCATCTGGGAGAAGGGGATGGAATCTGAGAGAAGGGGATGGAATCTGGGAGAAGGGGATGGAATCAGGGAGAAGCGGATGGAATCTGGGAGAAGGGGATGGAATCTGGGAGAAGGGGATAGAATCTGGGAGAAGGGGATGGAATTGGAGAGAAGGGGATGGAATCTGGGAGAATGGGATGGAATATGGGAGAAGGGGATGGAATCTGGGAGAAGGGGATGGAATCTGGGAGAAGGGGATGGAATCAGGGAGAAGGGGATGGAATCTGGAAGAAGGGGGTGGAATCTGGGAGAAGGGGGTGGATTCTGGGAGAAGGGGATGGAATCTGGGAGAATGGGGATGGAATATGGGAGAAGGGGATGGAATCTGGGAGAAGGGGGTGGAATCTGGGAGAAGGGGATGAACTATGGGAGAAGAGGATGGAACCAGGAAGAAGGGGATGGAATCTGGGAGAAGGGGATGGAATCTGGGAGAAGGGGATGGAATCTGGGAGAAGGGGATGGAATCTGGGAGAAAGGGATGGAATATGGGAGAATGGGATGGAATATGGGAGAAGGGGATGGAATCTGGGAGAAGGGGATGGAATCTGGGAGAAGGTGGTGGAATCAGGGAGAAGGGGATGAAATCTGGGAGAAGGGGATGGAATCTGGGAGAAGGGGATGGAATATGGGAGAAGGGGATGGAATCTGGGAGAAGGGGATGTAATATGGGAGAAGGGGATGGAATCAGGGAGAAGGGGATGGAATCTGGGAGAAGGGGGTGGAATCTGGGAGAAGGGGGTGGAATCTGGGAGAAGGGGATGGAATCTGGGAGAAGGGGATGGCATCTGGGAGAAGGGGATGGAATCTGAGAGAAGGGGATGGAATCTGGGAGAAGGGGATGGAATCTGGGAGAAGGGGATGGAATCTGGGAGAAGGGGATGGCATCTGGGAGAAGGGGATGGAATCTGGGAGAAGGGGATGGAATCTGGGAGAAGGGGATAGAATCTGGGAGAAGGGGATGGAATTGGAGAGAAGGGGACGGAATCTGGGAGAATGGGATGGAATATGGGAGAAGGGGATGGAATATGGGAGAAGGGGATGGAATCTGGGAGAAGGGGATGGAATCTGGGAGAAGGTGGTGGAATCAGGGAGAAGGGGATGAAATCTGGGAGAAGGGGATGGAATCTGGGAGAAGGGGATGGAATATGGGAGAAGGGGATGGAATCTGGGAGAAGGGGATGTAATATGGGAGAAGGGGATGGAATCAGGGAGAAGGGGATGGAATCTGGGAGAAGGGGGTGGAATCTGGGAGAAGGGGGTGGAATCTGGGAGAAGGGGATGGAATCTGGGAGAAGGGGATGGCATCTGGGAGAAGGGGATGGAATCTGAGAGAAGGGGATGGAATCTGGGAGAAGGGGATGGAATCTGGGAGAAGGGGATGGAATCTGGGAGAAGGGGATGGAATCTGGGAGAAGGGGATGGAATCAGGGAGAAGGGGATGGAATCTGGAAGAAGGGGGTGGAATCTGGGAGAAGGGGGTGGATTCTGGGAGAAGGGGATGGAATCTGGGAGAATGGGGATGGAATATGGGAGAAGGGGATGGAATCTGGGAGAAGGGGGTGGAATCTGGGAGAAGGGGATGAACTATGGGAGAAGAGGATGGAACCAGGGAGAAGGGGATGGAATCTGGGAGAAGGGGATGGAATCTGGGAGAAGGGGATGGAATCTGGGAGAAGGGGATGGAATCTGGGAGAAAGGGATGGAATATGGGAGAATGGGATGGAATATGGGAGAAGGGGATGGAATCTGGGAGAAGGGGATGGAATCTGGGAGAAGGTGGTGGAATCAGGGAGAAGGGGATGAAATCTGGGAGAAGGGGATGGAATCTGGGAGAAGGGGATGGAATATGGGAGAAGGGGATGGAATCTGGAAGAAGGGGATGGAATATGGGAGAAGGGGATGGAATCAGGGAGAAGGGGATGGAATCTGGGAGAAGGGGGTGGAATCTGGGAGAAGGGGGTGGAATCTGGGAGAAGGGGATGGAATCTGGGAGAAGGGGATGGCATCTGGGAGAAGGGGATGGAATATGAGAGAAGGGGATGGAATCTGGGAGAAGGGGATGGAATCTGGGAGAAGGGGATGGAATCTGGGAGAAGGGGATGGCATCTGGGAGAAGGGGATGGAATCTGGGAGAAGGGGATGGAATCTGGGAGAAGGGGATAGAATCTGGGAGAAGGGGATGGAATTGGAGAGAAGGGGACGGAATCTGGGAGAATGGGATGGAATATGGGAGAAGGGGATGGAATATGGGAGAAGGGGATGGAATCTGGGAGGAGGGGATGGAATCTGGGAGAAGGTGGTGGAATCAGGGAGAAGGGGATGAAATCTGGGAGAAGGGGATGGAATCTGGGAGAAGGGGATGGAATATGGGAGAAGGGGATGGAATCTGGGAGAAGGGGATCTAATATGGGAGAAGGGGATGGAATCAGGGAGAAGGGGATGGAATCTGGGAGAAGGGGGTGGAATCTGGGAGAAGGGGGTGGAATCTGGGAGAAGGGGATGGAATCTGGGAGAAGGGGATGGCATCTGGGAGAAGGGGATGGAATCTGAGAGAAGGGGATGGAATCTGGGAGAAGGGGATGGAATCTGGGAGAAGGGGATGGAATCTGGGAGAAGGGGATGGAATCTGGGAGAAGGGGATAGAATCTGGGAGAAGGGGATGGAATTGGAGAGAAGGGGATGGAATCTGGGAGAATGGGATGGAATATGGGAGAAGGGGATGGAATCTGGGAGAAGGGGATGGAATCTGGGAGAAGGGGATGGAATCAGGGAGAAGGGGATGGAATCTGGAAGAAGGGGGTGGAATCTGGGAGAAGGGGGTGGATTCTGGGAGAAGGGGATGGAATCTGGGAGAATGGGGACGGAATATGGGAGAAGGAGATGGATTCTGGGAGAAAGGGGTGGAATCTGGGAGAAGGGGATGAACTATGGGAGAAGAGGATGGAACCAGGGAGAAGGGGATGGAATCTGGGAGAAGGGGATGGAATCTGGGAGAAGGGGATGGAGTCTGGGAGAAGAGGATGGAATCTAGGAGAAGGGGATGGAATATGGGAGAAAGGGATGGAATTTGCGAGAAGAAAGATGGAACCTGGGAGAAGGGGATGGAATCTGGGAGAAGGGGATGGAATCTGGGAGAAAGGGATGGAATATGGGAGAAGGGGATGGAATCTGGGAGAAGGGATGGAATCTGGGAGAAGGGGATGGAATCTGGGAGAAGGGGATGGAATCTGGGAGAAGGGGATGGAATCTGGGAGAAGGGGATGGAATCAGGGAGAAGGTGATGGAATCTGGGAGAAGGGGATGGAATCTGGGAGAAGGGGATGGAATCAAGGAGAAGGGGGTGGAATCTGGGAGAAGGGGATGGAATCTGGGAGAAGGGGATGGAATCTAGGAGAAGGGGATGGAATCTGGGAGAAGGGGATGAAATCTGGGAGAAGGGGATGGAATCAGAGAGAAGGGGATGGAATCTTGGAGAAGGGGATGGAATCTGGGAGAAGGGGATGGAATCTGGGAGAAGGGGATGGATTATGGGAGAAGGGGATGGAATCTGGGAGAAGGGGATTGAATCTGGGAGAAGGGGATGGAATCTGGGAGAAAGGGATGGAATATGGGAGAAGGGGATGGAATATGGGAGAAGGGGATGGAATCTGGGAGAAGGGGATGGAATCAGGGAGAAGGGGATGGAATCTAGGAGAAGGGGGTGGAATCTGGGAGAAGGGGGTGGAATCTGGGAGAAGGGGATGGAATCTGGGAGAAGGGGATGGAATCTGGGAGAAGGGGATGGAATCTAGGAGAAGGGGATGGAATCTGGGAGAAGGGGATGGAATCTGGGAGAAGGGGATGGAATCTGGGAGAAGGGGATGGAATCTAGGAGAAGGGGATGGAATCTGGGAGAAGGGGATGGAATCTGGGAGAAGGGGATGGAATCTGGGAGAAGGGGGTGGAATCTGGGAGAAGGGGATGGAATCTGGGAGAAGGGGATGGAATCAGGGGGAAGGGGATGGAATCTGGGAGAAGGGGATGGAATCTGGGAGAAGGGGATGGAATCTGGGAGAAGGGGATGGAATCTGGGAGATGGGGATGGAATCTGGGAGAAGGGGATGGAATCTAGGAGAAGGGGATGGAATCTGGGAGAAGGGGATGGAATCTGGGAGAAGGGGATGGAATCTGGGAGAAGGGGGTGGAATCTGGGAGAAGGGGATGGAATCTGGGAGAAGGGGATGGAATCAGGGAGAAGGGGATGGAATCTGGGAGAAGGGGATGGAATCAGGGAGAAGGGGATGGAATCTGGGAGAAGGGGATAGAAAGCCGGGAGAAGGGGATGAAATCTGGGAGAAGGGGGTGGATTCTATGAGAAGGGGATGGAATCTGGGAGAAGGGGATGGAATCTGGGAGAAGGGGATGGATTCTGGGAGAAGGGGATGGAATCTAGGAGAAGGGTATAGAATCTGGGAGAAGGGGATGAAATCTGGGAGAATGGGATGGAATTTGGGAGAAGGGGATGGAATCTTGGAGAAAGGGATGGAATCTGGGAGAAGGGGATGGAATCTGGGAGAAGGGGATGGAATCTGGGAGAAGGGGATGGAATCAGGGAGAAGGGGATGGAATCTGGGAGAAGGGGATGGAATCTGGGAGAAGGGGATGGAATCTGGGAGAAGGGGATGGAATCAGGGAGAAGGGGATGGAACCTGGGAGAAGGGGATGGAATCTGGGAGAAGGGGATGGAATCAGGGAGAAGGTGATGGAATCTGGGAGAAGGGGATGGAATCTGGGAGAAGGGGATGGAATCAAGGAGAAGGGGGTGGAATCTGGGAGAAGGGGATGGAATCTGGGAGAAGGGGATGGAATCTGGGAGAAGGGGATGGAATCTGGGAGAAGGGGATGAAATCTGGGAGAAGGGGATGGAATCTGGGAGAAGGGGATGGAATCTAGGAGAAGGGGATGGAATCTGGGAGAAGGGGATGGAATCTGGGAGAAGGGGATGGAATCTGGGAGAAGGGGGTGGAATCTGGGAGAAGGGGATGGAATCTGGGAGAAGGGGATGGAATCAGGGAGAAGGGGATGGAATCTGGGAGAAGGGGATGGAATCTGGGAGAAGGGGATGGAATCTGGGAGAAGGGGATGGAATCTAGGAGAAGGGGATGGAATCTGGGAGAAGGGGATGGAATCTGGGAGAAGGGGATGGAATCTGGGAGAAGGGGATGGAATCTAGGAGAAGGGGATGGAATCTGGGAGAAGGGGATGGAATCTGGGAGAAGGGGATGGAATCTGGGAGAAGGGGGTGGAATCTGGGAGAAGGGGATGGAATCTGGGAGAAGGGGATGGAATCAGGGAGAAGGGGATGGAATCTGGGAGAAGGGGATGGAATCTGGGAGAAGGGGATGGAATCTGGGAGAAGGGGATGGAATCTAGGAGAAGGGGATGGAATCTGGGAGAAGGGGATGGAATCTGGGAGAAGGGGATGGAATCTGGGAGAAGGGGATGGAATCTAGGAGAAGGGGATGGAATCTGGGAGAAGGGGATGGAATCTGGGAGAAGGGGATGGAATCTGGGAGAAGGGGGTGGAATCTGGGAGAAGGGGATGGAATCTGGGAGAAGGGGATGGAATCAGGGAGAAGGGGATGGAATCTGGGAGAAGGGGATGGAATCTGGGAGAAGGGGATGGAATATGGGAGAAGGGGATGGAATCTGGGAGAAGGGGATGGAATCGGGGAGAAGGGGATCGAATGAGGGAGAAGGGGATGGAATGTGGGAGAAGGGGATGGAATCTGGGAGAAGGGGATAGAAAGCCGGGAGAAGGGGATGAAATCTGGGAGAAGGGGGTGGATTCTATGAGAAGGGGATGGAATCTGGGAGAAGGGGATGGAATCTGGGAGAAGGGGATGGATTCTGGGAGAAGGGGATGGAATCTAGGAGAAGGGTATAGAATCTGGGAGAAGGGGATGAAATCTGGGAGAATGGGATGGAATTTGGGAGAAGGGGATGGAATCTGGGAGAAAGGGATGGAATCTGGGAGAAGGGGATGGAATCTGGGAGAAGGGGATGGAATCTGGGAGAAGGGGATGGAATCAGGGAGAAGGGGATGGAATCTGGGAGAAGGGGATGGAATCTGGGAGAAGGGGATGGAATCTGGGAGAAGGGGATGGAATCAGGGAGAAGGGGATGGAACCTGGGAGAAGGGGATGGAATCTGGGAGAAGGGGATGGAATCAGGGAGAAGGTGATGGAATCTGGGAGAAGGGGATGGAATCTGGGAGAAGGGGATGGAATCAAGGAGAAGGGGTTGGAATCTGGGAGAAGGGGATGGAATCTGGGAGAAGGGGATGGAATCTGGGAGAAGGGGATGGAATCTGGGAGAAGGGGATGAAATCTGGGAGAAGGGGATGGAATCTGGGAGAAGGGGATGGAATCTAGGAGAAGGGGATGGAATCTGGGAGAAGGGGATGGAATTTGGGAGAAGGGGATGGAATCTGGGAGAAGGGGGTGGAATCTGGGAGAAGGGGATGGAATCTGGGAGAAGGGGATGGAATCAGGGAGAAGGGGATGGAATCTGGGAGAAGGGGATGGAATCTGGGAGAAGGGGATGGAATCTGGGAGAAGGGGATGGAATCTAGGAGAAGGGGATGGAATCTGGGAGAAGGGGATGGAATCTGGGAGAAGGGGATGGAATCTGGGAGAAGGGGATGGAATCTAGGAGAAGGGGATGGAATCTGGGAGAAGGGGATGGAATCTGGGAGAAGGGGATGGAATCTGGGAGAAGGGGGTGGAATCTGGGAGAAGGGGATGGAATCTGGGAGAAGGGGATGGAATCAGGGAGAAGGGGATGGAATCTGGGAGAAGGGGATGGAATCTGGGAGAAGGGGATGGAATATGGGAGAAGGGGATGGAATCTGGGAGAAGGGGATGGAATCGGGGAGAAGGGGATCGAATGAGGGAGAAGGGGATGGAATGTGGGAGAAGGGGATGGAATCTGGGAGAAGGGGATAGAATCCGGGAGAAGGGGATGAAATCTGGGAGAAGGGGGTGGATTCTGGGAGAAGGTGATGAAATCTGGGAGAAGGGGATGGAATCTGGGAGAAGGGGATGGAATCTGGGAGAAGGGGATGGAATCTGGGAGAAGGGGATGGAATCAAGGAGAAGGGGATGGAATCTGAAAGAAGGGGATGGAATCTGGGAGAAGGGGGTGGAATCTGGGAGAAGGGGATGGAATATGGGAGAAGGGGATAGAATCTGGGAGAAGGGGATGGAATCTGGGAGAAGAAAGATGGAACCTGGGAGAAAGGGATGGAATATGGGAGAAGGGGATGGAATCTGGGAGAAAGGGATGGAATATGGGAGAAGGGGATGGAATATGGGAGAAGGGGATGGAATCTGGGAGAAGGGGATGGAATATGGGAGAAGGGGGTGGAATCAGGGAGAAGGGGATGAAATCTGGGAGAAGGGGATGGAATCTGGGAGATAGGGATGGAATATCGGAGAAGGGGATGGAATCTGGGAGAAGGGGATGAAATCTGGGAGAAGGGGATGGAATCTGGGAGAAGGGGATGGAATCTGGGAGAAGGGGATGGAATATGGGAGAAGGGGATGGAATTTGGGAGAAGGGGATGGAATCTGGGAGAAGGGGATGGAATCTGGGAGAAGGGGATGGAATCAGGGAGAAAGGGATGGAATCTGGGACAAGGGGATGGAATCTGGGAGAAAGGGATGGAATATGGGAGAAGGGGATGGAAACTGGGAGAAGGGGATGGAATCTGGGAGAAGGGGATGGAATCTAGGAGAAGGGGATGGAATCTGGGAGAAGGGGATGGAATCTGGGAGAAGGGGATGGAATCTGGGAGAAGGGGATGGAATCTGGGAGAAGGGGATGGAATCTTGGAGAAGGGGATGGAATCAGGGAGAAGGGGATGGAATCTGGGAGAAGGGGGTGGAATCTGGGAGAAGGGGGTGGAATCTTGGAGAAGGGGATGGAATCTGGGAGAAGGGGATGGAATCTGGGAGAAGGGGATGGAATCTGGGAGAAGGGGATGGAATCTGGGAGAAGGGGATGGAATCTGGGAGAAGGGGATGGAATCAGGGAGAAGGGGATGGAATCTGGGAGAAGGGGATGAAATCTGGGAGAAGGGGATGGAATATGGGAGAAGGGGATGGAATCTGGGAGAAGGGGATGGAATCGGGGAGAAGGGGATCGAATGAGGGAGAAGGGGATGGAATGTGGGAGAAGGGGATGGAATCTGGGAGAAGGGGATGGAATCCGGGAGAATGGGATGAAATCTGGGAGAAGGGGATGGAATCTGGGAGAAGGGGATGGAATCTGGGAGAAGGGGATGGAATATGGGAGAAGGGGATGGAATCTGGGAGAAGGGGATGGAATCTGGGAGAAGGGGATGGAATCTGGGAGAAGGGAATGGAATCAGGGAGAAAGGGATGGAATCTGGGAGAAGGGGATGGAATCTGGGAAAAAGGGATGGAATATGGGAGAAGGGGATGGAATCTGGGAGAAGGGATGGAATCTGGGAGAAGGGGATGGAATCTGGGAGAAGGGGATGGAATCTGGGAGAAGGGGATGGAATCTGGGAGAAGGGGATGGAATCTGGGAGAAGGGGATGGAATCTGGGAGAAGGGGATGGAATCAGGGAGAAGGGGATGGAATCTGTGAGAAGGGGATGGAATCTGGGAGAAGGGGATGGAATCAGGGAGAAGGGGATGGAATCTGGGATAAGGGGGTGGAATCTTGGAGAAGGGGATGGAATCTGGGAGAAGGGGATGGAATCTGGGAGAAGGGGATGGAATCTGGGAGAAGGGGATGGAATCTGTGAGAAGGGGATGGAATCTGGGAGAAGGGGATGGAATCAGGGAGAAGGGGATGGAATCTGGGAGAAGGGGATGGAATCTGGGAGAAGGGGATGGAATATGGGAGAAGGGGATGGAATCTGGGAGAAGGGGATGGAATCGGGGAGAAGGGGATCGAATGAGGGAGAAGGGGATGGAATGTGGGAGAAGGGGATGGAATCTGGGAGAAGGGGATGGAATCCGGGAGAAGGGGATGAAATCTGGGAGAAGGGGGTGGATTCTGGGAGAAGGTGATGAAATCTGGGAGAAGGGGATGGAATCTGGGAGAAGGGGATGGAATCTGGGAGAAGGGGATGGAATCTGGGAGAAGGGGATGGAATCTGGGAGAAGGGGATGGAATATGGGAGAAGGGGATGGAATATGGGAGAAGGGGATGGAATCTGGGAGAAGGGGATGGAATCTGGGAGAAGGGATAGAATCTGGGAGAAGGGGATGGAATCTGGGAGAAGGGGATGGAATCTGGGAGAAGGGGATGGAATCTGGGAGAAGGGGATGGAATCTGGGAGAAGGGGATGGAATCTGGGAGAAGGGGATGGAATCCGGGAGAAGGGGATGGAATCAGGGAGAAGGGGATGGAATCTGGGAGAAGGGGGTGGAATCTGGGAGAAGGGGGTGGAATCTTGGAGAAGGGGATGGAATCTGGGAGAAGGGGATGGAATCTGGGAGAAGGGGATGGAATCTGGGAGAAGGGGATGGAATCTGGGAGAAGGGGATGGAATCTGGGAGAAGGGGATGGAATCAGGGAGAAGGGGATGGAATCTGGGAGAAGGGGATGGAATCTGGGAGAAGGGGATGGAATATGGGAGAAGGGGATGGAATCTGGGAGAAGGGGATGGAATCGGGGAGAAGGGGATCGAATGAGGGAGAAGGGGATGGAATGTGGGAGAAGGGGATGGAATCTGGGAGAAGGGGATGGAATCCGGGAGAAGGGGATGAAATCTGGGAGAAGGGGGTGGATTCAGGGAGAAGGTGATGAAATCTGGGAGAAGGGGATGGAATCTGGGAGAAGGGGATGGAATCTGGGAGAAGGGGATGGAATCTGGGAGAAGGGGATGGAATCTGGGAGAAGGGGATGGAATCTGGGAGAAGGGGATGGAATCAGGGAGAAGGGGATGGAATCTGGGAGAAGGGGATGGAATCTGGGAAGGGGATGGAATATGGGAGAAGGGGATGGAATGTGGGAGAAGGGGATGGAATCTGGGAGAAGGGGATGGAATCCGGGAGAAGGGGATGAAATCTGGGAGAAGGGGGTGGATTCAGGGAGAAGGTGATGAAATCTGGGAGAAGGGGATGGAATCTGGGAGAAGGGGATGGAATCTGGGAGAAGGGGATGGAATCTGGGAGAAGGGGATGGAATCTGGGAGAAGGGGATGGAATCTGGGAGAAGGGGATGGAATCAGGGAGAAGGGGATGGAATCTGGGAGAAGGGGATGGAATCTGGGAAGGGGATGGAATGTGGGAGAAGGGGATGGAATCTGGGAGAAGGGGATGGAATCCGGGAGAAGGGGATGAAATCTGGGAGAAGGGGGTGGATTCTGGGAGAAGGTGATGAAATCTGGGAGAAGGGGATGGAATCTGGGAGAAGGGGATGGAATCTGGGAGAATGGGATGGAATCTGGGAGAAGGGGATGGAATGTGGGAGAAGGGGATGGAATCTGGGAGAAGGGGATGGAATCTGGGAGAACGGGATGGAATATGGGAGAAGGGGATGGAATCTGGGAGAAGGGGATGGAATCTGGGAGAAGGGGATGGAATCTGGGAGAAGGGAATGGAATCAGGGAGAAAGGGATGGAATCTGGGAGAAGGGGATGGAATCTGGGAGAAAGGGATGGAATATGGGAGAAGGGGATGGAATCTGGGAGAAGGGATGGAATCAGGGAGAAGGGGATGGAATCTGGAAGAAGGGGATGGAATCTGGGAGAAGGGGGTGGAATCTGGGAGAAGGGGATGGAATATGGGAGAAGGGGATAGAATCTGGGAGAAGGGGATAGAATCTGGGAGAAGGGGATGGAATCTGGGAGAAAGGGATGGAATATGGGAGAAGGGGATGGAATATGTGAGAAGGGGATGGAATCTGGGAGAAGGGGATGGAATCTGGGAGAAGGGGGTGGAATCAGGGAGAAGGGGATGAAATCTGGGAGAAGGGGATGGAATCTGGGAGAAGGGGATGGAATATGGGGGAAGGGGATGGAATCTGGGAGAAGGGGATGGAATCTGGGAGAAGGGGATGGAATCTGGGAGAAGGGGATGGAATCTGGGAGAAGGGGATGGAATATGGGAGAAGGGGATGGAATCTGGGAGAAGGGGATGGAATCTGGGAGAAGGGGATGGAATCTGGGAGAAGGGAATGGAATCAGGGAGAAAGGGATGGAATCTGGGAGAAGGGGATGGAATCTGGGAAAAAGGGATGGAATATGGGAGAAGGGGATGGAATCTGGGAGAAGGGATGGAATCTGGGAGAAGGGGATGGAATCTGGGAGAAGGGGATGGAATCTGGGAGAAGGGGATGGAATCTGGGAGAAGGGGATGGAATCTGGGAGAAGGGGATGGAATCTGGGAGAAGGGGATGGAATCAGGGAGAAGGGGATGGAATCTGGGAGAAGGGGGTGGAATCTGGGAGAAGGGGGTGGAATCTTGGAGAAGGGGATGGAATCTGGGAGAAGGGGATGGAATCTGGGAGAAGGGGATGGAATCTGGGAGAAGGGGATGGAATCTGGGAGAAGGGGATGGAATCTGGGAGAAGGGGATGGAATCAGGGAGAAGGGGATGGAATCTGGGAGAAGGGGATGGAATCTGGGAGAAGGGGATGGAATATGGGAGAAGGGGATGGAATCTGGGAGAAGGGGATGGAATCGGGGAGAAGGGGATCGAATGAGGGAGAAGGGGATGGAATGTGGGAGAAGGGGATGGAATCTGGGAGAAGGGGATGGAATCCGGGACAAGGGGATGAAATCTGGGAGAAGGGGGTGGATTCTGGGAGAAGGTGATGAAATCTGGGAGAAGGGGATGGAATTTGGGAGAAGGGGATGGAATCTGGGAGAAGGGGATGGAATCTGGGAGAAGGGGATGGAATCTGGGAGAAGGGGATGGAATCTGGGAGAAGGGGATGGAATCTGGGAGAAGGGGATGGAATATGGGAGAAGGGGATGGAATCTGGGAGAAGGGGATGGAATCTGGGAGAAGGGGATGGAATCTGGGAGAAGGGAATGGAATCAGGGAGAAAGGGATGGAATCTGGGAGAAGGGGATGGAATCAGGGAGAAAGGGATGGAATATGGGAGAAGGGGATGGAATCTGGGAGAAGGGATGGAATCTGGGAGAAGGGGATGGAATCTGGGAGAAGGGGATGGAATCTGGGAGAAGGGGATGGAATCTGGGAGAAGGGGATGGAATCTGGGAGAAGGGGATGGAATCTGGGAGAAGGGGATGGAATCTGGGAGAAGGGGATGGAATCAGGGAGAAGGGGATGGAATTTGGGAGAAGGGGGTGGAATCTGGGAGAAGGGGGTGGAATCTTGGAGAAGGGGATGGAATCTGGGAGAAGGGGATGGAATCTGGGAGAAGGGGATGGAATCTGGGAGAAGGGGATGGAATCTGGGAGAAGGGGATGGAATCTGGGAGAAGGGGATGGAATCAGGGAGAAGGGGATGGAATCTGGGAGAAGGGGATCGAATGAGGGAGAAGGGGATGGAATGTGGGAGAAGGGGATGGAATCTGGGAGAAGGGGATGGAATCCGGGAGAAGGGGATGGAATCTGGGAGAAGGGATGGAATCTGGGAGAAGGGGATGGAATCTGGGAGAAGGGGATGGAATCTGGGAGAAGGGGATGGAATCTGGGAGAAGGGGATGGAATCTGGGAGAAGGGGATGGAATCTGGGAGAAGGGGATGGAATCTGGGAGAAGGGGATGGAATCAGGGAGAAGGGGATGGAATTTGGGAGAAGGGGGTGGAATCTGGGAGAAGGGGGTGGAATCTTGGAGAAGGGGATGAAATCTGGGAGAAGGGGATGGAATCTGGGAGAAGGGGATGGAATCTGGGAGAAGGGGATGGAATCTGGGAGAAGGGGATGGAATCAGGGAGAAGGGGATGGAATCTGGAAGAAGGGGATGGAATCTGGGAGAAGGGGGTGGAATCTGGGAGAAGGGGATGGAATATGGGAGAAGGGGATAGAATCTGGGAGAAGGGGATGGAATCTGGGAGAACAAAGATGGAATCTGGGAGAAGGGGTTGAAATCTGGGAGAAGGGGATGGAATCCGGGAGAAGGGGATGAAATCTGGGAGAAGGGGATGGAATCTGGGAGAAGGGGATGGAATATGGGAGAAGGGGATGGAATCAGGGAGAAGGGGATGGAATCTGGGAGAAGGGGATGGAATTTGGGAGAGGGGGATGGAATCTGGGAGAAGGGGATGGAATCTAGGAGAAGGGGATGGAATCGGGGAGAAGGGGATGGAATCTGAGAGAAGGGGATGGAATCTGGGAGAAGGGGATGGAAACAGTGAGAAGGGGGTGGAATTTGGGAGAAGGGGATAGAATCTGGGAGAAGGGGGTGGAATCAGGGAGAAGGGGATGGAATCGGGGAGAAGGGGATGGATCTGGGAGAAGGGGATGGAATCTGGGAGAAGGGGATGGAATCTGGGAGAAGGGGATGGAATCAGGGAGAAGGGGATGGAATCTGGCAGAAGGGGATAGAATATGGCAGAAGGGGATGGAATCTGGGAGAAGGGGATGGAATCTGGGAGAAGGTGGTGGAATCTAGGAGAAGGGGATGAAATCTGGCAGAAGGGGATGGAATCTGGGAGAAGGGGATGGAATCTGGGAGAAGGGGATGGAATCTGGGAGAAGGGGATGGAACCTGGGAGAAGGGGATGGAATCTGGGAGAAGGGGATGAAATCAGGGAGAAGGGGATGGAATCAGGGAGAAGGGGATGGAATCTGGGAGAAGGGGGTGGAATCTGGGAGAAGGGGATGGAATCTGGGAGAAGGTGATGGAATCTGGGAGAAGGGAATGGAATCTGGGAGAAGGGGATGGAATCTGGGAGAAGGGAATGGGATCTGGGAGAAGGGGATGGAATCTGGGAGAGGGGGATGGAATATGGGAGAAGGGGATGGAATCTCAGAGAAGGGAATGGAATCTGGGAGAAGGGGATGGAATCTGGCAGAAGGGGATGGAATCTGGCAGAAGGGGATGGAATCTGGGAGAAGGGGATGGAATCTGGGAGAAGGGGATGGAATCTGCGAGAAGGGGATGGAATCTAGGAGAAGGGGATGGAATCAGGGAGAAGGGGATGGAATCAGGGAGAAGGGGATGGAATCTGGCAGAAGGGGATGGAATCTGGGAGAAGGGGATGGAATCTGGGAGAAGGGGATGGAATCTGCGAGAAGGGGATGGAATCTGGGAGAAGGGGGTGGAATCTGGGAGAAGGGGATGAAATCTGGTAGAAGGGGATGGAATCTGGGAGAAGGGGATGGAATATGGGAGAAGGGGATGGAATCTGGGAGAAGGGGATGGAATCTGGGAGAAGGGGATGGAATCTTGGAGAAGGGGATGGAATCTGGGAGAAGGGGATGGAATCTGGGAGAATGGGGTGGAATCTGGGAGAAGGGGATAGAATCTGGGAGAAGGGGGTGGAATCTGGGAGAAGGGGATGGAATCTGGGAGAAGGGGGTGGAATCTGGGAGAAGGGGGTGGAATCTGGGAGAAGGGGATGGAATCTGGGAGAAAGGGGTGGAATCTGGGAGAAGGGGATGGAATCTAGGAGAAGGTGATGGAATCTGGGAGAAGGGAATGGAATCTGGGAGAAGGGGATGGAATCTGGGAGAAGGGGATGGGATCTGGGAGAAGGGGATGGAATCTGGGAGAAGGGGATGGAATCTGGGAGAAGGGGATGGAATCTGGGAGAAGGGGATAGAATCTGGGAGAAGGGGATGGAATCAGGGAGAAGGGGATGGAATCTGGGAAAAGGGGATAGAATCCGGGAGAAGGGGATGGAATCAGGGAGAAGGGGATGGAATCTGGGAGAAGGGGATGGAATCTGGGAGAAGGGGATGGAATCTGGGAGAAGGGGATGGAATCTAGGAGAAGGGGATGGGATCTGGGAGAAGGGGATGGAATGTGGGAGAAGGGGGTGGAATCTGGGAGAAGGGGATGAAATCTAGGAGAAGGGGATGGAATCTGGGAGAAGGGGGTGGAATCAGGGAGAAGGGGATGGAATCTGGGAGAAGGGGATGGAATCTAGGAGAAGGGGATGGAATCTGGGAGAAGGGGATGGAATCTGGGAGAAGGGGATGGAATCAGGGAGAAGGGGATGGAATCTGGGAGAAGGGGGTGGAATCTGGGAGAAGGGAATGAAATATGGGAGAAGGGGATGGAATCTGGGAGAAGGGGATGGAATCTGGGAGAAGGGGATGGAATCTGGGAGAAGGGGATGGAATCTGGGAGAAGGGGATGGAATCTGGGAGAAGGGGATGGAATCAGGGAGAAGGGGATGGAATCTGGGAGAAGGGGATGGAATCTGGAAGAAGGCGGTGGAATCTGGGAGAAGGGGATGGAATCTGGGAGAAGGGGATAGAATCTGGGAGAAGGGGATGGAATCTGGGAGAAGTGGATGGAATCTGGGAGAAGGGGATGGAATCTGCGAGAAGGGGATGGAATATGGGAGAAGGGGATGGAATCGGGGAGAAGGGGATGGAATCGGGGAGAAGGGGATGGAATCTGGGAGAAGGGGATGGAATCTGGGAGAAGGGGATGGAATCTGGGAGAAGGGGATGGAATCAAGGAGAAGGGGATGGAATCTGGAGAAGGGGATGGAATCTGGGAGAAGGGGATGGAATCTGGGAGAAGGGGATGGAATCTGGGAGAAGGGGATGGAATCTGGGAGAAGCGGATGGAATCTGGGAGAAGGGGATGGAATCTGGGAGAAGGGGATAGAATGAGGGAGAAGGGGATGGAATCTGGGAGAAGGTGATGGAATCTAGGAGGAGGGGATGGAATCTGGGAGAAGGGGATGGAATCTGGGAGAAGGGGATGGAATCTGAGAGAAGGGGATGGAATCTGGGACAAGGGATGGAATCTAGGAGAAGGGGATGGAATCAAGGAGAAGGGGATGGAATCTGGGAGAAGGGGATGGAATCTGGGAGAAGGGGATAAAATCTGGGAGAAGGGGATGGAATCTGGGAGAAGGGGATGGAATCTGGAAGAAGGGGATGGAATCTGGGAGAAGGGGATAGAATGAGGGAGAAGGGGATGGAATCTGGGAGAAACTGATGGAATCTAGGAGGAGGGGATGGAATCTGGGAGAAGGGGATGGAATCTGGGAGAAGGGGATGGAATGTGGGAGAAGGGGATGGAATCTGGGAGAAGGGGATGGAATCTGGCACAAGGGGATGGAATCTGGGAGAAGGGGATGGAATATGGGAGAAGGGGATGGAATGTGGGAGAAGGGGATGGAATCTGGGAGAAGGGGATGGAATCTGGAAGAAGGGGGTGGAATCTGGGAGAAGGGGATGAAATCTGGGAGAAGGGGGTGGACTCTGGGAGAAGGGGATGGAATCTGGGAGAAGGGGATAGAATCTGGGAGAAGGGGATGGAACCTGGGAGAAGGGGATGGAATCTGGGAGAAGGGGATGGAATCAGGGAGAAGGGGATGGAATCTGGGAGAAGGGGATGAAATCTGGGAGAAGGGGGTGGAATCTGGGAGAAAGGGATGGAATCTGGGAGAAGGGAGTGGAATCTGGGAGAAGGAGATGGAATCTGGGAGAAGGGGATGGAATCTCGGAGAAGGGGATGGAATCTTGGAGAAGGGGATGGAATCTGGGAGAAGGGGATGGAATATGGGAGAAGGGGATGGAATCTGGGAGTAGGGGATGGAATCTGGGAGAAGGGGATGGAATCTGGGAGAAGGGGATGGAATCTGGGAGAAGGGGATGGAATATGGGAGAAGGGGATGGAATCTGGGAGAAGGGGATGGAATTTGGGAGAAGGGGATGGATTCTGAGAGAAGGGGATGGAATCTGGGAGAAGGGGATGGAATCTGGGAGAAGGGGATGGAATCTGGGAGAAGGGAATGGAATCTGGGAGAAGGGGATGGAATCTGGGAAAAGGGGATGGAATCTGGGAGAAGGGGATGGAATCTGGGAGAAGGGGATGGAATCTGGGAGAAGGGGATGGAATCTGGGAGAAGGGGATGGAATATGGGAGAAGGGGATGGAATCTGGGAGAAGGGGATGGAATTTGGGAGAAGGGGATGGAATGTGGGAGAAGGGGGTGGAATCTGGGAGAAGAGGGTGAAATCTGGGAGAAGGGGATGGAATCTAGGAGAAGGGGATGGAATCTGGGAGAAGGGGATGGAATCTGGGAGAAGGGGATGGAATCTGGGAGAAGGGGATGGAATCTGGGAGAAGGGGATGGAATATGGGAGAAGGGGATGGAATCTGGGAGAAGGGGATGGAATTTGGGAGAAGGGGATGGAATCTGGGAGAAGGGGATAGAATCTGGGAGAAGGGGATGGAATCTGGGAGAAGGGGATGGAATCTAGGAGAAGGGGATGGGATATGGGAGAAGGGGATGGAATGTGGGAGAAGGGGGTGGAATCTGGGAGAAGGGGGTGCCTAGACCACATAAGCTCTAGACCACACAAGCTCCCGGATAAGGAGCTTGTGTGGTCTAGGAGCTTGTGTGCCTAGACCACCAGCCAGATTCGGGCTCCTTGCCTGCAGCAAGATCTTGGACCAGGCAAGCTCCTGGATCAGGCAAGCTACTGGACTAGGCACGCTCCTGGACTTGGCAAGCTCCTGGACCAGGCTAGCTCCTGGATCACCCAAGCTCTTGGATAGGCAAGCTCTTGGACCAGGCAAGCTTCTGGACCAGGCAAGTTGTTGGACGAGGCAAGCTTGTGGACCAGGCACGCTCCTGACCAGGCAAGCTCGTGGACCAGGCAAGCTCCTGGACCAAGCAAGCTCCTAGACCAGGCAAGCTCCTGGACCACGCAAGCTCGTGGACGAGGCAAGCTACTGGACCAGCCAGGCTCGTGGACCAGGCACGCTCCTAGACCGGGCAAGCCCCTGGACATGGCAAGCTCCTGGACCCCGCAAGCTCTTGGACCAAGCACGCTCCTGGACCAGGCAAGCTCTTAGACCAGGCAGGCTCGTGTTCCAGGCAAGCTCTTGGAAAAGGCAAGCTCCTGGATCAGGCAAGCTTATGGACCACGCAAGCTCCTGGACGAGGCACGCTCGTGGACCAGGCACGCTCTTGGACCACGCACTCTCTTGGACCAGGCAAGCTCGTGGACCAGGCACTTCCTGGACCAGGCAAGCTCCTAGACCACGCAAGCTCCTGGACCACTCAAGCTCTTGGACCAGGCACGCTCCTGGACCAGGCAAGCTCTTGGACCAGGCACGCTTCTCGACCAAGCAAGCTCTTGGATCAGGGTAGCTCCTGGACCACGCAAGCTCTTGGACCAGGCATGCTCCTGGACCATGCAAGCTCCTGGACCTGGCACGCTCCTGGACCAGGCAAGCTCCTGGACAAGGCAAGCTCCTGGACCAGGCAAGCTCCTGGACCAGGCAAGCTCCTGGACCAGGCACGCTCGTGGACCAGTCATGCTCTTGGACCAGGCAAGCTCTTGGACCTGGCAGGCTCGTGGACCAGGCACGCTCCTGGACCAGGCAAGCTCCTAGACCAGGCAAGCTCCTGGACCAGGCAAGCTCTTGGACCAGGCACGCTCCTCGACCAGGCAAGCTCCTAGACCAGGCAAGCTTCTGGACTAGGCAAGCTCCTAGACCTGGCAAACTTGTGGACCAGCCACACTCCTGGACGAGGCAAGATCGTAGACCAGGCAAGCTCCACGATTAGGCAAGCTCCAGGATCAGGCAAGCTCCTGGACCAGGCACACTCCTGGACCAGGCCAGCTCCTAGACCAGGCAAGGTCTTGGACGAGGCAAGCTCCTGGACCAGGCAAGTTCGTGGACAAGGCACGCTTTTGGCCCAGGCAAGCTCCTGGACCACGCAAGCTCTTGGACCAGGCAAGCTCTTGGACTAGGCAAGCTCTTGGACCAGGCAAGCTCCTGAACCAGGCAAGCTCATGGACCTGGCACGCTCCTGGACCAGGCAAGCTCTTTGACCAGGCAAGCTCCTACACCCGGCAAGCTCCTGGACCAGGCAAGCTCCTGGACCAGGCAAGCTTGTGGACCAGACAAGCTCCTGGACCAGGCAGGCTCCTGGACCAGGCAAGCTCGTGGACCAGACAAGCTCCTGGACCAGGCAAGCTCCTGGACCAGGCAAGCTCCTAGACCAGGCAAGCTCCTGGACCACGCACGCTCGTGGACCAAGCACGCTCCTGGACCGAGCAAGCTCCTGGACATGGCAAGCTCCTGGACCACACAAGCTCTTGGACCAGGCACGCTCCTTGACCAGGCAAGCTCTTGGACCAGGCAGGCTCGTGGACCAGGCAAGCTCTTGGACCAGGCAAGCTCCTGGATCAGGCAAGCTCCTGGACCACACAAGCTCCAGGACCAGGCACGCTCGTGGACCAGACACGCTCCTGGACCAAGCACGCTCCTGGACCAGGCAAGCTTGTGGACTAGGCACGCTCCTGGACCATGTATGCTCCTGGACTACGCACGCTCCTGAACCACACAAGCTCTTGGACCAGGCACGCTCCTTGACCAGGCAAGCTATAGGACCACGCATGCTCTTGGACCAAGCAAGTTCCTAGACCAGGCAAGCTCTTAGACCAGGCGAGCTCATGGACCAGGCAAGCACCTGGACCAGGCAAGCTCGTGGACTAGGCACGCTCTTGGACCAGGCAAGCTCTTGGACGAGGCAGGCTCGTGGACCAGGCACGCTCCTGGACCAGGCAAGCTCCTGGACCAGGCAAGCTCCTGGACCAGGCAAGCTCCTGGACCAGGCACGCTCATGGACCAGGCATGCTCCCGGACCAGGCAAGCTCCTGGACCACACAAGCTCTTGGACCAAGCAGGCTCTTCGACCAGGCAAGCTTCTGGACCAAGCAAGCTCGTGGACCAGGCAAGCTCGTGGACCAGGCAAGCTCTTGGACCAGGCAAGCTCCTGGACTAGGCAAGCTCTTGGACCAGGCAAGCTCCTGGACCAGGCACGCTTCTGGACCAGGCACGCTCCTGGACCAGGCAAGCTCTTGGATCAGGCAGGATCGTGGACCAGGCAAGCTCTTGGACGAGGCAAGCTCCTAGATCAGGCAAGCTCCTAGACCACGCAAGCTCCTGGACCAGGCACGCTCGTGGACCAAGCACGCTCTTGGACCAGGCAAGCTCCTGGACCACGCAAGCTCTTGGACTAGGCAGGCCTCTGGACCAAGCAAGCTCCTGGACCAGGCAAGCTCCTAGACCAGGCAAGCTCCTGGACCACGCAAGCTCCTGGACCAAGAAATCTCCTGGACCAGGCAAGCTCCTCGACCAGGCAAGCTCCTGGACCAGGCAAGCTCCTGGACCAGGCAAGCTCCTAGACCAGGCAAGCTCGTGGACCAGGCATGCTCCTGGACCAGGCAAGCTCGTGGACCAAGCAAGCTCCTGGACTACGCAAGCTCTTGGACCAAGCACGCTCCTGGACCACGCAAGCTCTTGGACCAGGCAAGCTCTTGGATCAGGCAAGCTCCTTGACCAGACAAGCTCTTGGATCACACAAGCTCCTGGACCACGCAAGCTCTTGGACCAGGCACGCTCCTGGACCAGGCAAGCTCTCGGACCGGGCAAGCTTCTGGACCTAGCAAGCTTTTGGACCAGACAAGCTCCTGGACGAGGCAAGCTCGTGGACCACGCAAGCTCCTGGACCAGGCACGCTTGTGGACCATGCACGCTCTTCGACCTGGCAAGCTCTAGGACCAGGCAGGCTCGTGGACCAGGCAAGCTCCTGGACAAGGCAAGCTTCTGGACCAGGCAAGCTCCTGGACGAGGCAAGCTCCTGGACCAGGCAAGCTCCTGGACCAGGCACGCTCCTGGACCAGGCAAGCTCTTGGATCAGGCAGGCTCGTGGACCAGGCAAGCTCTTGGACCAGGCAAGCTCCTCAATCAGACAAGCTCCTAGACCACGCAAGCTCCTCGACCAGGCACGCTCGTGGACCAAGCACGCTCTTGGAAAAGGCAAGCTCCTGGACCAGGCAAGCTCCTGGACCACGCAAGCTCTTGGACCAGGCAAGCTCTTGGACTAGGCAAGCTCCTGGACCAGGCAAGCTCCTGGACAAGGCAAGCTCCAGGACCAGGCAAGCTCTTGGACCAGGCAAGCTCCTGGACCAGGCAAGCTCCTGGACCACGAAAGCTCTTGGACCAGGCAAGCTCCTAGACCAAGCAAGCTCTTGGACCAGGCAAGCTCTTGGACCATGCAAGCTCTTGGACCAGGCAAGCTCTGGACCAGAAACACTCCTAGACCAGGAACTCTCCTGGACCAAGCAAGCTCAAGGACCAGGCAAGCTCCTTCACCAGGCAAGCTTGTGGACTAGGCAAGCTTCTGGACCAGGCAAGCTCATCGACCAGGCAAGCTCCTGGACCATGCAAGCTCCAAGACAAGGCAAGCTCCTAGACCAGGCAAGCTCCTGGACCAGGCAAGCTCTTGGACCAATCAATCTCCTAGACCACGCAAGATCCTGGACCAGGCAAGCTCCTGGACTATGCAAGCTCCTGGACCAAGCACGCTCTTGGACCAGGCACTCTCCTAGACCAGGCAAGCTCTTGGACCAGACAAGCTGCTAGACCAGGCAAGCTTCTGGACCTAGCAAGCACCTGGACCAGGCAAGCTCGTGGACCAGGCAAGCTCCGAAACCAGACAAGCTCTTAGACCAGGCAAGCTCTTCGACCAGGAAAGCTCTTGGACCAGGCAAGCTCTTCGACCAGGCAAGCTCCTGGACCAGGCAAACTCTTGGACTAGGCAAGCTCTTGGACCAAGCAAGCTCCTAGACCACGCAAGCTCCTAGACTAGGCAAGCTCCTAGACCAGGCAAGCTCTTGGACCAGGCAAGCTCCTAGACCAGGCAAGCTCCTGGACCACGCATGCTCTTGGACCAAGCAAGCTCCTGGACCAGGCAAGCTCATTAAGCAGGCAAGCTTCTGGCCCAGGCAAGCTCTTGGACCAGGCAAGCTCTTGGACCAGGCAAGCTCTTGGACCAGGCAAGCTCCTGGACGAGGCAAACTTCAGGACCAGGCAAGCTCTTGGACCAGGCACGCTCTTGGACCAAGCAAGATCTTGGACAAGGCAAGCTCTAGGACCAGGCAAGCTCGTGGACAAGGCAAGCTCCTGGACCAGGATAGCTCATGGACCACGCAAGCTCCTGGACCAGGCAAGCTCCTGGACCAGGCAAGCTCCTAGACCAGGCAAGCTCCTGGACTAGGCAAGCTCCTGGACCACGCAAGCTCTTGGACCAGGCAAGCTCTTGGACCAGGCAAGCTCCTAGGCTAGGCAAGCTCCTGGACCAGGCAAGCTCCTAGACTACGCAAGCTCCTGGACCATGCAAGCTCTTGGACCAAGCACGCTCCTGGACCAGGCAAGCTCTTGAACCAGGCAGGCTTCTGGGCCAAGCAACCTCTTGGACCAGGCAAGCTCCTAAACCAGTCTAGCTCTTGGACCAGGCAAGCTCCTGGACCAGGCACGCTCATGG